AAAACATCTTTCATCTTGAGCGAGTGACACAGTTCTGAATGCTACCCCGACATAATAGGAGTTCACACCCATCAGGATAAATAATGTAAGCAACTGTTGGCGAAGCATTAAAGTTAAAGGGAACCTGATCTGGAACTAAACCCTCTGTGCTTCTGCACCCAACGTTAAAGGTTTCCCACTGCTTTGCTCTCAGTGGGAAGGAAATAAATGCTTAATGGGATTGTGCGCGCAGCCATAGAATAGCTCATTCTGGCTTTACGTTACCAGGAGGCGGTGTCGTTCCCTCTGGCCGTCCCTGCTGACTGGGACTACGTGCTCTGTCAGAACTGCTCAGAGACTCCTGTAGAAGACCACCAAATGTGTAAAGTAGGGGAAAGTGTAGAGCGTCAGCGTAGAGGCCGTCTCAGGGTCCAGGTTGTTTGTGAGGGACAGTGTTTCATAACTACTGCTCATACGACCACTCCCACCTCCTCAAATGGATGCATAAGCCCATGCAAATGTGCAGTTGCTGCATGGGGGGACGGTTATTCTGAGAGACGGGGCATTGTGCAGTCTTGTGGGAAAGACAGTGAGGTCAGTAATTAAAGCGCATTCCGTCTGAGGGCACATACTGTTTTTCTTTTTTTTTCTCCAATTTTTTATTCATATCTCAGTGCTCATTCATCTTTTCTTCACAGGCATATTTTCTAGGCCAAGCGAATGTTCCACTCCAGTTGTCATGCCAACAGATTAACACGCTTTGGCATGATGTCGGCGGTAGAGTCTGGGAGCGCCTCCGTGTTGATGCGATGCTCAGCGCTGATGTGCTGATCGTCTCTGGAGGGTCTTCAGGCTCTGAACTGCGTCAAGATGGAGTGCATTCTGTTTCATTTCTTTATTTTTTCCTCCTCAGGTTTAGTTCACTCATCCATTAATTTCCTAAACCGTCTTTGTCCAGTTCAGGGTTTAGTGGAAGAAGGATTCTACCTGTTATAGGAGAAGAAACTGTACAGGCTGGTCAGCCACAGGGCGTGTGACCGCGTTTCAAAGGCTCGGTTCAGACAGACCGGCTTATCGAGCATGCTCGTGTTTGGGCTGGATTGAGCCTGGAGACAACACAGAGGCTGCAGTTCCTGTAGGTTTGTGGATCTTAGTCACATGGTCAGGTGCCGTAGCTGTAAAACAAGCCCGTATCATCAGCTCTCCCCCACCGTGCTTGACAGCGAGTATGAGGAGTTCTGAGCTGATATGCTGAGTTCAGTTTTTTTCCGAGCATGGCTCTGTGCATTTTATTACGCAGGGAAAAAACATTAAAATAAGAGTGCTTTCTTTTGTTTTTCCGAACACACCACAGTCTCATAGATGAATAACCGCCTTTTCCCCCTCACACGTCGTCCCTTTCATTGGATTAAGGGGTTGTATCAGAATCAGAAGGTTTCTTTTTCCTGGCTGCTTTTATTGCACTAAAAAGGATTTTCTGAGAGGAAATGTCCCCTTGCGTTCATCAGTGGCCTAAAACAGGGCACTGCCTCTTTTTTTAAAGATTTTTTTTTTCATTACCTTGCACAATAGCCTGAAAAACTGGGCCAGGGATGATTTAACACTCAGTCCACAGAGATGAGGTTTAAAAACAGCTGTTCTATTTGTGTTCAAATAGACTGTGTCACATCCAGCTGTGAAGAGTATTATCGACCAACGCGTGGCATTTTTTCCATGAAGCGCTGCTGGGAAATTGTCCTTTCCCATTCAGGCTTTCCAATATTTCTCTCTTAAATGTGCAAAACCTGCTTCATCCAGGGCCACTTATTTATAGACTTCTCCTTTGTTGTAAAGCTGTATGTACTGGAGATGTGTTGTCTGCTCAGGCTCTTTGTCGTCTCTCCTCTTAATCTTGTCTTTCCTGCTTGATTCTCCACCTTCCTCCGACCACCTTTGATTCGCACAGCTGTCTGCACATCAGTCCAACTCACCTCGGGGGCATGAACTTCCGTGACATTTTAGCACAGTTTATGGTATTTTCTTTGTATGCTGGGGCGTAGCTGAGCCTCAGCCCTGTTGCTCATGCCTCTTTGGCCTCGGTTTGCCATGAATCTTTCAGCCGCTGGCGGTTCTTCCTGCTTTGATGTTCGACGCAGCCGGCGCTCACTTACAAAGGAGCATGCACACAGACTCGCTGTCATATGTAAGCTCTGTGCCCGAGGATTCTCCATCATTGTGCCCCCCGTCTGAGGGGAAAAAGGGCACATTTTGTGAAGGACTCGGATAAAGAGACAAACAATTTCTGGTGGCGATTGTTGGGCTAACTCCGGGGATTTGGCCGCTTCCTCTGGGCAGCTGGCGGCCGCACACAAAGACGCTTTCTGTTATCTTTCCCCGCTGCTCATCCCCAAATACAAAAGAAACTTTGGATTAATGAATACGCATGCTATTCTGAGCGTTTCGTGTGTGAGCACATCCCCAAAAAGAGCAACAAAGAGGAGAGTGTGTGTAGTTTTTCTACAGTAACACAACCATTTTTTCTACATATTTATCACTTAACTAAAGCCAGCCAATGCCTAACCTGAGTTTTTCTTTTCTATCATGGAGCAGTTTGAAGTCTGAGTTGCCTTTAAAAGTGACGTTTTTACTATAAAGGTAACAAGACGTAACCAAATGTGGATTAGTGATCTTTCCTAAGCAAGTGAGAAATCAGAAGTGTCATATGTGAGCGCTTCAGACGGAGCATCATGTCCCTTTTTCCTTTGTTGTTTTTTTAAAACTAAAAGATGTTTGCAAGAAGTGTTGCAATGTGCATCCTTCATCCTCACCCGCAACCCAAACATCACCGACACTCAGTGGGCCCGAGCTTTGGCCTGAGACTGTAGAGCTGACTGTTTGATTGGCAGTCTGATTGGATCATTTCCCTGCATTTAACTTTCACTGGTTGACACTGGTGTCACCACCACGCTCATCACACTCACTCAAACTGCAACACAATGTACTCTCTGGATCAAATACGGTCAAGTGTGTGTGTGCGGAGCACTGGGAGGATTTTCAGTGTTCTTTATCTCTCACTGGAGCTGCTTTTGGTGAGGAGATTTGCTGTGTATTAACCTCTTGCTCTGGTTTCCTCACTGGCGGCAGCAGCACTTGACATGCTAACCCATCAAATCAGTTGAGGTTTAGATTTGATCTCTTTAACAACGGCCACAGCTGCACTGCAAATGTGTTCCCACAAATCTTCGTTTGGACATCACAAACTGGAATTGTGTCCACAAGAACAAGAAATATTGTCACAACCAGGAGCCATTGTGAAAGTTAAGTGTACGATTCTCCAATAGCTGTGCATCACAGGAACATTCCCAGGTACTGTTACAGCTCTGAGTTTTGATCACTTACGAACCACAAGGGTTTAGGTGGATTGTGGCAATCGATTTATGGGACAGTTCTGCTCTTCTTTGATATGCTACTTTACCACCTTCCCATCTGGGAAAAACTGGCCCTAAATCCAAAAAGGCGGCTTTAGAGAGGACGGCCATGTTCTTGACATAGCCTAAAACATCTGAGGTCGTTTCAGAACTAACTTACATGCTAGAATGAAAAAAATAACAAAAAAAACATGTAAAAGTCAAATAAATAACTCAAATAAATCTTAAAAGGATGCCTTTTATACATAGACATTTTTTATTTGAGCATATTTCCCTGCGTTAAACGTGTCATGAAGCTTTTCTGCTCCAGAGACTCACGCTTTCACATGGCTGCTGACCCACCCTGCTAACAGTCCAGGCTTCTCACCCCTCACTTGTCAACACTCGGCACACATTTGCATAACACCCGTGGCGCTTGTAAATGAGCAGCACACGGGCCCCGAGTGCCGTTGCTTTGTCCTCGCTCGTTTTCTCTGACCTTGGCAATATTAAAAAGGCTCGGGCTTGGTCAGGTTTGGGCCCCCCCCCCCCCCTCCCCCGGCCGTCCAGTCACAGCCACATAGCCCGCCTTTGGCGCAGCACTAAGCGGCTCCAACACTTCGGCTGTGTGGCCGCGTGGTCAGCATACCTCAAAGCTGTGAGCTGAACGGGGACTGCGTGCCACGGCCGGCCACTGTTCTGCTGGTCCCAGTCACTCTGACCTCCGGGAGAAAGATTTTTCTGGGAATAATCAGTGATTTTGTCCAGGGGCTTAGCTATCAGACCAAGTTTAGGGGCCTGTGTGGGAGGCCTGCAGCCTTTTACAGCCTTTAAATTTCCTACAGACAATAGGAAATCAGATTTTCCTTTATTTTATTTTTATATTAGTGGGCCCGAGCTTTGGCCTGAGATATATATTAGTATTCTTTAACTTGCTGATCTCAAAACTTGAGAGCACAGATCTAAAATCTATACTGCATGTGTGCACACATTAGCAGCCAGCTGTGTGTGGGGCTATTCTTAGGCAGGATCTTCTTGGTTGCTGGTGCAATGCTTCCCAGAGCACCAAGGCCCCAGAAAGTGAAGCAACACTGTACTTTTGATGTGGCGATATCTGCAGGGTGGTGCTGTCGGAAGCCATCGTGTGGTTGGATCCTGATGGGGGCGGCGTCCACTGGCACGGTTGAACCGAGGCTAAATAGCAAGGTGTTGTTTTTTAAGATAAAGTGCTTATAAAAACAATGAAAAAGCCAATCAGACAGCTAAGTCAGCTGCAGAGGAATCGGACACAAACAGCCACTTCGTGCGATGGCAGTCGACTAGGAGGACACAGGAGAAATCCAGCCCACACTCGAAAGGGCCATGACCAAGCAGATATTTTGTAGTGAATGGAAATTCCTCTTTCTTCCGTTCTGCCAATTCATCAGCAGAAGAGAGGATCAAAGTGCTAATTATGTCTCGCGCCTTAGGCTTTTTCTCATCACAAGGCTTAGAAATCCTAAAACATCGCCGTCTGTGATGCCTTTTTTAAAAACCTTTTTTTCCCTCTGTGAGTCAACAGCGTATCCCTCTCCTCTGACAGCTCCAGGTTGCGCTGGTCTTTTTGGATCATAGGAGCGACGCTGGAAGGGTAAAATGACCATGAACAGGAAGTTTGGCACCAGATATAGAGCGGGGGGGCGTAACGGTGTGACATCGCAGGTTAGAGTGGATGCAAGTGAGGGGAGCAGGTGCAAGCAGGCCGTGGTGACAAGCACTGGGAGGCGGCTTTGTGTGATGGAAGGGAAATTATTCCAGAGAAGGATCATCTCGTTAGCCCTGAAATGGCACTACACCCAGAGGAGAGCGCTTTATCAAGAGTGTTGTGTACAGTTTTCTTTGTGCAGTGCATGAAGGGGCATGAGTGAATAATTCATGTGTTTATCGTTACAGACACTCATTATTCTGACTTAGGCAAAAATTAGAACCGGCGCTGGTTCAAATTCTATAGATAGTCTGTTTGTGTTGGCGTCATGTAAGCCATAAACAGGGTGCTGCCGGTTCTGTGATGCATGCGGGGTGTTCATCACGTAATTTCCAGCTGTCCTGTTAGGACTTTCTTCAGAATGTCTGCTGCACCTTATGTTTGACTTCAGCAGAAGAAGAGCCGCAGCCCTGTTTTTATAATGCTGTTGCTCTCGATGTTCGCTTTGCCTCGGGGTGTTGTCGTTTCTGTCTACGCTGCCAAGGTTATCGTGTGCAAACGCACTGAGGGATGAGATTCTGTTCGAGCCCGAGTGAAAAATGCCAAGTTATATCAGAACTGCCGTGGTGCCAAATAGGTTCTTAGTGACAACACTCGCTTTCTTGGGCAGTGGCGAGAGGACATATTTCCTCAGCAGCTCTCTGAGATTCTTCTGTCTGTTACTCGCGTTTGCTCATGCAGTTACTGCTCCACTACACAGCCAGGACAATGACATCTAAAGTGGGTGTCGGTGTGCGTGTGTGTGTGTGTGTGTGTGTGTGTGTGTGTGTGTGCGCTGTAATGGTAAATCCAGAAGCACCTCATTTATTTATGTCCTGCGCAGCAATCGCTCATCGTTCCACAGATGCTGTGGAGCCATCCACTTGGTGTTTTTGTATTCGTGGATGTTCTTTTGAGAGTGTGTCCCATAACTGTCAGTCACTATAAACCTGCCTTACTTCTCCTCCCCTTCACCCACTCAGCCTCCTTCTGCCTGTCTGCTCGGATCTCTTATAGCATAAGGACCTCATTTATTCATGCTTGTAGGCCCGCAGTGCCATTTTTAGCTAGCTGCCAAGATCACCATTTTACAATGAATAAAACCCATCATTACTCTCTCGGTACTTATTTCGAGCATACCTAAAAATCACTCGCCTAACTTTTTTAAAGCAGGAAAAAAATCCAGTCAAATATGAACTCCGTTCTTTTAAGTAATTCTCTTTTCTGAGTTGCTGTGTTCACTTTCTATGGTGTGCTAACCAGTAACACAACCCTTAGGTACCTTCCCAGCTGAACCAGGTACTTTCTTAATTTTCCCATTAGGATCCTTTATGGGGTTATCATATCCCTCTATAACTTTTTAATGACCAAGACAGTACTGGAAAAGTCCTTAGTACCAGGAATTGGTTCCTTATGCTTAAACCATGCAATTGTATCAGTTAGTACCATATCTTACCTTTTTTGGGTCATCTATTTTCTATATTATGGCTCACATGCCTCCTATTAACATGCAGTTGCTACATCATCTCATCACAGGACACACAAACTACACTAAAAGCCAAGAGTCACCCTTCCCTCTTTTCCTTCCTCCACTCCTCTGACACAGCTCTTTGACTTGGCCTTAAGGCCTGAATCATTAATTTTGGCCTGGCATGTAGGCAAAGGCACAGATGGGCCTTTTCTTCTCCATCTAATTTGCAAATCACCATTGTTTCTTTTTTTTGTGTTTTGTTTCTTTTTATGAACCTCAGGCCAGCGCATTGATTTTCTCTTCTCTTGTTTACCTGCACTGTAGGAGCAGCTTGAGCCTTTTGTTTGTCAAAGTCAGGGAAGTAGTCGTGGATGGCTCTACTTACAGCGTATTTGTTTGTGTTGGGCCTAACCTCTCTGCCATCTGACAGCTTTTTTTATCACAGCCTAGTGAGGCTCCCACTTTCCCCTCTTTTCATCCTCTTAAGGCACAGATGCACACACACACACACACACACACACACACACACACACACACACACAAACAGACACACACACATATTGCAATTAAGAACATCAACAGATGCTGGACAAGCGCTTGATTACATTGGATTAGACCATTAGTATAACAGAAGATTAGTGAACCAAGTTGTTGTTTTGTTCACTATAATTATCTCTCCTCTATCCTCCTATTAATCCGTAACATGTCCTGTAGTTTGACAGTTATAGATAGAATCAAACTTGTCAAAATTATACTAAATTGATTACATGAGAAACACATTAAATAGCTAAATTTGAAAGGGTTTTGGTCATTTGTTTTGAGCTAATTTAGGATAATTTTCCTTCTACCAGTGAAATGATGCCAGTACCATGGTTGAAACACAAGTCCGATTTGGTTGTGGAGTTGCATACAACCTGTCTTCATACTTACGCAGGACTCATTAATAACTTGTTAGAGGATCATTTTAGAGGCTAATTTGCAGACGATGTGTGCTTTCGTCTTTTCTGATGACATAAGAAATATCTTATGTGTTTGGCTAAATCCTGAGGGGAATATGGGATTTGATTTGTTTCTAGGAAAAGTTTGAACAGAACTTGAGGTCTACAAAGTCAGCCAATTAACTCAGGGGGGTATTTTGTCTTGTGGGCAAGTTTGGAGAACAAGAACTTTCTTGATTGGCGAGCGTAAGCTAAATGCTTCAGGAGGGGACTGCAAGAGGGAAGAAAAGAGTTTGAGTTTAGTCAGTTTAGTGAGGTTTTCCAGCTTTTGAAGTATTTATATATTTTCTTATAGAGGAGCGTGTTTTCCTAATTATGACTTTGACCAAGTCTGGGGCCCTGGGATGTCATTGGAATTTTCAAATATCTTCTTATGATGGCCTTTTTTGTCACACTGTTACTGGTTAGTTAGTTAGTTTTATCGATATTCGTAGGTCTGTTCAGTCCTAAGTTCTCAGAGCAATTGGTTATAGTGGTGTTGAGTTCAGTGCTCTCATACACAGATCTCAAGAGTATTTGTTATGATTTACAAACCGACATTGAAAAGTAACTTTTTATTTTTATTTTTTATGGTTTTGCCTCTGAAATTGAATGTCTACCTGTGATTAAGTCTCCGGTTTTGTCCCCTCCAGTGAGCAGAGCATCTGCCAGGCCCGGGCCTCCGTCATGGTCTACGATGACACCAGTAAGAAATGGGTACCCATCAAGCCGGGACAGCAGGGATTCAGTCGCATCAACATCTACCACAACACTGCCAACAACACCTTCAGAGTGGTGGGCGTCAAGCTGCAGGACCAGCAGGTAAGACGGAGAGCCCGGCTATGCACCCGTCAGTCATTACTTCACAGATGAAGGGGGGTTTAATCATGTAGTTGGAGGATTGCGAATCATGCTTGGTTTTCTTACCGAGTTCTGTTTTGTAGTAATTCTAAACAATAGATGCTGTTAAAAATATAATGAAAATGTAATGATGACTATATAACATCTATAAATGTATAAGTATTTCAATAAAATTGGATGGCACACAAAGTGTCAGAGAATGGTTAAAATCTTTCAGGGTTTTCTTCTTTACAGTTCCTCCTCTCATGTTCTCTCCTCTTCCTTGTCTCTCAAAGGTGGTTATCAACTATTCAATAGTGAAGGGCCTCAAGTACAACCAAGCCACCCCAACTTTTCACCAGTGGAGGGACGCCAGGCAGGTCTATGGCCTCAACTTTGCCAGCAAGGAGGAGGCCACCACCTTCTCCAACGCTATGCTCTTCGCTCTGAACATCCTCAGCGCTCAGGACGGAGGTGTGCTTTCCCCTCAGTGCATCACACACTATCTTTCTGGACAAAAATGAGCACCAATTGTCACACGTTTACATTTTTTCTGGGTTAGATGACTGACAAATGCGGCGAGGTGTTGTTTCAGTTGGCGTTCAGACTTCTGATTATTGTGTGGTTCCTGCATTCTCATCTGAGAAACAACCAGGCTGAAAGGGATGAGGACAAAAATCCAAAGGGCGGGACTAATATTTGAGAGGATACATTAAACTAGCTTATTTTCACATTTAAAAGATGTTCTATGGCTTTGACTTGGATAAATATACAATAACAAATATCTGATACCCATTCCAGTTTTATACAGTTCGTGTAATTCTGAAGATACACTTGTTTTTCTTATAATTTAAATGCTACTACAAATGGTATCTTCCAAATTGAGCGTGAACAGAATCTCATATAGTCCAGTTGTTGCCAACATCTGCAGCCTGCCGCGGGCCTTTAGACTCTGCGCCTACAGATGATGGGATTCACTCAGACACCTACTCCCCACTGCTGGCCACTTCCTGACACAGCACCTTCCGCAAACGGGCCGAGGCTGCACTGCTAAAGAGCCGTTCCTGTGTGATAGCTGCTGTCAGAGCGCTGGTGAGACTGATGACCAATTACGTCTAATAATGACGTGAGTTACGGCTCCATTTCCTCCTGATCGCTGGTGCGGCCTCCAGGGTCGCTTCCCGTGGTTAATTTTATTATTCCTGCCTGGTTTTTCTGGAGCTCTTTTTCCACTGTTTAAAGACTTTTTTTTCCAGTAGTGAATACCCGTGTTAGACAGCCACTTTGTCCTTAAGTGCTCTGTGTGTGACGGGTAGAAATTGGGGAGTGACAGAATGAGCCAGAGACAGAGCGACTTTCACAGCTTGCTGCTCATTCTCCACGAGCAGCAGCGCGTCTCCCCCTGCCGCCCAGCCCCTCAATTAGAATGAGTCATTGAGAAGACCTCCCCCGGGTGCTGTGCGGCAGAGTGGACCTTTTCATCGGCCTAATAACACGAGACAAAGACTCTCGAGTGACAGCAGCCAAGCGCGAGAGCCTAAAATGCGCAAGAGGAGGCAGCAAACATGTGACTCAGAGAAAGATGGCTCAGCAGTTCTCTGCAGTGAGCTGCCGGGAGCACGTAGCAAAGGGACCTACTTTCAGCACATCTGCACTGATTATATAAGACGCGTTTACACTTTACAGCACTAAAGTCACCATAACCTGTGTTTTCATGCTGCACCCTCTAGTGGTGAGGAAGCCAAAACATCCTCTTTTGCCCCCACTGCTCTCTCAGGCAGGGGAGCGCCACGGAAACCTCCCTGCTGTTCCACACTTCCACATCAAATTTGAGTTTATTGGGATTTTTTATCATTTTAATTGAATGCCAGAGCTGGCCTCACGCTGGAGTCCCAGAGTAGACCGCGGATGCATGGAGACCGTCGGCCTGTCACGCTTGTTTGGCTGTGCGGCCGGCAGAGCAGCCTGACCTGTGGTAACACTAACCAGAGACGGCCCGCCACACTGCTGCCGCTGCCGCCAGTGTGGGTTACACCAAGATGAGAGATGATACTGTGTCTGCGCGGAGGAGGGGGGAGGAAGGGGGAGGCAGGTGAGGGGAGCGGGAGGTGATGGATGGGGAGGACGATGAGGAGGAGGAAGTGCGGCTGAAGGCAAGCGATGGTCAGGAGGGAGTGGGTCTGTCAGTGCCTCTGTGTCTGCTCCGGCCGCTTTCTCTTCTTCAGTATGTCATGTAGGTAGAAAACGCCCGCCGAGTGTTTTACCCCCTGCATGGCTATTGTGGTTTCAAGTTTGCCTGTGTGTCTGTGTGCATAGAATGCTGATGGCAATTATTATCACGATTGTCATTTCAAAGCAAAGAAGGACTCTGGAAAATGAACACGGAGAACATAAGTAGCCTGTGAAGGAATCCTGGGGTTTGCCTCCCGGTAAAAAGCTTTGTAGCACATGTTCCACAGGACTCTGGGCATTTTATGGATTAAAACCCTCTCGACTTATCTCTGTTTCCCCCTCTGTAAGTCACAGAAGCGCGTCGGTTGTTGGTCTGGTAACCAAATACACTGACGACACTATCAGCTGAATAAAGAGACACTTTTTATATGGAACTTTTGATGCAAAGAAGGTGCTAATCAATACATACAGCTACTATTGACACAGTTCTCTCTTTAGATTTCTTTATGAGCTGAATGGGTTGTCAGAAGAGATAGATCAATGTTTATACCTCTTTTTTTATTCAAGTTATTAGGAGTTCTAAAAATGCCAAAGACAATAATGTTTAAGTTGTTTTAAATGCAGTCCCGGTCTTGGAAATCATTCAATGAAGCTGTCACTCATCTAATATGGAATATGGAAACAGGTGTTTGCAGGTCAAACCCCGAACCCGCGTCTCGGATGAGGTGTCCCATGTTGGTCAGGCATCATGCCTTTTGTTATCCTGTGTTATTTTTAGATCTCTGATACTTGATCAGTGGCAGCCATTAGCAACATGGGCCCTCTAAAGCCGTGCAGAATATCATCAGTGAGCGCTGACCCCGAAAAACAGACCTGACCGTGGAGCTGTGAAAGTATTATGTAAGAAGCACTTTTCATTAGCCAGAGCCGGAGGCGGTCGGAATAAGCCTGTTTTACCACTCTCCTTTAACTTTCTACAAAGGGGGGTCATAAATCAGAAACATAATATTTCTCCTCCAATGTGCGAGCCAAATACACAAGTTCAAGCTGGAATTTTCAGCGTTTCTTGTGCAGTTCGGTGCTCAGTCATAACCTGATCTTTCCCTCTGAGCCAAAGTGCTTTTTTTAACTCATCTCATCTTGTCTTGAATTAATCACACTCCTTATCTGCCTCTCCATCTGCAGATCTCACTAACGCCGCTAAACGGATTACACCGCTGAAGCCTTGTTGGTTGTACAGTAGCATAAGAAAGAGATAATAGATTTTCATATCTTTGAGCTTTTTTTAACAACAGTAAACTGTCTTTAGGTCTTTTAACACAAACTAGCCTCTGCTAATTCCTTTGAATTCAAGAGGAATATGGCGACTTAGAGCTCAGCCTATCCAGAGTTTGTTGGTCTCCGTCTGACATTTATCTCTGTGCTTGTGTCTGTTCCTGCTCATCCTGTCCTCTTCTGTGAATTTGAAAGCCTACACAGATATATTGTTGTGGAGTATGTGGTGTATCGCATAGGACGTCTCTTTAGGATCCAAGCGGCTGTGGCTGGGGTTCTTCCAGCCTTCATTAGAAAAAGTGGAGAAATCAATTTACGCTAAATTATTTAAAGGATTAATATGCTTTTCATCACACATTACTCATTACCCCAAAGAAAAAAAAAAGAAAAGGTGACACAATGAACTCGTGTTTAATTCCCTGTCGTTTTGTGGTTAATTGTCTTGACTGGCACTAATTTTAATTAACATTACAGCCTTGATGATGGATTATTAGGGCGAGCTTTGCTTTATCTGTGTCTTTCTCTGTCTTTCTGCCTTTGTTTCCATCTCTAGGTCCAGCTCTGCAGCGCCAAGTCCTGAACGGCCCAACTTCAGATGAGATGGAAGCTCAGAGAGCAAGGTGGGAATATGCCTGCTGCTACACGGAGCTCTGGGTTTTCCCCTTCTGCTCTTAAAACTGACAAAAAGAAGTATAAAACAGAAAGTGTTGGCTTTGTTCCCCATATTATATCCCTTATGAAATCAAATAGTAATCCGAGCATCGTTTATGTTAAACAAATTGCGCACAGTATGTTTGTTTGGGTTTAACAGAAAGTGACATCCATCAGACAGTGCAGGCAACACCAATTAAAAAAGATCATCATGTTACACTCCCCGCTCACCTCTGAAATGTGGTCTTAATGTCAGTGAATGGTCTCTGCTTTAGGGTCTGCTGTGCAGATGGGAGCTGTGGTTAGGATAAAGCCATTAAATGCACTCCCATATGTCTGACAACCTGTCACAAACAGAAGAAGAACAGTTTCCCCTGTAAGCCCTACAGAAACGGCTCCTTTCTCTCAGCTGTAGTGATAGGCTGAGAGAACCTGATATCATGCGTGGTTGTTTGTCCAGTTCATATTCTGGCTGCCAGCCCTTTATCCTCTTCGCAGACACACTGTCCGGCACAACTAGGTCTTTGTTGATGTTTTTAAACCTATTTCTGCTCAGCCTATTGGCTCATCCAAGCGCCAAATGCCAGGGCTTAAGAGAACAAATATGATGGGAGTTACGGCTCAATCCGATCTTGTTTCTTACCAAACTGTTCCCAGGATTACGGCCGTGGTTGCTACGGGTGATTTTGAGCATGCATGCTGGGTTTCGGCTCTGAGCGTATGGCAGTTGTCAGCGGGTGCTAATGAATTTCCCGGCGGCCGGGGGGCAGCATTGCTCATCAGATCTGCTGCATGCGCTGCCTCCACTGCCACTCCGCCCAGTCCCACTCACAGCTGGCAAATTGCGCTTCCTCTTTGGGAGCTGCCGCCTTCCCTCCTCTCCTGGGTCGTGGCATACATATGCTTCCATTAATAAAGGCAGACATTTGAGGAAAGATGAGGAAATGGGCAAGTGAGTGATGGTGGAGGATGAGACAGCTCTGCAATGTCTAGTCAGGAGTTTCAGGCGGCGTAAATCAATGCAGCCTGCAGAATGGCTGCAGCCACAGAAACAGCATCCAGTCTGCCAGCATTCAGATGCACTTTGGTGCTAAATAATGGCTACAAACAGCCACTTTACAGCTCTTAAATGAAGATGTTTTAAATAAATAAACTGAAAACCAAGCTCTATACTTGGGTTTTAATGTAATTTCTGAGTGGATCTTGATTTTTGTTTGCCTTATGTCATCACCTGGTTGGGATTTCCGGAAATACAATAACCAACCAAACAAACTGTCATTGCTCTAAATGACCTCGTTCAGATTCAGAAGATTTTATTGATCCCATAAAGTCTGTTTCATTTGCAGCACCCCAGTTAAAAAAATATGGAATTAGTTACATATGCCACACCAAATAAAAAACTGAGGTTACCTCTGAGGATCCCCTCTGTTGTAATTGCTGACATGTTCCCGTTCCTTTTTTCTTTTTTAAAAGTCCACTGACTCAGCATGTAGCTTCCAGTATGATAACGATGAGCTGATGTATCTAATCTAATGTTAAATGTCTTTAAACTGCTTTCTGTTGGTTTATGAGAATTACAGTTTTTTTTATTCTGCCTTTATATACCTGTTACTCTGGGTTGTGGGGTACTAAATAGTGAGGTGCTCCTGGTTCCTTTAGGCAAATGGTGGAGCAGCAGCAGCAGATGCAGGCTCATATGGAGCGAGAGCGACGGTCCTCCAACTCAGGTACCGCTGAACGCCACAAGTCACTCCTTCCTTCACACAGAAACGATTTGATTCTCTGTCCATGAACGTCCAAAGCAAACAGGCAGGTAGAATCCTTCATGGGCGCTTTCTTCCAGGTTCTCCTTTCCAGGGCCACCCTGCTGTGCTTTCTGTGGCCCCGCCAGTAGTACCTCCAGCGGTAAACATGGGTGGTCCCCCGCCCCCCCCACCGCCTCCAGGTCCACCGCCACCATCAGCAGGGGCGCCCCCGCCTCCCCTCCCTCCTCCGCTGCCCATAGGAGGAGGGCCTCAGGGAGATGAGCCCCCTGCACCCACGGGGCTCGCAGCTATGATCGCCGGAGCCAAACTGCGACGTGTCCAAAGAGTGAGACACCTTTTTTTTTTAGATTTATTTATTTTCCTGTCTTTGACTTCCAGGACTGAATGATCTCCTTAAAGTCGTACCAAAAAACTTTCCATTCCAAAGATAACTCACAGACTGGGACTCTGTGCTCTCTGCTCCACAGCCTGAGGATCAATCTTCAGGCCCCAAAAATGATGCCAACCGAACAAGTGGCGGGAGCGGAGGACTGATGGAGGAGATGAACGCTCTTTTGGCAAGAAGGTCGGAGAAAATGCTCTGAGAACAACCAAAAAGCTGACAAGAGTCTGTAGCATGTAGCCGCATTAGGCGGAATTGGTCGTGGAAGTCGTCACTCAGTGCTTAGTTTTGGTGTCCATTAGTCTTAATTATGATGAAATTCCTTTAAAATAAAGGGTCGTGGATGTAAATGAATTGCCTGTTCTTATCTGGGGCTTCTTCTTTCTCCCAGAAGGAAAGCAGCATCAGAGAAGCCGGAGGACAGCCAAAATGTGAGTGAATGCAAAATCTGCTCTTATTCATTTAACAATTAACACGTCATTAGAAATGTATCATCGACTCAGTGATTCAGCCTGTAAATAAAATAAGACTATGGACATGAAGATCTAAAGAAAAGATAGGGCCCGTTTCGGGTAAAGGACCAGCAGAGGTGGCCGTCATCACTTCTGCTGTAAAGCCAAAGGTTATCTTTTCTCGTTCAGTCAGCAGAACAGAGGTTTGCTGAGGCCCTGGGCATTTTTCAGGATGCTGCCCATTCATTCATTCTCTCTGTACTTTTCTAGGACGACCCAAACTCTTCTTCGCCCAGCACTCGGAGTGGACAGAATGCCACAGGTGGGAGAACTCCGCACATCAAAACACATTGTAAAAACACAGAAAAATGTGTTTAGGATCAGTGATGAGGGGCTGAGGTTAGAAAGTTCAGATGGACTAAAACTATCAGCTAGATGTTTAAAAAGCCTCCGTTGTCACTTTATATTCAGTTGATGTCTATTTTGTTGTTGTTGTTGTTGTTAGTTTTTAAGTCTGCCCTTTCTTCTCTCCTACTGCCCATACCAGTCTGAAAATGATTACACTTTTTCATTCATATGTGGTGTTTTGCCATAGATGGTGCAAAGAAACCCTGGGACCGAGCTAACTCCGCAGACAGGGCCATGGTTTCCAGGTGGGAGGCCCAGCGCAACAGCAACAGGGCCGGGGGGGGGGGGGGGGGACAATGGAAAATATGCTTCATTTATTTTTCTTTGTACTTTGCTTGCAGGGTACGAGCTGGAGGAAGTGGCGGCGACACAGACTCATTAGACCTCGACAGGATGAAACAGGTAAAAAGCAGAAGCATCCGAGCTAAAAATGAAAGAGGAACATTTGGCAAATGACTGGGGAAAATGGTCATCAGATAAAACAGGCTCCACCGGCTTTGGTGTTGTGTTATCCATGGTCACTGTTGTAGAAAAAATAGAACAGATAATCTGATGTGCATTTTATGTTTATACGTCAATAGAATAAAAACAGATCCTCAAAACGAAAAAAACTGAAGTAGAATATCCTTTTTTCCTTTAACGCCTTTTGTCTGTGTCTTGTTTCATGCGTGCTTCAACAGGAAATCTTGGACGAGGTCTTCCGTGAATTGCACAAAGTGAAGGATGAAATCCTTGACGGTGCGTTTAATTCAATTAATTTAATTAAACACATTGTTCGCTATTCTCATTTTTGTTAATGGACACTCCATTGGAGTGGAAATCTGTCCTGTGGGAGGGTGGCTCTGGTGGTTATGTGCAGTTCCAACCACTAGGAGGCAGTAGATGCTCATTGAAATTGAATTCGACCAGAAAAAGAGACAGAATAGATTTATTTTTCCAGTAGTCACTATTTTGTCATCAGATAGCATGAGGAGATAGTTATGATGCATTCTCTGTAAATAATGTTTCCAAACCGAAATTCGCACTTTTAAAACGTTGTTCCTGAGTGCCTCAAAAATATCCTCCACACTCCCTAAAATAAAATTATTACATTATTGATTAACTTTTTTTTAAATAAAACTGTTTTATTACATATAAAAAAACATTTCTTTATATTTTCAGATTAATACTATAGAATATTTATTAGAAAATTAGCTTTTTCTCTGTCTTTTTTACTCATCCCTGTCTGCCCCATGACCCAAGCAATGCTCGTTATCACTTTGCTCACCCACTAAAATCACCACTTGTGGCGTTCTGCTCTGACCTTCGTTGTTAGCCTGACTCTCTGTCCCTTGTTCTTACTCCTCACAGCCCTTAGACATGAACTCAGTCGAGTCAGCACGACATAATCTTTGAGGAGTACTCTCAGACATGAACCAATTTTTTCAAAGCATTGCCCCTGCAGCATCGGCTGTGGCCCTGAAGAGGAGGAAGAGGAGTCGGGAACAGAGGCCCAAACTGTGACATCTCATCGTTCAGCTGCGGTGCTGAAGCAGCGCGCCAACGTTGCTGCAACACCTCAGACGTGTCTGTGTAACGTTTGCGTTCTTTACTTTTTAGCGTACTTTATTCTATTCCTCCTTTTTCCACTGAAAGACACGACCAAGGTGCAGTCTCACACTGACTGCTCAGATTTTATTTACACGTTTGTCTGTTTGTCAGCCCAGTCCTCCTCCACTGTCTTTTGCCCAACTGAATCGAAATCTAAAATATTTAATTCATTCATCCATTAGTAGGAAAACTTTTTGTTATCTTTTTCATTATTATTACTATCATTCTTAAGATTCTCAGTGTATTCTTATGAATTGTAGTAGTGTAGTGCAATGTAATAAAGGGGAAACTATAAGAATATGATAGTAATTATAATGTTAGTTTTTATTATTGCACATCATGTTAAGTCAATTTTTTTGGTATTTTATATTTGTTGTTTTGCTTGAGCTACATTTGCAGGAACGTTCCCAAGTTTCGTTTCCCATCATTTGACCTGAAATGTTTATAAAAGGTTTATAATCCTATTTGCCAACAATTAAAAGTAAAAACGAATGTGGAAGAATTATAAAAAGAAAAGAAAAGAAGAAACAGGCTTGGACCTGGAACAGAGTGGAATAGATTATTTGGGTACAGCAATTTTAAAAAAGAAAAGAAAAGAAATAATGCACCAGGTTATTTGTGATCATGTTGTCCAGTTAAGAAATGTTTATTGGCTGCAAAGATGTGGTGAAGTATTGTTCATTTTATTCGTTCCTTTTTAGACAAAGTGCTTCCTGGTTTGAAAAAAAAAATCACCAAGTTTAAAACAAATTGAAATAAAACTGTGAACAATGTCTTGGATAACTAACAGTGTCCGTTTCCTTTTGTTCTTTTTGGTGTGATTTTAATACCTAATGGGATTTCAATCACAGCTGGATGGAGATGTCTTTTATGTTTAGCTAAAATGTATATGTTGGAGATTATCTTAACAACAAGGGAAATTATTTGATTTAGTCTCATCACTAAACACCTTAATATTTGTAATCCCGAAATTTGAACAGCATGATTTGAAAAAGTTGGGATTGAGTCATGTTTACTGCTGTATCCTTTTTTGGCACTTATGGAACTAACAACTATGATTGTTGAAGCTTTACAGAAAAAAAAACTGCATCCATCCTTGAATACAAAATTTTAAACGCTCAATGGTCTGTGGTTATTGCTTTCACACCAGTGTTTCACATGCTCTTGCCTCATCCGATAGTCATTTAGGCTTTTTAGGTAGAAAAAAGGTTCGTCTTTTTACCAGCAGCATCAGGTCTAAATCAATGTGGAATGACTTAGCATGGAATCAGCTGATAATAAATAAATAATAAACTGTTTCAAACTAATTAGATTTATCAACAGTTGTACACTCCCAAATATTCATAAAATTGACTTAGTGTGGATCTGTTTCAAGCCAATTAATTTATTTCCGAGGTTAACATGAGATATGGCATTAGATGAAATAACTGACGCTCTGTAAAAAGTAGATCTTTTAGCAAAGTATTTTTTTATATTGAAAGATTGATCTTTTTATAAAGAAAATGCATATTTTATTCTTGATTTGACTTTAGAGAGTTCCGGACTTGTTGAAAAATAAGTGAAACTTACTTAATATAAAAACAATCAATAAAATGTCTTAGAAATAATCATTTCTTAGTGCATTTGTGTGATTATTGATCGAAGTAAAGCCTTTTGACTTCAGATCCTCTGAAAGTTAACATTGATTATTTTTCATTCACTGATAAATACCCAATCATTCTCGTTTAAAGACAAAAACGCGAGTCCACAATTCTTTCACAAATTTGTTCTGTGTGCCAATTTTATCTAAAGAATCTCATTCTTTAATCTCTGGGAACCCCTATGGAACCCACTGTGGAGCAGCACAGTTCTCATTGGGTTCAACGAAGTCTCGCGATGGTTTAGCATGACAGAGCATAGTGGATACGAGAACTGGCGTGGGACGGATTGAGAAGAGTTGTTATCGAAGAAGAGGGAGAAGAGACAGAGGCTGGAGCAGAGCAGGGGGTGTGTGAATGTGTTTGTGAGGTCCAAAAAAGGAGCACAACACGGGTTGAATGAGAGAGGCAAACTGGCGGATTTCAATATGGCATCCGGAGATACTCTGTACATTGAGACAGACGGCTCGGAGATGCCGGCCGAGATCGTTGAGCTCCACGAGATAGAGGTTGAAACGATACCGGTTGAGACTATCGAGACCACGGTGGTCGGTGGGGATGACGATGACGACGGGCAGCCCATGATCGCGCTCCAGCCGCTGGTCACGGACGACCCCAACTCGATCCACCATCACCAGGAGGTGATACTGGTTCAGACGCGAGAGGAGGTAGTCGGTGGGGATGACTCGGACCTGCATACAGACGGCGGTGGCGGATTCGAGGACCAGATCCTCATCCCGGTACCAGCTCCGGGGGTTGAGGACGAGTACATTGAGCAGACTTTAGTGACTGTGGCTGGGAAGAGCTCTGTGGGTCGGGTGAAACGGGGAGGCGGCACTGGTGGAAAGAAAGCGGGCAAAAAGAGCTATTTAAGCGGAAGCGAGGCTGGTGGAAGAAAATGGGAACAGAAGCAGGTGCAAATAAAGACACTGGAGGGGGAATTTTCTGTTACAATGTGGGCGTCGGGTAAGTAACGCTAGCCCAACCGTGTTTAGTCAGCTTCGTTGCATGAGGCCTCATTACCAGGGCGTTGTCCTGGTGCACCAGACTATTTCCTGGAGTGGTCCGTTGCACCGTTGCAATAGGCGACGTTTAACGCAAGTTTTCGATGCAAAACCATTTAGTAGCATATGAAAATGTTTTTGTTTTGAAGGGAGGCCATGTTTTAGGTGTTGCTGGGCGCCGCCATATTCCCCGAGACTAGTAAGTATGGCGGCGGCCCCGAAAAAATGGCGATAGTCGCGGCCAGGCAGAGATGGCGGCGGTGCTCTGGGCAGGGAGGTAGCAGGGTCTGGGAATACCTCGCAGGCCGCAAAATTGTGGCGCACTTAACGCATGACTGGAGCTGGCGTGGCGCATTTGGAGCCCAGATACATAAGTTGAAGCGTAGTTTTACACTAATTTAGAGCCAAGTGCCGTTCATTTGTAATGTCTCATAGCAGTTAGCTGTGGCGGCCGTTGGCTGGACGTTAACCGTATAGCTTTGCGCCTAAAGAGCCGAGAGGGTGTGCGGTGGCAATGCACTTTGACCAGGTGCTCATCGGTCTACATTATGTCTTCATTATAGACGCGGGAGGCTTTTGAAAACTTTTAATAAAAAAAAAAAATGTTGCCGAGAAAATCATGTATTTCCCAAAACTTTGTAAAGCAAGCTAGTTTAACCTGCAAATCCAATTCTGATCTGGTCTATTTTTAGTGCACTCTGCTGGTTGATTGAGAGCAACGTTCATGTTTACACATGGATACCACGACAGTGAGCACTCCCTTATTGATTTGACTTATTTTTTTCTTTATATATATATTTATAGAGAAAGCTCACATATTTATTATCTCAGATTATTTAACATTTGATCCCTTATTTTATTTTATGTAAAAATTATTCTCAGTCACTATTTATACAGCACTTTTCATAGTTGCTCTAAATGGGTTTAAAATTAAATCAATAAAAATAAATCCTATTTCCCCAAGCCAAAGGAGTGTGGGTGTCCCATTCATAGACAGAAACCAGAGTAATAATCTTTAAAATAAAATCAAAAGAGAAAAAACGCTGTTGTAACCCTCACTGGGAATATTTAAGGAAACTAAAAGAGTGGAGAAAATAGTGAAAAATAAAATAGGATAATAATTTAAAATAATATAGGATATAATTGATTTAATTTTAGAAAGGCTACTTAAATATGTCTCAGTGAAAAAATATATTGAAAATATGTGCTAAATCAGTTAAGACTGGATAAAACATCAAATAGCTAAAAAAGCCAATTGGGGCCTTTTTAAATGTATTCAACTGAAAGCTTTAGTGGGAGTTACAATCGTCAACATTGCCAGTTGCCCATTATGTTGATATCTATTGTTATGTATGAGGAGATAAGTAATTTTAATGAATTTTCCTGCTTTATTTGTGCCCGTTAATTGGTTCATTGTTGTTTAAAATGCCACCACACCTCCTCTGTTATCAAAAGAGTTACCGGTGAGTCCACTTGATTAATCCACTCACAGTTTATTCCTTTTGTAAACTGCTTAGTAGGCTGTTTCACTACTCCAGAACTACTTTGATTTTGTGCAGCTCCCCTGATTAAGTTCCAAATCATGCGTTTAAATGCTGCAGAGTGAAAAAACGGTGAGCATTTCCTCAGATGTGTTGGAGTAGAGGAGAGGAAGCATTGGTTTTAGTCACTTTAAGTTGAAAGTAATTCTGCAGTAAATGGTTACACACGCAATATCTTTCACATTTGACACATTCTAATCGTAAATAACCGCAGAAGGTAAATGTTCAAATGTGTTTATGCAACAGTGAAGCGTGTCCTAATATCTGTTGTTGCCCCATGCTGCAGCAGATGTTTTCAGCCTCCCGGGGCTTGTTACCAGGATACCACCAATATGTTATCGGTTCAGTCTCTGTAATGTGTTTCTAGATGACAATAAAGACATTGACCATGAGTCGGTGGTGGAAGAACAGATTGTTGGGGAGAACTCCCCTCCGGATTACTCCGAGTACATGACAGGGAAGAAGCTGCCCCCTGGTGGTATCCCGGGAATTGACCTCTCAGATCCTAAACAGCTGGCCGAGTTTGCTAGGTAAGTGTGTGTGTGTGTGTGTGTGTGTGTGTCTGTCTTTCTCAGTATGAGCGCATCAGTTGCTCCCAGCAGTAAACAGGCCTGTTTACTCTGTCAGCGAAGTTCAGATGGAAACACAGGAAGCTGCAGCAGCTGCTGTTGGGGAGATATTCTTTTGTTGGCATCTGAGATGTCAAAAAAGTTTTAGTCCACAGCATGATAACTGGAACAGTTAAATGAGATGTTTACATAGAAGATGTGTGAAGAAATTATTACATGCAGAAAAAAAGCCTGTCAACTGTTAATACAGTTTTTGACAGTTTGCTTACCGCTGGGCCAATTGGTGCATATTCATATTTAAGATAATGCACCATTTGCTTATTTCATCAAATAGCTGTTTGAGTTTCATGCATCTACTCCTATTATGATATTCATTTTATGAAAAAATGTGAATGTTGATAAATTGATGACCATTTCAATCTGTTATGATAGAGTGATTTAATCCTCAAATATGTTTTAAATAGCCCTTTTTTGTACCGCTTTAAGTTATATATGATTGATTAACCTGGAGGTTTAATGTCATAGTTTTCTTTTGGTTAAAACACCCAATCATTTCTTTCCCTCCTCACCAGAATGAAGCCCAGAAAGGTCAAAGAGGATGACGCTCCCCGGACGATAGCCTGCCCTCATAAAGTGAGTTTAGAGACACTGCCCCCAACACACATCCAGTCATCAGTGAATCAGTCGATTGATGTTTTTTAGCTATTTTTGCTCTGTTGCTTTCAGCTAAAGGTGGCTCAAACACAAACACACAGCGCCACTTGTATACATTTTGTCTTGTTTTTTAATTTTTATGTACGAATAAGTAGATTTATCTGAACCGCTAATGTAAATGTTTCCTTTCCTTTGTGGGCACTCTGAGGGTGCAGTCGTTGACAGCTCATCACCACTTCAGGGTGGATTAGAGCTCTTTTTCATGGCCTTTTTTTCAAAGAAAAAAAAGAATAAAAAATGCTCTTCAGAGCGCTGAAAGCCCTCCACACTGGCATTTATCTTTAGAAGAACAAAAGACAGAGTAACCTTTTTGGCTGATGATTACAGCACTGACGGCAGAGCATCACTAGTATATCAATGCGGCACTCTTCTACATTTGGTCCCCAGGGCTGCACAAAGATGTTCAGAGATAACTCGGCCATGAGGAAACATCTCCACACCCACGGCCCACGCGTCCACGTCTGCGCGGAGTGCGGCAAAGCCTTCGTGGAGAGCTCCAAGCTCAAACGCCACCAGCTCGTCCACACGGGCGAGAAACCCTTCCAGGTGGGCATCTGTGCTGGCCTCATTCTGCTCTAAACTTTGATCTGTGTTTCCATTTTTAACGATGAACTGGAGTTTTGCCACAGAGAAGGGGCTCTAGGCACCTGAACGTCTCAGTAAAGCATCCCCTCTGTTTGGGTGGCCTTGTAAAGCCTTGCGCCATCTCAGACTTTTAGATTATTTCTCCCAAAAATGTTTTTGACCTGTCAGTAAGAAAGCCTTTTGTTGGCAGCTTTTTATGAAGTGAGATGTTCTGTGCCTGGCCGTTTGATCAGTGTGATGATCTCGCTGCCCTTCTCCTCACTCTCCTCTCAGTGCACCTTTGAAGGCTGTGGGAAAAGGTTCTCTCTGGACTTCAACCTGCGCACACACGTGCGGATCCACACTGGAGACCGGCCCTACGTCTGCCCTTTCGACGGCTGCAATAAGAAATTCGCCCAGTCTACCAACCTAAAGTCTCACATTCTCACACACGCCAAAGCCAAAAATAACCAATGAGAGCCCATCCATCCAGCGTCGAGCCACTAAGGCGGGAAGAACCCACCCCAAAAAGCCGAGCGTCCAGGTGGCACGCTCCAAACCTCTTTAGAAGGCGAAATGAAAAGCTTGAGACTCATTGATTTCAGAGATAAAAGATCAGACAGATTTGAAAGACAAACCCACGGAGAATCAGCTGGCTTTCCCGCGCATCCCTTTGTTCTGCTGTCACATTGGATGAGGAACACAGTGAATCGTCCCCAAACAGGCCCGGCCAACACCAGTCCCCGCTTTCTCCAGTGGCACTCGACTGCCAGAAGATGGAACCCATGGACAAACATCAGAGACTTATTTTTACCAGAGAACAGAGAAGCAACAGTTTATTAGTATCTTTATTTTGTCACTTTGCTTTTATGTCCCTCCAAGTGTGCATATTGTACACTTGCCTCAGGCTGTGTTTAGTAAAATTGTGATTACCCTTTTTTTTTCCCCCTTATGAAATCATACTGATATAGAAAACTAGGCCTCAGCCTTGTTCGAACTGGTTCACACTTACAAGTTAAAAACGGCTGTATGTTTGCATTTCCACACCTTCTTCCGTTGTATTTTTCTCTAACCACAAAATAACCTTGTATACCTGTATTTTATGGCTGTATTAAAATTAAGTAGACCTAGATAGAGGTGTGATTCAAAGTGTTAACCAATTAAACCTTTTAGTCATGAGTTACTTTCTATTTTCTATTAACTGTCTTCGCGCAGATGAGTGAGTAATGTGAACGTACTCTGAGCCTGTCACAGTTGAAGTATCTGAAGCCTACATTGAACCGATCGCGAAACCATCACTTCTTTGTTAGAATGTAATGTACAGGTGTCAGCCATGAACTTCCTTTGTTGATATTTACACCCATGTATCTCAGCTGCCCACAATAAAAAAAAAAAAGGGTCATTCCAACTCTGTTGAACTACACGGTGAGTTTTACCACGTGAATCTTTTTCTCTGACCAGCTGGTTTAAAATGAGTACGCAGGGGTGATAATGACTTTTCTTTTGTTGTGAGAAAAATTGGGGTTGGGTTTAGCTGCAGTACGGTGGGGTGCTGAGGAAGAGCAGTCGCCCGCCAGTGATGGAGCATTAAAGGTTCAGTCCCGACTTCCCCAGACCGAGTCCAAGTCTGAAGTCCACGTTCCCTCCGGCGTGTCCATCAGTGTGTGAACGAGTGTGACCGAGACATCTGCGAGGGTCCAGAGGCGTGAAAGGTAAGCTGAATAAGGGCCTCTTAGGCTGCCCCACTGAACATGACTCATGTCTTTTATAAGCAGCAGCATCCAACGCGACCGCATTCACCCTTCAAAACACTCAAGTAACACATAAAACGTCTGGTGAAAAGATTTTTTTATTCCTTGAAGCTCGACTTTGGAGGTTGTGTGGCAAAATATCTGTAAAATGGAAATTAGAAGAGATTATTTGCAACATTTTTTTTTTTTTTTTAAATGCATGGGGTTCCAAGAGAAATTACCTAAATGAGAATTCCAGATGTTTTGTGCATGTTTTTTCCCCTTTTAATTTAAAGAACAATGTTTTTAGCATGTTGTCAGTTTTCAACTTAAATCATTCAAATGATGAAAAAAAAAATTTCAGGTACCCTTTTCACATCTTTACATTGAGAAATGTTGACGTTTCTGTTATTTCAGCAGCCTTCTGGCAGAAAGGGACCTTGAAACTGTTTAAAGAACACTTTGTGAACCTCTGCTCTTATAGATAGATCAAAGACTTCCTCAAACAAATCATGCTTCTACTTCAATTAGGAATGAAGGAAAACTAGGTGTAACCGTCCACAAAGGCCAAATGTGTCAGATTTCATTTATATTCGGCTGAGGATAATGTTTTAATAGCTGTATCGCTTCAGAGAGATTTCCTTCCTATTCTCTTGAATCTCTACTGGCAGTTTTTGAGTTCACTTGTAAGTCTTTTCCTGTTTCTGCTCAGCCAGCAGGATTAGCTCAACTGCTTATGTCAGCGTCCTGTTAAGATGCTGCTCTTTGGCCTGATCCCCAGGGCTGCGGCTCCCCGCCCGCTGCTGCCCCCTTCAGGCCCAGCGGGGTACTGCCGGGCACCGGCGCTGTCCGTGGTGCTGACCAGCGGTTAAACAGCCCAAGCTGGTGCCCTGAAAACTCACGTCCAAGTACAGAAACGGTAGCTCCTGTGTATTATTACTGTTGCTAGACATTTTTTTCTTTCTTTTGTATCAACCAGTCCTGCTTTAAATTCAGCACCAGACCTACGTTTCTTCTACCTGACACCAATTTTGGTGAAGTTATTCCATCCTCCTTTTTGTATGTAAGAGCAAAGAAGAGAGTCGGGATGCCCAAAAGCTGATTCAGCATGATTCCACTTGGGAGTATCTGTCTCTTTTCTTTTCTTTTTTGTTTTCCTCTCTTTTCTAAGGAGGCATTTTATTTACAGCTCAGGTTGTTTTTGATTGACAGGGGAGAGTGAATGCGCTACTTGTTATGCAGCTGAAGTCTGTCAAGCCTCCAACACCTGCTCCCTTTCAGATGCTTATTTCATTACGGCTTCTCACTCCCAGAAGTCGAGGGACTTGATCCTTTTTCCAAAACCTGCGCTGCATGTTTACCTGCATGTTTACCTGCATGTTATTCGCCCTCTCCTTCAGCTTTGGCCCGGTCCCTGCTTATTTGGATCCCCGCCGCCATGCCGAGGCCTTGATTTTCTTTCATTAGTTTGTCTGCCTTGCCTTTGTTGCTATAAAGGCAAGCAAACAGGTTCATCACACAGGAGCTGTGGGGCAGCCTCAGTGAGTAAAATGAGCCTCGGCCCTATCTGTTAGTGGAAGAAATCTGCACAGATCTCCTTTTATAGTTCTTCATTACACTCCTGCTAGATTCTCATCCCTATTTTCCTCGCTCCAAATCGCCATGTGTTTGACATGTTTGACTATCAAACGTGAATTAATTTGGCTCCTCAATCCCTGAGCACTACATCAGAGCTGGTATGTAGGTTATCCCTTCCACCACATCCTTGGTTATATAATTAAACCCTGTCATGCTTAACTCTTAAACTGCTCCCTCACAAAGACGATTCATCAGACAAGCCCAACGATTTGAAAAGACAAAACAAATAACTCCTTTCCATCCCCTCCATTGGATCAGATCTGTTTTAGCTGGTTTAAATCTCTTGGAGTGACTTTCTTTATCTTCCTTTTTTTTGCGCTGGGCACAGGGAGAGATGCTATTTCCATGCAGAAAATATGTTGCCAAGGTAACAGAGGAGAGTGTGAAAGCATGTGAGAGAGAGAGAAGAGGAGGCTGAGATACCCCCCCACCCCCACGCACCAGAATGCCAGAACTGCTGCAGCAGATGTTAGAGTGCGCGATCCGCCCTGCAAACATCCAGCCGGCCTGCACATCGCATCACAGCGTCTGTCCTTCAAAGCTCCAAATTCTAAAACCTCGGATTTAGTTTCTCACCGTTTTTTTTCTTTTGCAGCAGTATAGGCTGCAGTTTACCTTTCATTTTCCTGTGCCACACATCCGGTCTCACTGAGCTGGCCCCGACTTAAATAGAAAAGCTTTTTACAGTCGTTCTCGGCTGGCGTGCTCTTCTCTCCAGGTTTCTCTCCGTGTCTGACAGGCCTTAATTTCCCCCTAATTGGCAACACTACACTGAAGCCAGAGCAGGTTATAAAAGGACTACATGGCTGGATTTTCATGTCTGTAAACCAGCATGAATGCACCAGTGTAATACACGCAGCATTAAGCTTCTCTTTTTATATTCAGTCATTTCAGTCTTGTGTTCTGTACACAGGGTTACAACTCCCAGGCTCACAGTTTTTAATGCCTTGGTTCACATCAGTTTAAATACTCAGGGTTGATTGGAGCAAGTAAGCAAGCAGTGTGTGTCTGTTTTTTCAGACACCTAGCAGATAAAGAGTGATGAATCAGTTTTTTTGTACAGAGCTAAAAATAAGCGCACTCCCCTATTTTTTTTTTTATGCTGCTTTCTTCCGAGGCTCTGTGCTCTTATGCATGTATCTGTCATCTATGATTAGTTTTCAGATTCCACTCAGGGGAAAAAAAGAGGGGATCCAACTGTTCTTAGAATGTAATCTCCAGAAAAATGTATTCAATTATTATCAATTGGGATCAGGTTATAGAACACACCTAACTTAACCTAAATTATGAAAGAAACTAGAATCCTTTTTCTGCTGGGATAAATGAATCAGTCATAAATTATTAGTTGTTTAAACAATATTTGTTTAAATGTATTCTTCTGTCTTTTTATGAGTCACAACATGTCGTTCTTGTATTTTCTCTTGTTTTTTTAAAGTTTCTTTCTTTTCTTGTGTTAAAACAGCATGAAAAGCACTTGCCAGTGCTCTGACTTTTTCGGCCTCTGGTCTGTCCGCTTCCAGCAGCTTTGATGTGCAGCATGCTTTAGTAGCAGGTGAGCAAACACTGTGCTCCGCTGTTTTCAGACTCCGGCCGCTCCGCTGTCAGGCAGTGCCCATCTCTGTTTTACTTCCTCTGGCTGGCTCTCCCGCAGCAGGTAGGACACGCCAGTCACAGATCGACCTTTGTTTGATTCATGCTCCCATTCATTTCAACATCCCCGTCACGTTCTCCTCGCTCCACCCGGCCGCTGAAGGTGAACTCCTGTCAAAATAGTGAAGCCATTACATCTCCATTTCAAATCGCTGACTGCACGGCTGATGTGATCAGTAAGCCCGCTCTGCATTGCAAATTCAGGCACAGTCAAATGGAGGTGCCCTCGCCGACGAGGAATATGAAGAGCTGCCTGACACACTCGCTTTCTGGTGATGGCGCTCTGTCTGATCAGCAGATGACAGATTATCTACTGCAATTTCTTTCATTTTTCTGTTCACGCCCCATCCCAGCCAGCAATTGAGACCCATATGCTTGTTTGGTGTGAAATGTTAAATGTTAGATATGACACCATAAATTGATATGTCTACTTAACAAGCACACTGGTGCCACTCGGAGCAGTGAATAGGATTGGCACACAGGAACACAGTAATTTCTTAATCCTCTTTTGAGCTGGTTTAGGATGCCCTAAAGGTAAACATATTTATGTCAGTGGATTAAAAATTGTCCAAAAAGAATGCAGATATTCAGGCGGTAACATCTAAGTGTTTAGAGCTACTTGGGGTCTGTGGGATGGGAGTTCACATAATGAGTCCCAAAACCCCCGAAAAGCTTCCTATTTGCTGGTATCAGACAGCTGAAGTGATCACTTGAAGTAAATCACTGTGATTTACTCTCTATGTGCCCCACTTCACCAGCTATTGATAAAGAGTTGAGAGCTGACTGGCACATCTGCTTGGCAGTTGCACTGCTCTTTTAGTGATCTCCAACGCTGGCAAATCAATGAGAGATCCATCATTCTAGAGGAGGAGAGCAAATCACTTCTATAAGAGATAGCAGCTATCAGCCAAATGGGCAGAAAATGGTTCCTAATGGTGCCTGGTATGTCTGGCGTTAACGGCAGTCAGGCTCCTTGTCGTCCATCACCCTGCAGCATATGTATCAGAAAGAAGGGAGGCTCAGAGAGAAGAGAGGAAGAGGAGGAATCATCTGTTCGTGCAGCGTGGGAACCCCTTCAGGGGGTTGCAACACGATAATGTAGCTTCAAATCAAACCAAATCTTGTGGGATGATGCACTGTTTCTTTGGCCTGTATCTCAAATGGAGGAAGTAGCCCCCCCCCCCCCCCCCCCCCCCCTCCATATTTAACCTCCTCACAGTCAACTCCTTCACTTTTTAATGAGATTCTACAAATGCGCACTCACTTTTGCTTTCAGTTTGATCAAATCCTGCTGGCAATTGGCTCAAACGCTGAGATCATGAAATATGAATGACTCCAACCTGTCTCCAGATCCCTTAAACTAGCAAAGCCACACGCAAAGCTGGACTAGTTTTCAAACTGAGAAGTTTGAATCAACAACTGGATACTTGGCAGAATAGTTTTCTATGTTTGTTTGTTTTGGTGGTTAATTCAAGTGACAGTTGGTCCTGAATAAACAAGCAGATCAGTTTAGATTTGACCATTTCAATTATTTTCCCTCTTGATAAGACTGCTGCGTTCCCAGGAACAGTAATCACATTCACTATTTATGAGCCATGATGTTCTGTCTCAATCCATTTACGCGTCTCAATAATGCATATTTGTTGGAATTGCCTCTGCATATTTTACATTATGACACCCCCTCCCTTTAAGAAAAAAAAAGGGAGAAGTGGTGTTGTGGTTGCACTCCTGACTGGGCTCTCTTTACGTGAGCCCTCAGGAACAATGCTTGGCAGAGAAATGATTTGTCCATGTGTATGACTTTGACTAACACTGCCTGCTGTGTGGAGATAATGAAACACTGAGCCACAGAACAGAGAGCGAGAGGTGCTGACACACTTGTTGAAGAACCTTAGTTCTGTTCGATTAAGGCCTCCTATTACTCCTCTCTAACTCTGATGCTAATAGGCCCTTCAGTCTGTTGAAGTAGGAACAATCATCTCTTTAAATAAAACAACTGACCACAAATTGCACACATCATAGCCCTAATGTGATTATACTCACAAGATGACTGTCAAAAAAGTCCTCCTCTAATAAAAATAATAATAAAAAATCTGCACCAGTATCAAAAGTTGTGGAGCTCTGGAATCTGTGAGTTAAATTTGAGCCGTGCAAGCCTGGAGTGATGTAAACCAGGAGCTGGCAGAGCCAGCCTTAAAATGTAGTAGCTCTTATACCTTCTTGTCCAGATTGGGAGCCTGGAGTTATAGAGTTTTGATTTAGCTATTTTTTTAGGGAATTAATAGCTGCTGGAGTGAGACTTCAAAAGAAGTCAATTATTATGATAGAGCACATGTCGATGTAAGCTCCTCATAAGGGGACTTGCTCTGTCAGAATAAATTGAAATTCCCACCAAGGAATAATAGCCTCTAAGCAGCAGGAGTAGAAAATGTATCTGGGATTAGATGGGTGGCGATGAGAGGGATTTTCACGGTGGCTGAGAAGCCTGACAGGAATCCCACAGTTTAGGCTAGTGAGTCAGCATGTTGTGAGACAGGAGACTGCCGAAGAGGTGGTTGTTATCAAGAGGAATAAATCCCAACGAGGGCTTGGAAATGAAACTTAGAGGTGTGGAATGTGGGTCAGGCTTGTGCAGTTTCGTGGTACTGCACAAAAATTGCATGTGGCCGCTCAGTTCACTCTGCTCTCCTTATTCCCTGAACTCTATTTGAGGTTTATCACTCATACTCGCCCCACTGCTGCCTCCCCCTATTCTTACCATATTTGCGAAGGTGGGCTGAATGCCGAAGAGCCAGAGGCTGCATGGCGGCCTTTTAAGAGATGCTCTTTTTTACTGCGCCCTGCTCTACATTCTCTCTTACACTGGGCTCCTTGTGCTGCTTCCCTCTCTTGTCTGACTCTACAACTCTGAGCCGTCTCCTTTTCTTCTCTACACCTCTGTTTCTTCTTTCCCCTAACCCCTGCCTTTCTTCCTCCCTGCTTCTCTCCCTTCTTGCTGTTTTTGTTTCTCAAAACCTTCCATTTACTCCTCTGCCTTGTTTCCTCTCTTCCCCCCGCTGCCTCTTTCTCGCTCCAGAAAAGCATCTATTATTAGCATTTACCTCTGGCTCTCGCCAACAACAGAACAAGCATTCAGACTAAGCTCCTCAGCATTTTGATGACCACTGATAGGCGAGAAATAATTAATAAAAATGCTTGAATGCATCCTATTTGGATAACAGGAATCAATGTTTGTCAAACATATTGTGTGTGCTGCTCGTCTTGGCACATTTTCCTGTTTAAAAAGAAGTGCATTTGAAACCAGCCGTGAAGTCTCCCCAGAGATTATAAACAATGAGATGCTAGTGTATGTAAAAATCAATCTGCCAACATCAAAACACCAAAACATCCAGCGAAAACAGACCTCACATTCCAGCAGATAACACATATTATTTCAGTGCTGTGACTGTAACAGTGGAATTAGTCGCACACGGGTTCCCACTGTGGAGGTTGTGTTTAACCTCTCCTGCGGCAGGTTTCCGCAGTGAGCTGCCTTTGGAGGGAACAGACACGCTGCTGTTAGATGAGTGGTGAGATGTGCAATCGAAAAGCGTCCCTTGTGACTCGCTCGGCCTCTTTTCATCATCTGCTTCCCTCGTCTCTTTGAACAAACAGAGAGGCACAGGGACCCGTCAGTGGTTCATCACTTGCAGATAAAGGGGAATGCTTTATTTTTTTTAAGACGACTAAAACCTTAAATTTCTTCCCACACTGACTAGAATAGGAATGGATGCGGATGTTTCGTTCTGCACCTCACTCACTAATTTGTGAGGTGAGGAAAGTTGGTAGAACACCCGAGGCTTATTGAAAATGACATGAATGTGAGTGTGTCCCTTTAATCACTGGTTTATTAATACTGGTAAACATCAAACAGAAACAACAGCAAAATCAAGAGCCGACGTCCTCCCATTCCTGTAATTACCATTTCTCTTACATCCACAAGTTAATTTACAATGGTTGTTGTTGTTGTTGGCATGACATGATAACATCCGTAAGTAAAAAATATGGAAATGAACCATTCCACTGGATCTTACCAACATGTAATGTCAGATATCTCGTCATGCCATTGGAGTTGCCTCTCAAGTCAGTCAGGATAGAAATCCTATCAGAGTTGAGTCTGTGTGTAATTATGTGAGAAAAAAAGGACTGATTCAAACCAGAGGGCAGTATTAGGCTAACTTGTGCCACAAAATGCTGCATTGTGCTGTGTCTGGAAGGGTCGGGATGAAAAGCTGGAGCGCTGGCCGTCTACTACATTCTGTTCCCACACCTCTGGGATGAAAAAGACCACATTCTTAATCTCTCCAAAGCACCACCAAGGTAATTAAGACATATCATCGTCTGTGTGTGTGTGTGTAGCTGGAGACAGACACTGTGTTCAAAGTCGTTACAGATTTTCTCACCGTAAGTAATAGTCTATGTAAAGACTGAGTAGAGCAGCCTCCTCCCAAGTGTGATCTTCTTGGTAATGATCTCCAGTATGTCCAGGTACTGCATTCAGTACCACATGAACACTTATGGTTGCACTGAGATGTATAGTATCTCACACAAATTAACATTTTTGTACATTATGTCGTTTTATACATTGTGTTGTGCCTTTCATAGAAGTTTTTTTTTAAATGTTATTACGAGGACTTTGATAGGTTACAAAGAAGAAAATCTTTCCCGTTATCCCTTGTGTCAGCCTTGCACAGGTCTCTCCACACCTAGAGCACCAAAGCTCCAAGCAAGGCATAAAATTCCTGTTTGTTCCGCAAGGGGTCACAAGTCCGATCCCAGAGTACCAGAGGGCGCAGGGCGTTCATTTCAAAATCATAAAGTGCTCTCCAGCAGCCACTCGGACCTGGAGAGTTTGTCCCTGGCCCGGCGAATGTTTGTTGTGCTCTCGAGCTGTGGCAGCTCCCCGCTCATCGACAGGCTGCGTTTGGAGCGCAGACTGGCACCGGCTTTGGGGTAGGCCATGTAGCAGCGCTCCCTGTACGAGTCCGCGTTGAGCGAGTGTCTGCGGCTCACCCTCGCGGCCCCCGCAGGCACAGTCATGTAATGTCGAGACGCTTGGTGGGGCCGTGGACCTCTGGGAGCGGCAGTCCATGTGGTAGGCTGACCCGGCACCGTCAGAGGGAAGTCAGCGGGCGTTTTAACATCTGATGAGTTATTCCGGTTCATGTTGTTGAGCTCAACGTCTGCCTGAGCCTCGGACCGTCGTGCCTCTGAGGGTTTTGGCGGAGCGCTGGAACGTTTGGGCCTGGGAGCTCCCGGAGAGGCTGGGTGCCAGCTGTGACTACCGGCAGCAGTGGAGACCATGCAGTCAGGGACTGAGGCTTTTGTGGAGGGCACAGTGACAGCCGGTCGCTGTTTGGTTGGCTCTGGGGGCGGGAGTGCAACTCTGAGGCACTCCTTGTCATTCTTCTCTGGACGGAGCACCTGCTTTGAGAGGGATTTGGGCATTCCACAACCCTGAAGCTGTCCATCACTGCTCAGGGAGCGAATATCCCCCATCTCGAGGGCCTGCCATTACAGGAGACAGGTACGGCAAGAGAGAGAAGAATGGCAACACATCCATTACACATCCCGGGTTAAAAGCCACAAATATGAGTGAACAGAACACAATGGAAGATGCCTAACTTACCTTATCTGCTTCTCCTTGGTTACACACCCGATAGCGCACAATGAGGAAGATGATAAAAGCCAGTACGGACGCCACAATAATCCCTCCAATGATAACCACAATGGTGCCTCCGAGAAACTGGGACTGCATGAAATGGCATCGCAGGTACTGCGGCTCAGTAGTGAAGTGGACGCAACCTATCACCCTGGTGGCAGTCAGCGAAGTCACCAGGTCGTCATAGATGGCCAGCACACACAAGTCATATTGTGTACCAGCTGCCAGGTTGTTTACCAGGATGCTCTTGCTGCTTGGGGGTATCATTCTGTGGAGAGAGAAGAGCTTTGTAAGTTGTGGCATAGATTAGGGAGGTTTAAATGAAAATGGACTGAAGCAAATCAGATTATCCAGCTTACTGTTGTTGGGATGAAATGACATGGCAGTGATTTATCTCTCAGGGGTAGGTTTAAGATGTGTCTAGGCGCAATCTTTTTGTGACATTTGATTTATTCTTTCAACAGGACCACTGATAACAGGTTGCCTGGGAACACAGGATGCCTCTGCTTGTTTGCAGGATTTGGATGGCAGTCTTTCATGTCCCCTGAATCCTGCAGCCACTGCTAAAATGCCATATGTGCCACTGATCTGAAAGCTCTTTGACAAAAGAAGAGTGTGCAATGATCCTATCACATCCCACTGATTACCACTAAATATGGAGAGAAAGCAGGTAGGGATAAAAGAAAGCAGTATGCGGCGGTTCTTTAGATGGGCTTGAACAAAGCCACTGATGCTTTCTGTGAAACGCTGGAGGACGGATTGTTTCATCTTCCTATGGGTCCACAGCTTAATGCTGACTCTCTGTTTTGATTTTGTTGATTAAGCATGATCAAGATCTTGTGTATAGTAAGTAATACGCTAGGGGGGATTATGAGTCAAGGATAAGAAGTCGGATACTGTGCATTATTCTGTCTTCCTGATGCGACTGACAGATACCACAAATCCTGCCGGCAGTCAGGCTTTCAATGGCTGGCCATCCAGAGCCACTGACGCACTCACAGTCAAATATGAAGGTAAGTTAAGAGTCATGTGACTAGAAATGTGGTTCAGTTTGTTCTCTACACCTCAAATTCTGACTAATTCTTATTAGTGTAAACTGTGTTGCCTAACAACATGCTTTTAGTATTATAACACATCTATAGTAGATTAAGTCTTTTTCTATACCTGTATACCAGTGAATCATCATAGGTCCCATTGTACTGGATTTGAAACATGCGAATTCCAGGAATACTCCGGTGGAAGTTAAAGTTGACCAGGGCTGAGGTGGAGGTGGCCTCAGCGATTACTACTTTCTTCTCTTGGCTTGTCTTAGCATTCCCCAGAGGCACTCCTCCCACCTCTGGGCCCGTCTTGGTCACTGTGGCGATATCTGATGATCCTGGGTCAGGCTCCTGCTCAGCAATTGTATTGTTGGTGATGTGAGGGAGTTTAGTTATGACCAAATCCACTGTCTGCTGAGCCTCTCCTGCCGGATTGGAAGCCACGCAGGTAAAGGAACCTGAAACACAAACTAATATAATTATGATGCACCATTGGTGTGTCCACTGAAATGGAAACATATTGAACTCCAGAGCTCATGCAGTGCATGATTTCCCAGTGATAATTTTCTTTTGATTGTGTAATTAGATAAAGTCAATATACTTTATTTTCTGTTTAAGAAGCATGTTGGACTGCATGTGGTGTGATGGTTAGCACCGTCGACTCACTACAAGTGGGTTCCTGGCTCAAATCCCAGCTGGGGACCTGGAGTTAAAATGTTCTTCCTGTGAATGTGTGGGTTCTCCCCAGGTACTCTGGTTTCCTCCCACCATTCAAAATAATATTTATTCTTATACTGTGCATAGCTACAGCTCATCTTGAAACCTTCTGGCTGGATTGCTTTGTTTTAGCTCAGTTTAAGGCCCTTGCAAAAGGCCAAATCTACTCTGAGTGGTAATGCCTGTAAGAATAGTGAAACAGCTTAAAAGGGGGTCCCTCCTTTTGGTGGGATTTTTACATGCTACTGTGCTGTCAAAAAACTCTTCTTTCCTGAAAATACCTGAGCCTCTGAGACTTTAACCTACAAAAAAACATTAGCGTGAGAACAAACATATTAATGATCAGATGGACTGTTTACAACAGAAAGCTAACCATCAGTGGACAGGCCACTTGTCCTTTCCTTGTGACTTTTATCCGTACATCAGCCCACGTGTAGCCACTGTCAACTTTATAATGTAGACAAATACTTCAGACCTAGCGGCTTATAGTGTGTGCAAGCAAACAACTCATTTTGTTCAGTCAACAACACTTGCACAGCGGGGATGTAAACAGACCTGAGTCCTTGACAGTGCTGATGAGGATGTCCAGGGTTCCATCTGTGTGGACCACTGCCCTGGAGGAGTTGGACATTAGGCGTCCATCTGGCGCGATCCAGTGGATAATGGGGTCGGGGTCGCCCCTGGCCTTACAGCGGAGGGTCACACTCTGACCCTCTAAAGCTCGTAGTTCCTGAGGCACAAGCAGGGGAAGCACTGCTTTGTACACATATGTCTTTTTTTAATCTGTAATTGATTTTCTTCCCTGCCACCAGGTCTGCTGAATGTATATCAGTTTACGCAGATTAAGTTATTTGGCAGGGACTTAATCAGATAATTCTGTTTGGATGCATGGCTCAGTGACTAAAGTACTGCAAACTTCTATCATGCAGCAAGAGCTTCACCTCCAATCTCTCATAAACTTTCTCATTCTGAGTCAAGAGATAACCAAAATCCTGATAAATAACTTTGCTATAAGCTTTTCAGCAGAGTTTAATATTTTAATTGCAATTACTCTGACAATAATCTGCAGGTCCCAGACATGTTCAAGGGTTCATGCATAACTCCTCAAAATCAAAAGCTAATATTTGCTTTGTCGGTCCAGCAAAGCCCAAAGTGGCACTCTGGATTAACTAAGGCAATGGTTGCTGAGACAGTGGAACAGCGGGGTGTGTTATGTCTTGACAGAGCACGATTCAGTTTACCTGAGAGTGCCTGGTGATGAGAGGAGGATCACACAGGAATTCTTCTTCTGAAACAGTCCAGAAATAACGTCCGGCAAGGTGCTGTGGTGACGCACACGTTTCCAGATCGTCTTCCCTGCGCAGCCTCCGCAACCACAGCAGCTCACAGTTACACCTCAGCGGGTTTCCCCCAAAGCTCAAAGCGAACGACGAAGGACCCATAATGCCGGATGTGGCAAGGACCCCGGCTCTTTGGAAAACTGGGTCAGGGGGAAGCTTTTGGAGCTTGTTGGATGTCACATCCAACCTTTTAAGCTTCTGCAGTCCAGAGAACGTTCCCTCTGGGATGTAGCTGAGCATGTTGTGGTCTAAATTGAGCGTGTGGAGATTGGACATCCTCTGGATAGCCACCCAGGGGGCGCTCTCTAAGTTGTTATAGGATAAATCCAGTTCCTCCAGCGCCGTTAGGTCATTGAAGGCCCCGCTGTGGATGTGGGTGAGCTGGTTGTTGTTGAGGATGAGATGGTGCAGCTTGGACATGCCGCTGAAGGTGTCGTTGGTGATGCGAGTTAGCCGGTTACTGTCGAGGTGAAGGGCTCGTAGGTTCTCCAGGTCTTTGAATGCATGAGGCACGATTGAGCCAATGGTGTTACGAGAGAGGGTCAGGTCAACCAGCTTGGTCATGTTGGCGAAATCTTTGCGTTTAACGGTGGTTACAAAGTTATCACCAAGCCGCATCTCCACCGTGTGCCTGTCGATGTTGGGGGGCACAAACAGCAGGCCCTTCTTGTCGCACAAAGTTGCTAAATTGGGGTTAAGCATCTGGCAGACACAGCGTTTGGGGCAGATTTGAACTTTGTGTGCTTTTATAGCCACACTGAGGACTATCAGAAACACCAGGAACGACTCCATTTAGCTTTCAATCAGGTTGACAAACCTAAAAACAAAAACAGAGTTAAGTTTTTTTTTTTATAAAAACATTTAAAAAATACAGACATGACATTTGAAGTTGTATCACATTTAACAAAGTGTAATATTTGTTGCTCTGATCATAGCAAAAAGCCACACTTTAAATGAGAAACTGTATGATTTTGACCTGGAAAGTAAAAGCTTTTTGGCTGATTTGAAACACCACGGGTGGCAGCTTGAAGCTCCGATTTGAAGTGGATCCAAAATGTGGGCAGGAAGCTAAGCAAGTCAACGCCTGAACAAACAATAGATGCAGTGCAATTAGACATGAAACCAATTAGTCACCTGCAGACTGGAGAGTGAAACATCCCCAGTAATCATGTCTGGTCTTTGTGGCAGTGTTCCCTTTAAGCCCCGGCTCCCCTGATCAAGCGTTTTTGATATGATAATACTAGTCCTTTTAAGTTTGTGTACAGAAGGATGAAAGTCTAGACCGGCAGTTGGAGGCCTCATAAGAATTAGACTGAACTCTCCTAGGATCCTATTGCCAATAGGAAGAGATGATTGGGCCTGGTGCCTCAGTGAGGACGTGCTATACTTTGCTATTGATTTTCATTCTGCTCTTTTGGTTGCTACTCTTACTCATGACACGGCTGAGATGGAGGATAAGAAGGGATCCGTTTGATGAATCCTGAGGCATTGTCAGGGATATAGGATCTCATAACTAAGCCCTTGGAGATCAGATCACAGCTCTGTAGTTGTCCCGCACAATGTCTCAGGGCATGACTGATGTTAGATGGGTTTATATTCGATATTTAGGACTGAAATACAGTGCCATTGTAGTCAAACGTACAGTGTTCACCTTCCCCTTGGGTTTCCTGGAGTTTCTTTGTAGAGCACAGGAAGGAACATCAATCCAATCAAGAGAGAGGGAACGAGAGATCAAAACTCACAACTTCAAGTATACAAAATTTGAATAGCAAAGAGAATAGGTAAATTATGATTGCAGCTTCCTGCGGCCTGCTGGTAATGCCCCCAGTTTCCACGATGGGTGCTGCAGGTTATGCAGGGAAATTGTGCCTCAGCGAATAACATATCAGCCGACAAACTTCATGCTTCAAGGGCTTCTCCTGCACCTGAGCAGTGACGCGCGGCTCACGGTGTGATAACCCTGCCAGTCTGAGACTCCGAGTGTGAGGAGAAGTTTATCCAGCAAACATCAGACAGGACAGGAGTGACACACACAGTCATGTGAGGGAGTGAAGAGGCCCGGTGGCACCCGCCGACCGCGCTTGCTTTTTGACAGCTGTGTAAAAAGGAAGGAAGCAGAAATGAGGTCGCCTTTAAACGACCCATAATACAGAGGGGAGGAATATTATTGGAGAGAGCACGCTGACACTTTTATGAGGATGAATAAATGTCTGTTTCTGACCCATTTTTGCAGAGGTGCGACTTCACCAACTTGCACAAGACTTGTGGATTTTATTTTTATTGGTGCAGCGGTGCGTGGTTCCGACAAGGTGGTTAAAGGAATCTAGAGTCATTACTGAAACCTGCCATGATTGCCCTACCCCAATGGCTAGTTTAACATATACTTTAACATGATGAAAAGAGGATTTTGCCTCAGCTCTAAGGTTTACATATTAGAAATAAAGTCATCTGGGTACATACAACCTCAGATAAACTACATGACATTTTACACATTATCTTAGCATCTACTAATCTAAAACTAATACAAATAACAGAGGAAGTGTGTGTAAACAACCCATAGGTCGATGTAGTTACAGAAGCAACAACTCAGGCTAAAGGTTTTCTGTAAGGTGATGTCAGACTTACTTCCGAGGGAATTTTAGCCCAATCTGAATGACAAAGTTGCTTTAAAAAATAGGGATTTGCTGTGATTTGTTTATTCACCACTCCTGTGTGGTACGAATACAGCATTTCAGACATTTTGAGGTCTGGACTTTGACCGGATCATTGCCACACATTGATTTTCTTTTCATTCGTTTTTTAATCTTCTTTCAAAAAAGAGATGTTTCACATCACAACCCCTCCAAGAAAGTCATTTGTAAGGGTGTACTTACCACCCATGGATTTAGCATTAAAGCTTTTTTTTACTTTATTCTTTTTGTGAACAAAAGCCCAGCTCAACCTGTTATGTGTAGCTGGTCATCTAAGGTTATCTTTACCTCACTTTAAGGCCTGGGGGCCTAAAGACAGGAAGACTCTCTCATTTAATACAGTTTCTTTCACATGGCTGTGCCAGTGTGCTAGAGTGTATCCGAGCCATGTCGGAGTACAAACCACCTTCAGCTCTGACTGAATGGAGCGGTCCCCGGCTGTGCAATGAGGCAGAGAGGACCTGCGACTTCCAGCCTCAAATGGTGCTGAAAACATGATATTGATTCACCCGAGGGAGATGAGGCTTTTTTAACTGATTCATTTAGTTGTTTATCGCTGCTGAAAACCCAGTCAAACGTGAAGAGAGTGATCGCAGTACTTGTGCTCCAAAAATGTGTTCTATGTGGACAAAGGGACACTGCTCCACCCCCGCTGCTGAGACCTGGCCAGAAATATCAGTTACCATCTCCCTCATTTGCATTTATTTATGGCTGCTCCACAGACATTTGCATAACAGGTTGCACTCATCAGGTACACGAACAAGAAAGTGGATAATCAATTAATGCATTCATCAATCACACACTTCAGCTTTAAATGTCACACCCACAGAAAATCATTATCGTCCAGGTTGCGCTGCTCATTACGGCGAGGCGTCTCGGGAGGCCCCAAAAATAAACATGAAAACAGACAATGTATTGATGCATCAGCCATAATCTCCTTCTCACTCAATCACATGTAAGTTTACATCTCAGAAGGTATTTTCACCCTCTGAGAACAGAACAGACTGACAGCCCACACCCACACATGCACACCAGCGCATTCGTGCCTGATAGAGGAGGCTCAGCTCACAGCAACCTACAGCTGCAGAGACACATTCATGTGCAGGAGCCGTATTCCACAGAAGACTACATCTACACTCTCCCTGGGGTAGCATTGGCCAAGAAAAGCCTTATGCAGCTCGCTGTATGCCAATCTGCCGGTGAGGTCATGGCCGGGTGTGTTTTCAGATGGCATAACTTATGCTAGAGCTCATGTGGGAAAGCTTCTGCAATCCGTGTCTGGGCAGGAAATCAGGGAACGCAGCCCCGGAGTAAATGAGATCTGCTTGCAGCTCCGCAGCAGGTGGACGCAATAGCAAGTGTGGCGTCTCGGCAGCTTTGGTCAGAGAAAGAGCAGCCGGACGTGCGCTTCAGCCAAAAATAAACTCTGTTGTGTCAAAGAGGTAAACCGATGCCGCAACATGACGGCGAAATGGTATCGACTAGGCAGTGAAACAGTTCTTCGGCCCGCCCGCTTCATGAGGCCAAATGGAGCTGCTGCATGTAGTGAAGTGGATCATGTTTTGTCTGAGCTGGTAGCAATTCTATTTTGTCAGGTAAATGCTTGTGTAGCCCAAGTCCAAACAACCGCTTTGAACACTGATGCTGTTATGGACCCTCAAACTAACACATCGTTAGTTGTGGGGATGTGCTGTGACACCATTTTCCTACAAAGCCTGCCAAAGTTAGAGTGTGATAGCTCTTGGGTGACAGCTTGGATGCCATGACAACGTGAGCTTTGGGAGCAATGTGATCGGTGGCGGATTTTCAGATGATCTGATCATATTTAACAAAACTTCTGGTTGAAGGCCATGTTAGAGCCAGTGTGGCATTTATGACACAGAGGTGACGAGGAGACTGCACAGTCAGCCAATTTTGTGCTGTATTTCATGTTTCAGTCATTACCCTTTTACCCAGTCTGGCACATCCAGAAAAAGCCCAAATGAGTTGATGGGAAATCTGGTGCAGTTGAAATTATTTTCCTGTTCAACGAGCTTATGTGTGTATGTATGTGTGTATGTGTGTACGTGTGTGTGTACGTGTGTGTACCAGGGGGATAGCATACTAAGCAGAGCCCACTGCATCAATAGAAGTGCTGTTCATCAGCATCTACATCTCCCCCCTTGTAATTCCAAGTGTTTTCCTTCCCACTGCAACAGAAGATATTCAGTGTAAATCTAAAATGCTGGATGCCTCATAGGTTTGACGTGTCAGAGAGCTTTTCACCCCTTTTTGCTTTGTATTATAACACTCCAGCTGACAAATTTACACTCTGCTCTTGATGCAAGTTGTAAATCTGATACAGTTTTTCATTTTTGTGTTGTCCCAACGAGAGCGGGGCTCGAGAGCCGAGGTGTTTGTCTTCCAGGAAGACTAATACAAAATCCTCGATCAGCAGATATTAAAGGGAACTAGTTTTGTGAAAATTCATCACCGTGTCACATTGGGTCCTTTTAGCACGCAACAATCTAGTATGCATTTAAATTAATTGATACCACTCTTGGTCACCACCTCCCATCTGTATGTGCAGGAAAAACTTAAACTTTGGCCCAAATTATTACATTGGATACAAGTATGTGATTCCATACTTATTCATTAAGGAACAAATGAGCCCCATTTGTGTAATCCATTTTGAGTCATGTGCCTTTACCTGAATCTAACCCTGAACAAATACCTTCTCTAATGCCTAATCCCATTTCTATCCATAAGCACTACTCAAAAAAGGCTTTATTTTCCTTTTTGAGTTTGAAGATTGCCGATCATCAAGCCCTTTAATTGAAGAGTTGATTTGGAATGCTAGATTACTCTTTGACACGCACCATATACCTGCAAAACAGAGGGGCAGGGCCAAAGGAAGGAAACAAGCATGGGAGTGTGTTTGGGTTCTCCTTTTTAATTAAGCTTGAAACCCAATAAAAAGACCCTATCAGTGCTATGAAGGTAATGTCAGGAGAGGCTTATCGAAACAAAGGAAAGTGTGAAGTCAAACAGCTCAGGATATAAACAGTTGGTGCAATAAAGGCACAGCAGAAGATGTCTGACAAATGCAGATGTTAAGATCTTGGACAGGAAATCTTTCTGCTGGGCTCATTCCATAGGATTTCTTAAAACTATTAGTCACATCTCAAGTCTTCAGTATAGGAACTTTAAACATTTTTTGATGTGCCCAGATTATGGTTTATTATTAGCAAAAGACAGCCAAAGGAAAATGTATAATCTCTAAGCCTACGATCTCAAATTTCCGTGTCAAGACCTTTTTTTCTTCCAAGTGATAAAATGGCAAGATAATATAAACACACGCACACCCCCTTATTAAGCTGTAATCATGAAGCATCCCTGAAATGTGGAGCAGGTTCATGCGTGCGAGTGTGTTACAGCCACATTCGAGTCTAAAACCTTAATGGATGCACTTCCTCAGATGGAACAAAAGCTCATATTTGAAGGAGTGCAAATTTGGGTCAGTGACTGTGGAGCTGGTGTGCAGAACAGCCCGCTGCTGAGGGGCCATCTATCTATCACCGCTCCGCCATCAGCCAAAGGTATCAGAGGCACCGACACTGAGCATTCACACAGCGGCAAGAGCTGACAGGGGCGGCAAAATGAGGCGTGGGCTTGGCTTCACTGGTGTAGCAGTTACAATGGTGCCTCAGGCACTCATGAATAATAAGCTATGTGATAACTAACACTCCACAGAAGTCAGGGCCATCATCATTAATGATAATCACATTTGGTGCCTGTCCTTTTCAGTCACCTGGCAGGATGAATCTCTCCTCACTGACTTATTAGCAGCTCTGTTATTTGTTCTAATCTGGACTTTATCACAGTTTAGTGACTGCTGGATCATTTTGTCCCATCAGTTATGACCACCGACTGCATCCTCTGCTAAACAAACAATAAAACACAGCTGAAATCAGTCCTGAGAAAACAATGAGTAATGGGTACACCAGCCAGCATTCTCAGTTTCACCTGCAGGAGGGGAAAAAAGGCAGCACAGAATGCAGCCGGGAGGACACTAAAAATAAAAATCTCCATCTGACAGCATCCTTGCTTCTTTTTCTTTTTGACCTTGCGGTGCAGGTCCTGGGTTGGTGGGCTACACTGCCACAACCCCTGTCACGAGGGAAATGAATCCAGCCCATTCAAATGGGTCCTGAGAGAACTACTTCAAGCCAATAAATTGCTTCTTCATAAACAGACATCAGCCCCCCCTCCCACCCCCCCATCCCGCCTCAAAAGAGTTCAGAGCTGCAATTCACACTATCAATTATTGAACTTACCTAGCAGATGAAACATTAAGGCGAATCAGAGGAGGGTTGGTTTTGGCTTTTTCCCTCCCACGAGGATTGAGGGCATACTGTTTGCCCGAAATGGGACCGACGGTGCCTCTTGGTGATAATTCAGGTGTCCCGAGACCTGCGTCTTGGGTCCTATGATGTGTAACGGCCTGCGAAGCCAGTATTGCCCTTCAAGAAATCCATAACCAGTAGATAAAGGACGAATCCTCTGCTCTCCTGTCGCACCAGTGAAATTTTATTCAAGATTCCTCCATTTGGGGGGAAACGAGAGGGAGAGAGTTATTTTTAAAAAAAAAGAAGCACAGCCCGGAGGGTCCCGATGTGGCTTTGAGTCTGCAGCTGTGCGGGATCGCCTCTATTTGCGCATCCGCCTGCGTGCACCTCCAGAGGAGGAGAAAACGCCTTTGTAGCGCCAAGCTGCTTCAGCTCTCTCCGCTGAGCGGCTGCTGCTGCGCCGAATCCGACCAGATGTTCGTCTCGCTTTCACGGGCTTTTCGACAGCGGCGCAGAGCTCAGTGTGAGTTAATCCAGATTGAGTGAAAGGTTGCTGCCATTCCCGGCTCCGTCTTCCCCTTTTTGCGCCCCCGGACCGCTGTCAGCCACCGACCCCGGCTCCATTTCTGACCAGAAGTGCTGTGCGCGGAATGGTAATCGGTGCGCTCCGAGCTGCACAGAGACCATTTGTGTGCATAGGCAGATGCAGAGCCTCCCAGCCTATCTCACAGGCGGGCATCATAATTTATTCATGTAGACAGAACTCTGCTGCACGAAAATGCCTGTAATATTCTCAAAGAATTCAAACAAATGGGGAGGGGGGATGATGCTGATCAGATTTGAGAAAGAAAATTAACCAAGCAAAGATCACACTATTTATCACGGAAATTCACAAATCTGGTCCACGGGAAGTTTAAAAAAAAGCAACCTAAACATTCCTGTATCTATTACATAGATTCTTTAGCTAGAAAATGTCGAGTTGGCAGAAACAGAAAAGGCCTGATTCCCTATGGATAAACTTGGCACTCAACCAGCCATTATCTGATGCTATCATCCCAGTTTTTAATGCAAAGTTGGCAAAGTATGGCCAGTATATGCACAAGTGCCGGACACAACAACACCTCAATCATTTTTGGGGACTTTTTTTTTTTTTTTTTAGTGCTAAGAACAATGACCACGACCATGCCCCCCCTGGGCACTTTTATGTGTTTATGGTCTTCCAGAGGAGTACCCCAAGGGCTACTACTTCAGATTGATAAGTCAGTCCAGTTTACGACACATTCACTCAGGATCAACATGAACACTGTAAACATTTATTCTTCGGAACATGTTCTTTGAATATTGGATTAAACTAGCTGAGTTTGAAAAAAAAAAAAGTTTTTAGATCACCCAGTAGTTGGGAAATATCCAAGGATTTCAATACAAATGCATGTCGACAGCCAACAGAAAACCCACTTGAATGGACAGCGTTTTCTGTTTTTTTGGTTTAAACAGCCACAACAATACTCGCATTTTGCTGTTGGGCAGCATTAATGTCAAATCCTGCGTGTGACCTGCTGTGAGTGTCTCATCAGCATCATCGCTGGCTGACAGTTGGTGATATGAGATGACACTGACATGCTTTGCTTTCCCTCTTCTTTTTATTCTCTTTGCTTTTTTGCTGTCATGACTCATGCTGGGCTCTCACTGATGCGAGCCATCCAGGAACTGCTTGAAGGTAAGGCTGTCAGCGTGCTCGCCCGTGCGGCTCTTTTTCTCCAAGAACAGGGCCACCAAGTCCCGCCGGGGGTCAGCAACGCTGCGACTCCACGGGGTCTCTGTGATCCCCAGCAGCTGGCGCACACCAGCAGAGATGACCTGAAGGATGCACAGCAGGGTTGAGGCCTTTGATAAGGGACACTAACTATATTTAATAACATAGACCATGGTATTCAACCCCGATCCTTGAGGGCCGCTGTCCAACAAGTTTTAGAGGTTTCCCTGCTTCTACATACCTGATGAAAATGATCTTTTCAAAAGCTCTGCGCAAGCTAGCTAAAGGTGCATTGATCAGTAAATGATGATCATAAATCAGTCCTGTTGAATATCTGGTCAAAGAGATCTTATCAAAATTCTTATCGAAGTTACAGGGTCCTATATCATACGGCAAATTAATGAGCCGACTTGCATGTTCAAAAAAACAACCTAAGTTTGGATACTTCTTTACAAAGTTTCCCCCTTCACAGTGAGCCACAGTGACTTCAACACTAAACCGCTTTGAATAAATCAAGGCACTTATGGACAATTTAGTCTAGCCCAAAGAAAGATAAGGACAGTGACTGTAAACAGTGAAGTTGGCTATATAACAGAATTGATTTGAGATCTTTCAAGCTGTGAAACCTGGTTACAGCATACAGCTTAACAGGATATCACACAATTCAAGGAGTGCGAAATTAGATGTGTATCTTTGTTAAATAAACTGAAAGAAAGCAGTTTTCTGGTGTCTAGAGTCCACTTAGCACAATCTGAGGAAATCTGACATTTAAGTGAAAATCCGAAAATGATCATCTTCAGGCTTAGACACCAGAGTCACATGTCCTTTAAAAATAAGCTGTTAAGTATCTCACCACAGCCTGAGCAGTGCAATGTAGATGCTTTGGTACTCCATGAAGCTTTGACAAAACTGTATCCACTTAGCAGTCTCAAAGTTCATATTGTTGAAATGTACTGCTGCTTTTGTATGTAAGAAAGCATTCTTAATAACCATCTCCAGCTTGAATTTATGTCTCTTTACAATACCTGCATGTGTTTAAAATCTGTGATTCCCAGCTTTGGCAAGTTGTTGCAGTTTACATGAATGAGCTTCCTTCCGGTTATTAAATTCTCCGTGAAACAAGCCTGCAAGTTGAATAGAATAACAACAACAATGATAAGGGACTGGAGACTAAGTTGGGAAGGTTTAGTATCTAAATAAAGTAATATACCTTTTTTAAATCTAGTTTAAACCTACTTTGTATTGAGGAAATCCTAACAACTCGATCCATGTTGCAACATCGTTACAGCTCCACTGTAGAAAATGCATGTTGTCTTAAGCACGTTGCTACGGAAACTGCTATCCCACCTTCCACTATTTGCTTCCGCGATCAGGGTGAATGTTTGTCCTTTAATAAACTCTGTGTCAACAGTGCTCTATTAACACATCTACTTGCAAACCTTTAAACCCTCAACATTATCTATTTTAAAACTAACTTTATAAACATATTTTTAAGAGGAAAAACAAAAAGTTCGTCTCAGTTTGCGTTTCCCGCAACAGCAAATCAGCGCCTCGTAATTTGGGGCGGCTGGTGGATAGCGTGTGGTAACTGGTTGGTCAAAATAGTAGTCCCACCCACTCTTGAGGGAAATAGCCAATGGGAACACGCGTCATATGCACAGATCAACAAATATCTGTAGAGGTCGATATCATGAATAGCCTCCAAAATTTGGATTTGTAGATCTAATATCAGCGCATCGTTGGCTCCCGTCTCGTTGTCCTTTTGGAACCGTTTGGAGCTGAAGTTCTTCCCACTCCAGGTTGTCGCGGGTCGGTTGAAGGACCCCACAGCAGGATAAAAAAAACAACAAGTACCTAATTTACCATAATGGCAGCAATTCTTCTCCGCTCCGTATTTAACAAGAAGGTAGCGTAAAGCTATGCTAATAGCAAGAGACCGTCGGTTTTATTCGCTGCTTATGTAACTTAAATAGGCTAACAACAGGAGTGTTGGCTAACAAAGTCATACACGTTGCACTCTCTTCACTCCCATGAAATTCCTGCAAGAAATGTAACGTCTGTGCTGCACATTGGTGACACGTGAACTATTCAAATGCAGGTCTGATTTGTCGGACTGTAGCAATGATACGAGTTTGAGGTCATTAGCGTGTATATTTTTTTTCTAGGTTCCCCTTCAACTGGGTCGCGTGTGCTACTCCTCCTCCTCAGTGGTAAGAGCCACTACTGACATTTATAACCCAGCAGTCACCGACTGCCATGGGTTTAAGTCTGCCATTGTTGTTTCCTATGGACCAGGTTAGCTTATTGCAATCATGCTGAGGCTCGCAGCACCACACTCAGACAGGTCTTCTTCTGGTTTGTTTTGGTTGTTTTCAACACAGCCAAGTATGAACACGAACGTTTGGTAGAATCAGTTGGTATCACTCTACCTTCTCAGAGTGGTTAGGCCTATCATTTACAACACACATTTATTTTTATATGGAATAGGAAGCCAGAAACCATCACCATCAGAAAATCATAGGGTTTATTATTCTCGCAACATGTTGGAATTATGTGAAGTTAGACCAAATCAAACCGTTTTAAAACTTTCCAATGATATGAAGGAACAATTTTGAGTGGAAGCAAAGCTTGACTCTGCATTTTTGTCTTGTTAATGAATGCTCATGGAGTTTGAATAGCTTTGGTGGACAAACTCCAAAATGAGACCATCCTGTATGGTTTTCTGAAGGCATGTCACACCTGCAGCCAAAATAGATTAAACCAATCTCTAACAGATTATAAGAGAAGGCTCCACAAAACTCTCAGAATCAGTTCAAGTAATTGAAATGGCTTTATCTTATCTATAAACCGTAATACGCTCTGGCATGTAGATGTTGAGAACCAATTAGCTTCTGTTTCAAAATGCATTATCAAGATGGTGTTTGAGTGAGTCAACACAAGTCAAGAAGTCTGAAAAAGTTCTAGTCAGCCCAGGCACATGTTGTGATGAATAATACATAAACTGAATCTCTTAATGATGTCTGCAGGTAGCTCAAAATGTAAAAGTGTTCTTCTTTTATTTCTCTAGCCCACCACCAAGCTTTTTATCGATGGCAAGTTTGTTGAGTCCAACACATCTGAATGGCTGGACATTCACAATCCTGTGAGTATCTATGTATCTGTCTGATAAACAACATGCAGCAGAGGTGGAACCAAAAGAGAGGGCTGCATTTGTGAACATTTTTCATTGTAAATGGGCCTTGATTTGCTATTTTGCTATAGCTTAATTTGTAATGTGAGAAGAAGAAATATTCAGGGTAACCAACTTGTCATTTTTTATATGCTCTGAAGGTTCAGCCTGGTGTAAAGCTTGTTAAATATTGGCCTCCAGCAAGACGGTATTGGATGATTTATAGCATGCAAAACTCATCACATAAAGTCTTGTCATTTAAAATTGCAAAGCTGGGAAGGGCAAAAACCAAACCCTTTCTTTTTAAAATCGTGAAGGGAAGCTATTTCTTACAAAAATACAATTTTACTGTCAGTCAGAGTGATTGTTTGGAGTATCTCCTTCTTTCCAGGCCACTAATGAAGTGGTGGGACGCTGTCCCAAAGCTACTCAGGAGGAGATGCTGGCAGCCGTGGATTCTTGCTCCAGAGCCTTCAAGTCCTGGTCCGAGACGTCTGTCCTCAGCAGGCAACAGATCTTCCTGCGCTACCAGCAGCTCATAAAGGATAATATTGTATGGAAGTCTGTCAGTTACTCAGAGTAAACTATCGTGGATTTCCCCATCAATCCCCCGTTTGTTTCTTCCTCTAATATTCCAGAAAGAACTGGCAAAAGCGATCACCTTGGAACAGGGCAAAACTCTTGCAGATGCAGAGGGAGACGTATTTAGAGGACTGCGTAAGTAATGTATTGACTTGACTTCTGCTGGTATGATTAGGTTTTGATTTACTGACTAGATTAGAGGGCTGCTGGATACATAGCAGAAATTAAAATCCCCCTGTTATCTATCATTGCCGAAACTCCTGATTAAAGTCTGTCGTTGTTTCTACTGAAGCCCAGGTGAAAGTTGGATACCTAGGTGGCTGCGGGGCATTCATTTTTTGTGTCTAACCATAAACTCCTCGCAGGAGTGATTTGTACTATTGAATTTGTAATTGGCAGAGGGGAATAATTTGTTTGTGTCAGCACATTGAGGCTTGTGTTGCTATTCATGAGTTGTAAAGGGAGACTGTTCAAGCTTTTTTTTACTCACAAATGGACCCTATTTCTTTTTTCAAAAGCCCCTTTTTCTACTACCATTTATTTTTTATATCAGTTGTAAAGCTTTGTGGCTCTAGCACCAAGTCATAGAGCTCACATTAGCATACCCTAAAGCTCAGACACCAAATGTATTCTACCACAGATGAGAAGTACTGTAACAGCTGACGGTGAGTGTGTTTTATTTGTAGGGGCTGATGTTAAACAGGATTGTTTCAAAGGGAAATGTTTCACTGTTGACTGTTGTTGTCCAGTTGATGGCAACCTGCAGATTTACAGCTGGTGACCGTGACGGAAAGAAGATGCGTTTCCCTCAGGGTTTCTGAAGGCTAAAGGATCACAGTGTTCTGGCTTGATGCTAACCCTGGAGATACTTTACAGCTTTTTGCAGTTTTGTATTGGAAATGAGGCTGATGAGGCTTATCTTTTATATAAGAGTTTGTAATTCAAACTTGTCACCCATGAAAAAAGCTATTTCTTTGTGCATTACTACAAGAGAAAAGGTTGCAGGTTGCAGGAGCAGCTTTGGCAGCTTAGTCATCTCAGGACTGATATTTCTGTTTAGATGCCTAAAACACTGTAGATTCTTTCTTTTGCCCTCTCTCAGGTCTGTGATTGAACACAGTCCTGTCTAACAGGTGTGCCAATATTTCCTGTTGTCTACGGACTTGGATTTTAATCTGACATGCACCAGCAGCCTGAGTCCCCCCACAGTCTGGTGTGAGCCTCTGTCGTGTCTAATGAACGAGATAGATGGCCACATCTGAATATGCAGGATCTCTAAGGAGGGGCAGTTTTGTTGCATTAGCTTTTAAGGTCATTTGCAATCACACATTGGTTAGCCCATGCAAATGGAAGTGTTTGGCTACCCAGAAGCCCAGAGTTAGTGGTTTTTGCTCTCCAGAGGAAGGCTTTTTATTTGACTTGATTTGATTCCCAGATGAGGCAGCAGAATATCTGGTCAGGTTGAAGCTGAACCTAACAAAAAAAGCTACACTTGAAGGGATCTAAAAACTTTGCGCCTGCATACTATTTCTATCGAACCCTCCAGGTCATTGCGTATCTCGCATCTAAAATTGCCTCTTCAATTTTCATTGATGGAGTGCAATGCTTTCTTGCCCCTCAGAGGTGGTGGAGCACGCCTGCAGCATCACATCCTTGATGCTGGGGGAAACGTTGCCCTCCATTACCAAGGACATGGACACGTATACCTACCGCCTGCCCATCGGAGTGTGCGCCGGCATCGCCCCTTTCAACTTCCCCGCCATGATCCCACTGTGGATGTTCCCCATTGGGATGGTGTGTGGCAACACGTACCTGATGAAGCCCTCTGAGCGCGTCCCGGGCTGCACCATGCTTTTGGCTAGATTGCTCCAGGACGCCGGGGCACCAGATGGTACACTGAACATCATCCACGGGCAGCATGCAGGTGAGTGTGTGTGTGTGTGTGTGCGTGCGACTTCCTGTCGATTCAGGGGCACAGGATGTGTTTTTGTCATAAACAACGGGAGGAGGTCCAAGGATGGCTGAAACCCTAATCTTATACCCTCGAGTGATATGTAAATTTCCATAAAATGTGTGACCTATATCTCCTTGAAGCAGGAGGATTTCAGGCTCTGTATCAGTGCTCGTACGTTTTGCCTTAAGGTTTAGGCACAGATAGGGATAAAAACACAAAAAATACAAACAGGATTTACATTTCTTTTTCCCTGTTTGGCTGTGTAGCGGTAAACTTTATCTGTGACCACCCGGCCATCAAAGCCATCAGCTTTGTGGGATCCAACCAAGCTGGAGAATATATCTATGAGAGAGGCTCCAAGAATGGCAAGAGAGTGCAGTCCAACATGGTAACTGTCAGCATTCATTCTAATGGCGTATTTTTATAATGATAACCCACTTGTTAAAAATGACCCCTGTGTCCTACATTTTGACATTTAGGGTGCCAAGAACCATGGTGTGGTGATGCCCGATGCCAACAAAGAGAACACGCTCAACCAGCTTGTGGGTGCTGCCTTTGGAGCAGCTGGCCAGCGCTGCATGGCTCTCTCCACGGCTATTTTTGTGGGGGAATCTCGTGAATGGCTCCCAGAGCTGGTGGAACGCTCCAAATCGCTTCGCGTAAATGCAGGTAAGTCCCTCAGGAGCCAGTAAGCTTTTTAGTTAAAGAAAAGTTATATGTTGGTATGAGTTCATTAGCCCTTGAATAAATAAAAAAAAGTTGCCACAGGGTTCCGCCCATTTTTTTTTTTTTAAAGGATGATATTTTCTCCTTTAGGCGATCAGCCTGGGGCGGATGTGGGTCCGCTGATCTCCCCTGAGGCAAAGGCCAGGGTGGAGTTCTTGATTCAAAGTGGCGTGGAAGAGGGCGCCAAGCTGCTTCTGGATGGGAGAAATGTTCATGTCAAAGGATATGAACGTGGAAACTTTGTTGGACCCACCATATTGGGCAATATTACGGTGAGCGGATCATTTGAAATGCAGCCTGTCTCTGTTTAAGATGTCTGTGTAAAAAAAAAACAGGAAACACACAGTTTTCTTCCTAAGCCTAAGTAGGAGGCTCAGAAAATGCCAGAGAAGCAGTAGCATGAAAGGTTTTTTTAATGCTTGTTCTAATTCATTCAGGTCCTTTTTTTAAAATAACCATGAGAGATTGTAATTGTCCGTGTGCCAGGCATATATTTGGTAGAACTGGAAGCTGCACAGAACCCTGGGGAGATAGAAGTAATTTTCTAGTTCAAGAGAAACTGAGACGATCTGTTTTTGTAAGCCTAACAGCCCGACCTTTTGTTGAGGTCAGGGGATTTCATCTACATGGAGACAGCTTGGCTGTCACTACACACTGTAGACAAATAAAACCAGAAAAATACCACGCAGTCCCTCAGTGTGACGTCCTCCCCGCCCATCAGGGTTTCAGGTTATGAGTGTCAGACTTGGTTCTCCTTTAATTGGAATGTATCTGTATTATGAAATTTTATCTATAGTAATCCCCCCACCACCACAATCTCCCTCAACACAGACATGCCAATTTGTTAATAATGATCCCTGGAATCTTAGCTTTGGATTTTGTGTATTGCTGCGGAACACTGGTCTGATCATCCTCCTTTTGGTTTCAGCCTGACATGAAATGCTACAGAGAGGAGATCTTTGGGCCGGTGCTCATCATCCTGGAGGCCGAAACTCTTGACGAAGCCATCTCTCTAATCAACAGCAACCCTTATGGCAACGGCACCGCTATCTTTACTAACAACGGAGCCACGGCACGCAAATACACACACGAGGTGGATGTAGGCCAGGTGAGGGGTATTCATGAAGCTGAAAAATGGCTGGGACCCAATATGGAAGTAAAATGACTGGCCTATGTGATTTTTAGTTCTTAGTGAGTTGCCTGTGTGACACTGAGTAAGAGTTTTGTGTGGGACGTGTTGTGTTTCAGAAGAAACATGTGAGGTGGGAAGTTTTCTTTGACTCAAATCCCGTGGTACCTCGATAACCCGAAACTGTCACAGATAAGATAGCTAATACCAAGCAGGGATGAGGGATAACGGAACCTGGGCGATAAAACAGCAAGAGCTTTTCAATTCATAGTCTGAAGGACTATTCAAATTAGATCATTTACTACAGGTCCAGACTGTTTAAACATTCAAATTTTGGCGACAAGAGTCCTACATCACTGTGACCTTTTTCAAAGTTGTTGGTGGCAGCTTCTACTAACTATGATTACTTTTATTCATATGTCTAATTGGATGAAAATACTTATTGATGGCACTTTATAAACAAAAGCTTAAAGGTCATCTTCATGGCACTATTGAAAGCTGTTGTTTTATAACACAACTCAGAAACAGAGCAAAATTGCCACCATTTGCATCAGTATGGACTCTAATTTTTGTTTTCAGATTGGGGTAAACGTACCTATCCCTGTCCCCCTCCCGATGTTCTCCTTCACTGGTTCAAGAGGCTCATTCAGAGGGGATACCAACTTCTATGGAAAGCAGGTAAAAACCAAAAGCAGTTGGTTATCATGGATTGTTAGAGGGCGGTGCATAAGAAAATTTTCCAGCAAAACTGACCTTTTGAAATGTAATTAAACCGGCTTGCTGAGGAATTTTTTCTCTCCTCAGGGCGTTCAGTTCTTCACGCAGATCAAAACTGTGACATCGCAGTGGAAAGCCGAGGATGCCACTGTAACAAGCCCGGCTGTTACCATGCCAACCATGGGTCGCTAAACTAACACAACAACACTGATTATGACATGCCTTAAGAAGCTGCCCGGGAAGGTTTTGGAAAATTTGGGGAAAATGTTACATTTTCTATTCAATATTCAAACCGAAGATTATTAGTGTGAGATAGGTTGAACTTTTATACATCCCCCCTCCTTTTTTTTCAAATAACTAATAAACACTCCATTTCCATTAGGCCTGTAGAAAGATTAACCACACTTATGCACTGAACAAATGCTGAGGGTTTCTTTTCACAATTGTTGTATTTTACCCCTTTGTTTTCCTTCTGATTTCCCTCGCTGACCAAGTGGATCACAAGTAAATCATGGCCAGTCATTTTCATCATGTCCTGACTGTTACGCTGTCATATTTCTCCAAATGTTGAGGGATTCTGTCACCCAGCAGCAACAGCATATGTCTTCCACAAGGATCCACTGAGGTTCATTAGCCCATTACGATGTGGAGGTGGACACTTGAGTTATGAGTGGAACAGATGTTACATCAGAACAGGGTTGCGATTGCCTTTGTGCTCCATTAAATCTAAATGGGGAAAAAAGACACTATATTGCTTGTTTTGTAAGTGCTCTTTGTCTACCTTAAGGAGCCCAGTGTTGTGGAGGTGACTGAGCTTCTTGGTGTGTGTCCTCTCAGTTTCAGACGTTTACAGTCGAGTCGTCCGGTCAGAAGTACTCCTGGGTGTGAACGGTGTGGTGTGAAGGGAGTTTACATGCAATGAACTTGTAGTGCAAGATTCTTTCTGAACAAATATTAGATTTGAAACAGTTAATATGGGTGTAGTTGAAGATTTTACCACAGTTTTCATCCGTCATTCTCATATACCATGTCAAACCCCGTCCGCTGTCTTTTGAATAGATTGTGGTTCTACTTGAGGCTGTTCGTTAGCGGTTTTAATAAAGACTTATCATTTGTGTGGCCTTAAATGTGGTTGATGCTGAAATTGTATTGTGCTTCCCTTGTTTTTTAAGCACCAGAAGACAATTCCCGGTGTATCTGAAATGGCCCTCTCTGAAGAATAAGCCGTAATGGATATGGTGCTGTAAAATCAGCAGCCGGAGTCCAAATTATGGGCTTATTGTTGCTCGCTGTTTTAACTGAAGGCCGGGGAGGTTATTTTCGGACATCTCTTTGCGAGACCGAAAATACTCTGGATGACGTCACGGACAGGGGCGCTGCTAGCCGGACGTCATGGTGAGCCTCACCGGCCTCACAAGCTCCACGAGCTCAGCTAGCGCAACAGCGAACTAAGTTCCGGATATCTTAAGTGTCATTAAGTCGACATGTGGGAGCTTTGCCCTATAAACTCCGACCCTGTATGTACCAGCTACGGCTAAAACTCAAATATAAGCTTTGAGAACTTTCACCGGTTAGCCATTTTAGTAATGGAGCTATCAGGCTAGTAAATATTTCACCATACATATTTCGTATTTATTTACGAAACTTGTGTTTATTGGACCCATTTCTGCGCTTTACACTGAAGGTGTTGAGACTAACGTCAGGTGGCTGTAGCGGATGTGAGGGGGGGGCTCAACCGGCTGCTCGTAATTAGGCGAGAAACACAAACTTCGCTCTGCTGCCAACTTGCTGCTCTGTAACGGCTGCTGGCAGCCAGCTCAGTAAGGAAGCTATTAGCAGACTCGTCCTCTTAAACATCAGTAGCTCGTGAATGAGACGATTATGGATGTGTGACGTCCGTCACACAGCGCGGGACGGTGAATGACAACAACAAAAGCTGTAAACAAAGCGGACAAACTGAGCTGACCACAGAGACAGCAAAGCCCAGCGCACAAGTGTCTACTTCAGTTTTTTAAATGCCTGAAAAGCCGCCTAAGGTACCCCTTTATTCTGCTATCAGTAGTTTATTATTTCCATTGGAAAGTGAGACTCATCCTGGAGCTTTTAGTGCACCTCAATGAACTTGCATGCATTAGCCCGGTGTTAAACTTTTCTCTATATTATCTCAGTTTGTTTATTTATTTTTGCATTTTTCTTTACCACGTGCCATTAGCGCCTTTGGCCCAATCTCTCCTGTAACAAATATAAATGGCAGTTTGTGGTAAGTATGCATCTTATGTCACATTGTAAGCCATTGTATCACGTTTAGAAATGGTATTTAGTAGTTTGTCTTACACTTTAGGGTAGGTCCCTGCAGGCTGCCACATCCAGAACAGACCAAAGTTATTGGTTTTGTCAGTCTAGTTTAGTGGTTTAGATTAAATCTAGCCAATTTAAACTAAACTAGGAAACCTATTCCCTTTCCCTCACATGAGACCTCGCGGTTTATACTTTACATGTGACCATTTCAGCAAAACGCACACCATCATTTATCTTTAAAAACAAATTTGTCTTACAAATCAAAGAGAGATCTTGTTCAGAAATTTGTTTTGGTTTGCCCAATATGCAGGAATTTCATGTAGGAAAGTTTTTCTGCTTACCTTTTAATTGCAGGCCTGAAATTGTCCGATTAAGAGTCCCCCCTGACAGACTGCGGTGGTCCCCAGTCAGACAGCCTCAGTCAGCCAATCCGGGTCACGACATCACTTGTTAGCCCAATTCATTTCCTGAGAATAAACCGGAGAAAAAATCAGAGTATAAAGATGTAATTTATTCATCTCAAATGTAAAGTATATCAGCACGCTGAGGATCTCTATCAGAAAAGATCCCCGAGTTCTGGGTGTGATGGACATGTATCTTCTTGGGCTGGGCCTGCCCCGTATGCAAGAAGGGAGGACGCCACCCAGTCTTATTGGCCAGTACAATCTGACATTATCAGGCCAGCTCCCAATCCATGCAGGTTCCACTGAGACGTGATAAGAAATGTGTCTGAGTGTTGTCCTTGAAGAAATGTATCTAATGTCTCATAGAAAGAGGAGGCATTTGGAACAACTGTAGACATAAAATGAGTTCAGTATCTGAGTGTAATTCTTAAAATGAATAAAACCGTTAGTAATTTGCAGGAAATCCAGTCATGAAGTTTAACTCTAAAGTTAGTAAATATAAACCAGTCCCAAAAGTTTAATGAAGAGGCAGAAAGTGTTCGGGTTTTTTCCAGGCTCCACGTGATTAACCATAAGATTTGTGTGAAAGAAATATGGACAGATGTCTGTTTTTGATTTTATTTGAAAAACAAAAGTGACTTTTTGAATAGCTGACCCACCGATTGGTGTCCTTGGATATTTTTCATTTATTTTGTAGCTTTGTGCAGCGTTCTTATAGCATTTCGTTACTGATACGATTCAGGAGGCACTTCAGTGATGAATCACGAAGGCAGCAGTATGTTGATGTGTATAATTGTAATAAATTGTGTATAATTTCAGCTTTGCGATTCATTTTTGGAGTTTGTTTCTGACCCAAAGGCAGCTTAAACCCTTTAAAATAAAAACCTCAGTTGGAATTCACAAGCAGTTACATTTCTGAAGTTAAATCCCCCTGTGGGCAATTCCATTTCCATGGAACCACTGCGATGGTGTCTCAGCAGTCTTTTTTTCCCCAGAGTTTATAAGGAATAAAAAATGTCAAGTTGTAAAGTATGAGGTTGGAAACAAATCTGATCAGAAGACAGAGAAATTAAATCTAAAAGCAGGGATGTGTGCTCTGTGTTGGAACATTTGAGTTGACCGAGCAGGTGAAAAGGTTGGCCTTGGTCCACTGCCGGGGTGTGGTCAAACACGATGGTGTAAACAGCCTGATTGCTTCTTATTACTCTGTCGCCTGCCACACTATAATTTAGGAGCCAGTCATCAGCGCTTTGAGCTGCTTTCTCAAATCAGTCATTATCAGCATTCTGGAGGTGTAACGAGAAGAATTGCTGTTTATTTTCTGTTTCTCCAGAGGGAAGATGAGGCCCACCGTCCCACTTCTCCTCCTGGCTCTGCTGGCCGCTGCCAGGCCGACCCCAGCCCAGGTAAAGACTTCTCTTCTGGATCTGTCCAGGATCCTTCCCAGCCTGAGCCGGCCGGCAAACCACAGCCGCATCTTCTACGCGGTGATGTTCGATGCGGGCAGTACGGGGACCCGCATTCACGTGTACACCTTCATCCACAGCGACGCGGGTAAGGCCATGCCCAGAATAATGCTACTGACACCCTATCAGGGCCCCTTGCTATTTATTTTATTTGTTTGTTCTGTTCTGCTGTATTTGCACTCTTCGGAACACGTAGCTCACAGTTGACTTCATTTGTAGCTATATTAAATTAATGAACATATAAACATGTAGTGCTTTTAAAGACAACTCTTTATTGAATGTGGGGGAATCTCTTCCCTTTCAGAGAAGCTGCCTGTTTTGGACAATGAGATGTTCCACTCTGTTAAGCCTGGTTTGTCAGCTTATGTTGACTCCCCTGAAATGGTGAGTTAATTGTCAGATATAATCAATCATATAGAGATAGCGGGTGTCTACTGGCTCGCGATTGTAGCCAGAAGGGCTGCCAGCATCTCATTATCGATAGAAGCAAGAAAGGTGAGAGAAAGGCCAAACGGCAAGTAGATAAATGCTGTTGACCTAATATTTCCAGAGTGTTTGTAGTCAGTATTGAATCTGCTCCTGCAGGCAGGACAAACAGTAAGGGTGCTGTTAAAGGTGGCCAGGAAGACTGTGCCTCGCTTGGACTGGAAGAGAACCCCCCTGGTGCTCAGAGCCACCGCTGGACTACGGCTGCTGCCCGCAGAGAAGGCCCAGGCTCTTCTGGAGCAGGTCAAAGATTACACTCACACCGACTTACGGTCCCCCCCCCTTCCCCTGAGATTCTGTTTCAGCAGTACAAAGCCTCCGCAGAGAGGAGAGCAGTTCTGTATCAAAAAGGAGCTGTTAGCCCTAACGTTGCCTGACACTTCCACAGGAAAGCATAACCCCTCATTAAGTGAAGCAGCGGGCAGAAAGGGAAAGAACATTTTTAGTTCTGTGACAGGTGGTACAGAGACAAGATACTGAGCTGTGTGAGCTCTGTGTGGGAGGCTCTTGTTTAGGGGGATAACATAATAATGAATGGCCCTGGGGCACCTGAGATGATAAATGATACAATATTAATCCCCCCGAGGGAATGAATTAATCCCATCCAGTAGAAGGCACCTCTGGGTGAGCCACTATCGCAGCACATAACATTCTGGCCATGTCCCTCTTGCTTTTCTCCCTCTTTCCCTTTCCTCCCCCTCCTTTCAGGTTCAGCATGTGTTTCACGAATCTCCCTTTCTGGTCCCAGACAACAGCGTCAGCATTATGAACGGCACAAGCGAAGGTAACTTCCGCCCGCCCTCTGTCCCGACAACCAGCTCATTCATCCCCTGTCCCATCCGCTGGTGTCCCCCTACAGGTGACACCACTGATGCCATAGTGTTGGTGTGCCGGGCACTTTCTGTGAAGAACTTTACTTAATGAAGCCATTTAAGTAAATTACAGTAGATTATGAATGTTGTTTATAATGACAGGCTAAAAAAAAAAAAGAAAATGAAGGCCTTTCAACACAAAGTTATTTTGACGCTAAAAGCCGGTAATTATGTGGTGAAACATGTGAGTCTGTTGTGCTATGGTGTAATTGATTTGTCAGCATTTCGCGCAGCTTGCGTGTGTTTGTATTTCACAAATTTTGTTGTCAGCTTTTCTAAAATGAACACATACATTTGACATGAAATGATTGCTTGGTGTTTTCAACTCATTTTTGCAATTGTAGGAGTCCTGGCTTGGATTTCTGTGAACTTCCTCACAGGCGAGTACTGTAAACTCGTATCTGCAAAGACAGAATATTCCATAGCTTTTTTCAGCTCGTAAAATAGCTTGTCTGAGGTTCTGTGTCCTCTAAATTAAATTTATGACCAATTTCTGCAGAACTCTAAAGCCTCATAAAAACCGGCCTAAATAAAAAAAGAAAATAAATTTAAAGAAATGTTGTCTGTTGATCACCTGAATGTAGGAGACTTTGTAAAAGTTATGTCAAACAAACTGTCATTGGAACACGCAGCTTGATGGAAGTGGGGATTGTTTTCAGGTCATCTGAGGCCACAAACCAAGAAGACGGTGGGAATACTAGATTTGGGAGGGGGATCCACACAGATCACTTTCCTTCCAAAGCTGAGGGTCAGACTTTACACTGTGCCTTTTTTTTTCCCAAAGAAACTTTAGTGTTTTTTTAAGCCTTAATGTGCTCTTCCTCCTCAGAAAACTATCGAAAGTGCTCCTGTTGATGATTATGTTGCCAGATTTGAAATTTTCAACTCAACATTGGAACTGTACACTCACAGGTAAAAAACAAAACAAATAAAACGAGAGCCTGTTTTCCTGTGCTATGGAGTGGGGCTCATTAATTTATGTCCCACTCACTTTGTTCTTGTTAGCTGAAACTTAATTTGGAGCTCTTTGTAATTGGGTCAGCTCCTGCTTAGTCATTATGATGTGAGTAAGAGGCAGGCAACGCTCCCTTGGCCTAATTTCAAAATGACTTATTTGCTGGATGCACTCTCTGTTCCCGATAGCTTTTGCAACTGTGTGACAATATTCTTGTTTTGCTTCAGTTATCTAGGAAATGGACTGATGATGGGCCGACTGGCCACGCTGGGCGCTCGGGGTGGGGGGGGTGCTGGACCTGACGCAAACAGCACTGATCTGCCACCAGCTGCGGGTCAGTCGTTTCTAACGGAGTATACAGAAGCTTAGCTGGCCTTTGTTTCTTCTTTTCTCGTTTTTTTTTTTTTGGGGGGGGGGGGGGTCTCTTATTAAAGCTCATCCCCAATAAACATAAAAACATCCCGGCATCCATCACTAAAGCAAATCGGGTTAAAAAAAAAGTTTAAATCCTGTAACTATAATAAGCATTCACTATGTCTGTGTCCTCACAGGGTCGGAGACCAAGATTTTTAACAGTTCCTGCCTGCCCAGTAAGTTCAGAGATGAGTGGAGCTTTGGAGGGCAAACTTATCAAGTGAGCGGGAACCCAGACGGTAAGAACCAGTTTAAGTGTTTGAAGCTAGATATTGGCTTAATCCTTCCCTTTCAATGTATTTATTTTTTCGCTGCCCCTGCCTCCATGTTGAAGCCGTAACATATCTGATGAAACGAGGCCATGTGATTCCAGCAGAATGCATGACACAGTCCTGAGACGGCAGCAAAACGCCTTCAAAACATTGCTCACATGCATTACGCATCGTTTTATGACATTGTTTCAAGAGCAAATGAATAATTTACCCCGCTGTCTCCCTTCCCCTCAGGTGATGCAGGGTACAAGCATTGTTATCAGGAAATACTTAAGGTGGTGGACGGGGCTATTCATCAGCCGTACAAGCTGGAAGACGGCAGCTTTTTCTACGCATTCTCCTATTACTTCGACAGAGCTGTGGACGCAGGCCTTATCGGTTAGCACTCACACTGACACACACATGCTCTCCCTCCACGCCTTACATAATTAAACACAAATGGCATGCCAGACTGAGGCTGAAAAATGTGTCATCGGCTCCTGGATCAGGGTATTTGACGGGCTACAGCCGTGTAGGTATTATAGAAATTGCTGTCCTCTGCCAGTCTACGCTGGAAGGCCATGAGCTCTATCATTAGCAGGGTGACAATGTGCAGCGCAGACCTTCAGCTGTAATGACTGCTCCAGCAGGTTTAAATGTGAAATCACCTCCAAATCACTCCCTGTTGCAGATGATGTCCAAGGAGGGATTCTGCAGGTCAGAGACTTCAAGAAGAGAGCCAAAGAGGGTGAGACAGGCCAAGGGCTGCCTTTACCGGAGATACAGCGAGAATCTGAACAGACCTTTAGTGGTTTCTGTCAAAATGCAGCTGATAGGGTCTCCAACCACACATTTTTCTTATTTTTATTTTTTTTTCTCCTCAGTGTGCAATAAGATGGCCAAGGACCCAACCACCAGCCCCTTCCTGTGCCTGGACATGACCTACATCACGTGTCTACTCAAGGATGGGTTTGGCTTCAAGGAAAGCACCACGCTACAGGTTAGGCTGCCCTATTCAGCATGTTACCGGCTGTGTTAATTTGCTACTAAAGGCAAAACCTCGGGTTTATGGGCCATTTATAATGCACCGAAAGGCCTTTTAATCAGAAGACTGAACATTTACTTGTGACAATTTTGCCGAGCTGGAAATAATGAGGCCACAACACAGTATTAGCGGCGTCTTCGGCTGTTCTGTTTCTTGTCAGGAAAAATAAGACACATTATACACACACATGCTGTCACTTTGTTTGGTTTTTATTAGGTAAATACAAAAGTAATTTGCGTTATTGGATCATTTTCCCCCCTTAGCTGACCAAGAAAGTGAAAAACGTGGAGGCCAGCTGGGCTCTGGGTGCCACGTTGGACCACTTTCACAACCTCAAGATCCACTGAGGACAGGTGAGGAACAGACGCTAATTTATGATGTGCTCCTCAGAAAACACACCCGATACTCACTTCCACGTCTAACAGTTCCACATGCCCGTTGTTTGCCTCATCCAGACAGAAATAACCTCAATATTCTTTTACTTATACGCTTTTTAAATCAATTTCAGAATCAACAGTATGCCCCGCTTCATGTTATCCAGCCTTATTAAGGCCGAGTGAGACATGTGGGCTTCAACACCATCCTGCAGCTTTTGGCAAACCTGGATATGTAGCTAATTGAAATGATTGCTTTTCTTCTCTCTGATAAACAGGGTGCCTGGCCTTGTTAGGCTTGCGGCGCCATGCGTAAGCAGCAACAAAGTGGCACAGAGTGCTTTAGCGGTTTTTAATGCCAAGTCTTTGCTGCAAGCATAATAAAACTTTGTGTCCGATACATTTAAGTCTCACCGACAGAACAGCACACCGGCCTCCCATTCGTGTTAGCCATGATTATGCACAGAAAACATAAGTCACGCTCACAGGATCTTTAATAACCCGTCTCAGTTTCTCTTTGGGAGTATTTGTTTTAAAAAAAAAAAACAACTGTTGCTTGTACAAACTCTGCAGTTTCTCACTTGTTAAAATAAAATCATAGACTGTTAATTACAAATATCTACACGAGTTAAAGTCTGTTATTAATCTCTTTATAAATTACACCTCTACGTTGGGTCCCGCAGAGCCGAAACAGGCAGCACGCGACGACCGGAGACTACAGCAGAGCAACAACATCCTCTCCGTAGGCATTGCCTTCCGTTGTCATGGTTACCAGTTCATGAGGCTGGGAGAGGACCACCACAGAGTCTGAGGATCCTGGATGAAAAGACACAAAGCCAAATTTAAAAAAGGACAGAGCGCTCTGTAACACAAATGCTGCTGTATTAAAAATATAATTTAAACATTCCCTTCTCTGAGCCTTTCTGTGCTCCAAGACACGTCGACTCCTGTACCTAAAAGACAGGAGCTAACATTGCCGTTTCATTCTTGCCATCTAGTCAGCTCCAATAATGATACTTTTCACTTAGGGGAGACGGATTTTTGTTTTGTGTCCGTTATTTAAAATCTGCATATAGATGGCAGAAAAAAAAATCTGAAGGGTGAGTATAAAAGTAGGAAAAGTAGTTAAACTTAGCATTTTGAATAAAGCTAAAGACCAGCAACCGGACCTTTACAACCACCAGCTGGAGGGACATCACCAGCTTTGACTACAGGTGAGCGCTGTCGCTGAGTCAGTTTCTTCTGTGAAGGCCTACCTGGTGATCTGAGCATGGCGTGATGAAGATTCATTGGTTCCACGCCTGTTGTCATAGTGACCATACCACTTCCATTCTCCCCGTCTGCCTCCAGCAGGCTGCTTTGTGTCAGGGCCTCTCCTGTCAGATGCAAACAGACACAATCAAACTTATGCTTTCCCAACAGCTCAAAAGAAAATAAAGAAATAAAAAGTTGCCAAGCAACCACAAGATCAGAATTAAATTATTTGTTCTCTGCGCTGTCGGTTCTCCAGCACAGCAAATGGAACACTTTAATCTAGCGTTTATGTTCTGCCTCTTCAGGACGCTGAAATCAGCTGTTCATAATTAGAGCTTTTCGGGATTGGCTGCACGGCTTCCCTACTGTTACAGAAAAATGACAAAGAGGCTTGAATGCGCCGTCTGCCGCCACTCTCATATGTTAAAAATGAACTCAAGCATCTGGGACAATTAGTCCGAGCTGTGAAGGACGCTCTCAATCTGAGGAGGGGCTGAAACTTAAAATCCAAAAGCGTATATTTTCCGCTTCGGCTGTGGAATGTTTGATTCTAATTAGTACATAGTTGCCTCTGTAAGGGGAAGGCGAAAAGGCGGCTGAGGAAGCGAGGCGTTTTAGTGGTTACCGACTTCTCAGAGAGGCCCACCAGGCCTCATTCTGCAGAGGAGTTTGTGCTGTCTCAGCTTTTTTTTTAAAAACGTTTTCATAGATGCGTTCAGTTAGAAACAACTCAGCTGCCGGTTTAAATTATTTACGAAAGGTTCCTAGCTTTAACTTAAACCAGTAGCATCTCAATGCACATATTTAAAATGAAAGGATTGCTTGGAGCAAACGATTAGCATTCAATGTGTCTGAAGGAGTGAGAGAGAGAGAGAGAGAGAGAGAGAGAGAGAGAGACCTGTTTCTCTGCTTTCCCCACTCAGCCCCTCCTCTCCGTGCCTCTTCCTCATGTGGACGTTCCTGCTGCCGGACTGGGAGAAGGTCTTGCCGCAGATGCCGCACACATGAGGCTTCTCACCTGGGCGACATGGGCACAGAGTGAGACCGCTGACCTCTGTAAAGCACTGGGAGGGAAGTGAACGGCGCCGCTCACCAGAATGGACCAACATGTGTTTTCTTAGGCTGGAATACTCGGCGAAGGACCGCCCACAACCGTCTGCTTCACACAGAAAAGGCTTCTCCCCTGGACGACAAAAAAAAAACGAAAAATGAAAAACATTAGCAGAGATGTGTTCAAATGTGTGGTGTGCCAGATGACCCAGATCCCTCCGCTACAGAGTAAGGTCAGGAGCAGCTCAGACAGAAGAGAAACACAAGCAGCCGGTCAGCAGACGGCGGAGGTGACCGTCAGAAATCTTCATGTTACCCTAAATAAAATATGACCAAGTGAAATGGAGGCGCTGACTCGGCGGACTCCTCGCGTCTCGGGCCTTTGCTGCATTTTTTTTCTTTTAAAAACAAACGCCCCCCCACCTGTGTGCGTGCGTCGGTGGTTCTTCAGGTTCCCGGCGGTGGTGAACTTCTTGCCGCAGTTCTTCTCCTTGCAGATGAAGGGCTTCTCGCCGTTGTGCGTCCTCATGTGCACCTGCAGCCTCTGCAGCACGTAGAAGCTCTTCCCGCAGCCCTCCGCGCCGCAGCGGAACATCCGGTCGTTCCTGCAGCAGAAACACCGGCAGCTCTGCTGACTCAGCCTCAGGTTGTGACAGAAACCATGTGCTGCGACACACCTGGTGGTGGGGTGAGGCCGGGCTGACCCTCAGAACTGTTAACACACCAGGTTTGATGATGTGAGCAGCTTTCAGAGTCGTCCATTAAAAGGCTCAAACTCCGACAGAACAAAAGGCTTAAATGGCCTCTCTTTAGTTCCCTCTGAGTGTGGATGCATTTAGGTTATTACAGAATGATTTCATGGCGTCTCCTGACTCCCTTTGAGCTGGGTGATTTTCCCCCCTTTGTTTTCAGGCATATGAAACAGAGGAACTTCAAAGTGATCCATGGTGGGACTGTGTGTGGGTTTAACAGGGAATGGTAGCCTGGGTGTAAAGAGCCTCTGTGACAAGCCTCACCCAGAAATGACACTCTGTAGCTATGCCCACTGCAGTGGCACCAGCCTGCTGTGTGTGTGTGTGTGTGTGTGTGTGTGTGTGTGTGTGTGTGTGTGTGTGTGTGTGTGTGTGTGTGTGTGTTATGTGCTACCTGTGAGTTTTGAGGTGGTATTTGAGATGTGCCGGCCAGGTGAAGGTCCTGCAGCAGCCCTCGAACGAGCAGCGCAGCACCTGCTTGGAGAGGGGGTGTCCGCTCCGAGCCGGCGGCTCCCGCTTCTCCCCGTCCACTGCCAGGCCGTGTGTGTGGTCACCTAGGCAACCGCAATGGGAAAGTGAGCGGGGCTGTGCAGTAATCAATCCAACAGAGCAAGGTGGCCAGCCTCTGGAGCCCGACACTGAAACCAGCGCGTACGGGCCGAGGCCTGCCGAACAATTGCAGGGAGAAGAAAACAATCCAAAGCTGAATGCAATCACTCCCTTTTAACCCGAGCCGGCGTCCCGCTTAAGCGTCTCACACCGGCCGGAACGCACATGCAGCTGAAACCCTGCTGCTGCAGGAAATGGCTCCAATCTAAAAGCATAGCAGTGGGAGGGTGGCCATTACTGCAGCGGGCAGTTGTGGCGTCAGGCCTGGACTGGGCGGCACCCCCCCCACATGTGCACCGTGTTGCCTCCGACCGCGCGGGAGCGCATGCTGGATGTATAAAGCACCTGACTGAAGGAGGGGTTTTTGCAGCCACTGAGGCGTTAATGAATTCAGGACACTTTATTTTCAGGGATTCATTTGCATTTCACTGCGTTTGCGTTTCCATATTTGACAACTTGACAACATCACAGGTTTTTAAAAATGGGGTTTAGCGCAGCTGCGTGCTGAAACTGACGTGCACGAAGACGGATCTGGTTTAAAGCAGAGATGCTGCCTTTTGGACTGGACATCGGCAAAAACTTCAGGTCAAGCAGAAACACCCAGATTTCACCAGTGTAAGTACAAGGTTTGTTCCTTCATATTGGGAGACAAATGATAAACCCATTTGAAAACACAGAACCTCCCAATCTTTATCTTCCTATTAACGTTAAAAAAAAATCTCATGGAGAGTTTTTAACAAGGATCAAATACTGTGTATTTTCTCTAGGCAGATGGTCTTAAAGTATACAAAAAAGATCCAAGTTTTGAGCCTGATTAAATAAAGCTTAACCAGGCAGATGGAGGAGCTAGAAAACTTCCTCGTATATCACTTTCCAAACACAGCCTCCAGCTGCAATTCGACTCAGGAGGGGCTCAAAGATCAGACATGTTGCTCCGAGTCCCGCTGCCTGCATTGTCATGGGTAGATTCTGCCTGTGGAGGAAGCTTAAGATGATTTGTGACTGAGTGCTGGCTCCTGGTGTGGGTCAACAGCGTGATTCAGCTGCTGCAAATTAATGTCTGTTTCAGATCAAAGGAGAAGCCTCGCCGTGCGATAAGTTGAATGCAGGGAAATGACATCACACAGGCAGGCGGCGAGAGGATTAAGTAAACAGTGCACGACAGGGCAGGAGAAAAAACTGGAGCCCAGCAAAAAAACGGAGGACGTCTCCGGCCTTTGTGTGAAGCCGATAAATCTGTAACTTCGCATTTTGCCTGGACCACCTGACTTGATTGCCAGAGGTCAGCCGGTGCATTTGTGTAAACCTCATGTCTGTCTTAATGCCAAATAACCGCGCTGGCTGAGTACAACCACACTGATGATCAACGACTGCAAATTCGGTTTTAACGCTCCATCGCACATAGCCCTCAGCTCTGTGAACCCCTCCACTCCATCCCATTTACAGACTTCTCCTCCATCTTTGCTGCCTGCAGGATATAGACTGACCCCTTTGCCTAGAAGCGCCCGCTGCTTAGTGCGTATTTACTTATCGTATTGCACCGAGGCGGTGGCGGCGCTTTACCGATGCTGACGCTCGCCGCTCTGGCGTCCTGGTTGGCCTTGGCATCCCGTGCGATTTGCGCCCGCGTGGCGGCGATCAGGCTGTCGTGCGCCAGCTCCTGCACCCGCAGGTACCAGGGAGCGCTCCCATCTATCCCGTAGTCTCCGGACGGCACGCCCTCGTCCTCGTCCTCCCCACTACCGTCTGCGCCGAAGATCAGGGACTCCGAGGAGGCGGTGATGCCTGAGGGGGAATCGCAGCAGGGGATTACCGGAGCAGGAGAGAAGACGGCCTGAGCCAAAGTAGGTCGTGTTTCTAAATGTCGCAACTGCACAACTCACAGACACCTTAAAAAAAGAAAAAGAATCCATCCTTTTCTGTCAGTTAGAGCAAAACACCAGACAGAAGGTAACAGTCAATACACAAGAACTCTTTTTCCTTTTTTGGGGGGGGACTGCACTGGGAGGCTGTGCCTTCCAGAAGCCATTTCTTTATGCCAAAATGTGTCTTCTTTTTTGTTTGTGTCACCTCATTTCTTTTTAGAGCCGTGTGAAGAATCAGAACCGCAAGACCAGATGGAAAAAAACAACATTTAAGGCAATATGTTAGTTTCCATTATTCAAACGCTCAAGGTTGATTTCACTGATGTGTGTGTGTGTGTGTGTGTGTGTGTGATCAGGCAGGTGTGTGTGCTCACTTTTTGCCAGGTTCAGCAGGACGTAGGACGTGCTGTCTGGCTGCTGAAAGTCGTGCAGGATGGCGGGGGGGCTCGGCGAGGCCCTCGTCTGAGAGTGCGTCTGGACCAACGCGCTCTGCTCTGATACGCCTCCAAACTCCGACAGGGAGGTGGAAGCCTCCGGTTCATGGCTCAGGCCTCCGTCTGAGGAGCAAACCAGAACTTCTGAGACTCTCTGCTGAACTTCACATCCACTGTGAACGGTAAACTTCCCCCCTTTCTTTGATTTGAGGATTCATTTAAGAGCACGAATGCAGGCCACCAAACAGGGACGTGTCTGAGCTGGCCTTGCCCCTTTCTCAGGGTTACATCTCATTTGAAACAGCAGGGTTGAGGCTTGAGCTGAATCTAATCAGACATTAGGGAGTGTAAAAGGTAGCATTGGGATTAAGCTCAACTGCTCATATCGATCTGATGAAAACTTTGAATATAAAAATCAAATATAAAAAAATAAACAGGGTCCACACCAAGACTAATGAAAAGCTAATCTGACAATGGCTATAACAAAGGAGCCTTACGGTGAGGATTCTTCATCTTAAAGATCTAAAAGAATCCTAACTATGTCACTGATGCATCTAAACACAATGAGCCCTGAACAATGAGGAAACAATCAGGTCAAAGTGACACATGGGCTGCTTTTAACCTCCAAAACACATTTTTAAGACTCATTAGCCATCAATACAAGGGGTAAAAACTGCTGCTTGTTCCCCCAAACTATTACACCTGTTATTATAATAGAACATTTTCTAAAGTTGACATCCAGACAGGGAATTAATTATCAGTCAATAGCTTTAAAACACTCTCATTTCATGCCATCAGGAGAAAAAAAACAATGATTCCATAAAACAAGGGTGAGCGTAGAGGGGAGTGTGTGCCTACCTGTGAGCTCCAGCGGGGTGCACAGAGAGCTCTCCGGGGGGGCCAGCAGAGGCAGGCAGGAGTGTTTGGAATCCGAGTCCTCCAGACTTTGCACCAACGGGATGGATGCATTCTGGACAAACTCCACCAGCAGCTGAGGCGACATGACAACAAGGGAGGACATTCATCATAGATACCAGACAGTCCGGACTTTAGGGCTCGAGACACACTGTGTCAGTCAGTGTTGTGGAGAGGAAGCAGGTGGAAATGATGAAAACGTTACCTCTGGTTTGGAATCAAGCTCATCAGAAAGCATGAGTCACCCTGTGTGGAGCCTGGACAAGAAGGACACAAACATCAGCCGTCAGAGGTATTAGCCATCACTTGAAAGAAAGTCTCAGCTTGTGGCATCACAAACCTCAAGTTTGACCGAATTAGTGCAAGATTATTTGCGGGTCATGAGCTGCAGGTCATCTTTGAGTCAAACACATCGCCCAAGCTCTGTGGGGAAAAGAATAAAACATACAGAGTAAGCAATTTACAGGTTTTCTAATACATTAAATGCCCATCTTAAATTGCGAATAAGCACAGCTAAAACCCGCCGGCTAAGTTTGTGGTCGAAATTCGGCTGTACAAAGCAAGCAGATGACAGATTACCTGTTAGCTTAGTTAGCAAGCTTAGCAGCAGAAAACTAGCTACCGGGGCGAGTTTCCCAAAATACAACAGTCTGCCGATAAAAGCCCTGACTGCTGTCGGTACACTGCGCCCGTACGCGGCTGCTCTAAATTTTCAAAAACATATAAGTAAGCACACCCCCTTGCATTAAGAGAGTAGCTGCGATAACTTGCAACTACCCTGCCAATTGTGTCAAAACAGAGGGCAGCTTCGCTCTACGGCGTCTCAAGTGGAACAATGTTAAAGCGCGACTGCGTTTTAGCGAACAACGACAGTGCCTCTCCATCGCCACCCAGCGGCCAAGTTACCAAACAAATATATCCTGTAAACAGTCAGTTACTATTTTGCATAAACAAATATATCAGTTTTGCAAAAGACAAGTAATAACTAGATTTAGAATAACATGTTACAGTGCAAGAGGTGAAAGACAAAGTGACCCAAAGGGCATAAATGGTAAAGCTTAACTGTCTAAATGAGGCCACAAAGGCATGTGGAGGAACTAAGAAGGGACATGGCCTTCGCATGGCCTCATCTTTAAGAATGTAGGCATTTAGTCTTTTCACTATGTGTGTAACATCTGATATCTACATAATGTGCTCCATTTGTGAATTGGATGAAAAAGGACGTTGAAAAAAAACTTTTAAAAAAGCTACTTCTATTTATTGTTTGTTTCTTTTAAACAACTCAGGGCATCCAAGGGACATACATTTGTGCACATTTAACCATATATCAGAGGCAAACGATATCAAGAACATTTTTTCTTTGAATGGTATTTGCTATTCCAAAGCTAATGAGTCTCTTACTTGAAGGTGTCCAAAAACAGCAGAAAACCCTTTTGAATGAAACCCTCTGTAAAGTTTAGATGAGGGGAAATGTGTCTCTGAGTCTCCTGCTCTCACAGGCTTTAAACAACTTATAAAACAAGATTTTTAAATTATCAGTGACACAGGGGGGAACTAATAAAGCCTCACAAAAAACAGATTTACAATTCTTTAGAATAGGAAAGAAAAGCAGAGGGTTTGAAGCTGCCAGTATTCAAAAGGAATACCCAGAATCCAAAGTTCCCAGTCTACAGGAGCCCTGCTGAACACCTACATGTGTTTTCTCTTCCCCTGCAAACACCATTTTGAGAGTAAAGAAATGTGCCTGACAGGAACATGCCATGACAACAGCAGCAGCTATCTCTGGTACAGCATGCAGCACACAAGGGGCGGGGGGGGGGGGGGGCAGGAGGGGCTTTTTTACAGATCAGTCAGTGAATAGGAAAAGCTCAGTTACTGGCGGCAGATGAAGAAAGCTGCTTTTGTTCTATTCTCGGCCAAAAACTCACAGACTCTTATTCTGTCCTTTACTCCACTGGAGGCGACAGTATTATCAGAGCAGCTATGAAAAATGTAAACTCAGGTGAGACTGTGAAATATCACAGGGGATAAAAAAAACAGGGGAGTGTTCCTTGATTTAGTCCATGAAGGTGAGAGAAGGTGTGGCACCCGAAAAAATACTCAAGATTCCTCCTATAAGACACTGAAACCTGGCAACGCATTCCAACTTGCTAGTGTTTCTTATCAAATACCCGCCCACTTCAGCTGCACTCATTAGCTTGACGAAAAATTGTTTAACCAGAAAGGACGGAGCAGCTCGTTGCACGTGCAGAGAAAGTAAATAACAGATTGTAAAGTCAGGAATTTTATTTGGAGCAAAAGCCCCCAAATTGTCTCCTGTTTCACGCACAATAGAATGGAGGAGAGGAGTTAAAGCTGAGGGAGGGATCCAGAATAGGTGCGCGTCAAACAGCAAAAGTATGTAACGCAGAAAAAAAAAAAAGATGGAATAATACACACAAAGGGGCTGGTTCTCTGGCAGATTTAGGAAGTAAAAACCCCAAAGGACTGCTCAGTGCATCAGCAGACTGGTGTGCGGACACTGGAGCTGCTGCACTGCAGTGAAGAGTGGAGGAAAAAAAGAAAAGAAAGAGGGGGGGGTGGGGTAACAATGACCTGAAACTTTAGTAGAACATCAAATATAAAGAGCTGAATGCTGAACTCTGCAGAAAAACCTCTAAATATCTCTGAATCTGGTTTCCAAAGACTTAAACGGGCAGAAATCATGCAGTCTTCAGAGGAGCCACACGTTCATTAGTAAAAGAATCCCAATCCAACAGTTCTGTTTTTTTACATCTTTATATTGTTAAAAAGTAGCATCACCGTATGTGAGTTTTTCCAGATGATAATGTTTATCCCCTATTGTGATGTTCCCTCTAAAGCACTGTAACTGAGTACAAACAGCAAGTACACAATCAGATTTATACATTACTGTACAGAATGTGTAAAAAAAAAAACATTTTTAAAAAAAGTTGAAAAAAATGATAAAATAGATCATAATAACAAAAGAATCTGTCCATCTTAAATGAGCTACAGCACAATAGCTACCACAGCTGCCATAAAACTTACAACCACTTTTCGTTTTTAGATAATTTCAGTGCAAATGCTCTTTGAAGTACATGGAATTTGGATTTGAAAAGGCAATTTTTTACAAACTAATTAACTGCTGACAATAAACCAACAAAAGACCTCCAATTTTTTTCCACCATGGAGATGTAGAGACACAAGCTGATGCTATAAAAAAAAACAAACATCAGCAGTAATCAATCGATAAAATGCGACTTTGTGGTTGCTTCAACCACAATAGTGAACACATGTAAACAAAAGGAACCTTTAAGAGAAAAAGGCTGCAGTTGCACAAGACTGCCCAATTTAAATCCCACCAACAATGATCTTTTTAATTACAAAAAACAAAAACAATGACAAAAGGAGAGACTCACAAAGCAGATTAAATATGATTTCACTTAGACAGGCAGCCTTTACAAAGGGCTTTTCAACAGGGAAGCATCGCATTGGTTTTGAAAAGGTTTTACATCCACTGTTTGTATGAGAATAGCAGCCATCAACATGATGGGAAAAATCACTGACAGGCCCTGTCAAATCGAGCTTTAAAACACACAGGACAAATGAAATAAAAAGACACTTAAGGTGCACGTTTGTCTGTTTAATGGAGCTGACCGACAAAGGGCCAGAAAACATTCAACATGGCAGGAAAACTCCTTGAGCTGGTCATCTGCTGACCTGTCAGCCGGAGGCCTTCACCTAGTCCCAAAGTTTTCAGATCAAAATGTCACTACGCTTTTATTTAAGGAGACAATCAGTTGTCTGAATTTGACCCAATATCAGATAAGCTTTAAAATAATCTAAAAAAAATCAAAAACAGGTATCCACTTTCAATGGTTTGAATCAAATCAAGCCGACTGACGCCTCTGAACTGGATTCAGAGGAATTAAGATGGATATCTACCTTAGATCCAACTATCAGGACCTTTTTTTTGGGGGGGGTCTCGACTGCCAATAAGTGAAAAAGGTTTGTGCAACAAACAGGCTGCTCCAAACAGACCTGGTGTGAAAGAACTCAACATTACCTTTGACCTTGTTTGTTCCCTTACCAGCTGTGCCATGGTCTCTGGGAGCCTGTGTCTATCAGTTACACCCACGACCAGCCATGAAAGAGGACTACATCGCACCAAAGACACTGATGTTAATGTCCTCAGCAAATATTCTAGTCTAGTTTCACAAATGGATGGTAACAAAAAAACAAACACTTTTGTGTATTTGTCTTAGTTGCGTGACAACGACAAACCACAGACTAAAGACGTCCTCTGACACAGAATCTGAACTTATAGAGCCGTTACAGTCCCCACAGCACGTCTTCCCCGGTCAGAACGAGGTGCAGTCCACCACAGACGGCTGCTGTGTACGAGAGGAAATGTTTCGGGGAGAGGATAATCCAGGTGTGTGCGCAGGTGTCCAGCTGTTCCTGCCCCAGCTCCTCAGAGGAGTTTTATCTTTCTGTAACCACTTATGCTACAATGAGTTTCCACATTAGTGCAAAATTTGTCAGGAGAGAAGAGCTGTGACCCAACACCCTCACTCTCACTTTTCGGCTGGCCGGGTTCGGCGACAGAAGCCCAAGGGCTCTGGCTCCAAAATGTAGGTCACAGTCTCCGTCTGAGGCTGGGGGGAGGGGTCCAGCGTGGCGCACGTTATTCTCGGTCCATCTGTCTGTGCACACACCTACCCCCCCGGGCCTGCCCCTCCATAGTCTGAAGGCTTACTGCCTCACACCCGTCTGGGTCTAATCTGCTTTCAAACTGCTCATGACGGCTCTGTTCCTGTCCTCCTCCTGCAGACGGGCCTGCAGCTTAGCACAGATGCCGGCGTCCCCGCTCCGCAGAGCCTGAAGAAACAGCTCGGTGTGCTCTCTCAGCTGCTCCAGGTCATTCTGGGTGCGACGGTTCTGCCTGAGTAGCTCCTTGGTGCGAAGTGTGATGTCCAGCAGGCCGGATTTACTCAGGATGTTGTAGGTGTTGCAGAAGCGCTTCCTCTTTGTGTCACAATCCCCGTCACTCAGACTGAAGCTTTCTGAAGACGCCTTTCCCTGAGCGGCTGCTCGTGGGGATCTGGTGCGTGCGACAGAAGTGGGAAGCTCTGGCTGGCTGATGACTGAGGACGGCCTCTCTTTGGCAGGGCTGCTGCTGGTTTCTGCTGCTGGGAGACAAAGTCTGTTCTGAAGCAAAGGAGACGAGATACCGGGAGAAGCAGGAAGACTGGAAGTGTTTGAGCCGGAGTCATTAGCACTGCCACAGAGCGCTCTCCGAGTCTTCTCTCTCTGAGAGCCGGACGTTAGCGGGCTACACCTCTCTGAGCCCGAGGAAGAGGAGGATGAGGAAGCTGTTCCTCTTCCTGAGGAACTTGCACTGTCTCCTGGATGAGGGGCGATCTTAGGGTAGGGTTTCAGTATTGGGAGATACTTTTTGGAGCGCCTGTGTCTAGAGGTGGCGTCTTTTGGGGCAGGGGAAGCCTGATGGGAGACCATGGGCTGTATGAAGACCACCTGAGGCTGCTGGACCACAGGCTGCACCACCTCCATGGCAGGACTAAAGCCCCAGGGCTTCAGAGCGGGAGGATTCTCTACGGGCTGCAAAGACAAAGGGTGTATTAGACTTTCCATTTTTCAAGAGCTCTCAGTGACAAACTGTTCAATTTCAACATGAATATAAACAAAGGCATTTTGCAAGTCTACCAAGCCAAATAGTATAGCTTCTACACCACTTCTATGCTTATCTCTTTCTTCCAAGACACTGAAATTCCTGCTCAATCCTGAGTAAAAAACAACAACAACTTATAATCAACCTTCCCCCATAAAGGAGCTGGTTCATCAACAAAGCCGACCAAAGTGTGAGCCAGCCCGAGATTTGCCCTGAGGTAGCCCCACTACAGACAGGGCTGACCGGTTTAAAAGCTGACCTGATGGTGAAAATGACAAACCAGGCCTGACTTTAAGGTTGAAATGTAGCGTTTACTTTTCACACCTTGAGATTAAAGCTCAAATTGCCACTTATGTCATATATTTGACTGAATTACAAACCAATGCATTTCAACACCCATTAACTGAAATGAACATTTCGCATTTAATTGCCATTCAGCCCCACAGCCAGTCAGGGTACCAATTCAAACTGATGGAGTAAAACACTTAACTGAAAACAAACATCAGGAATTGTTTAGAGCTGGAGACTGAAGGCCAATCTTTATATAAAATTCACTACAATCAGCCTAATCTAACTGACTAAATAACCCTCTGGAGTAATAAAATGAGCATCGATTTCTTAAAGTCACAAATGCTAAACACCCCAAACAGTATGAGCTCCGTGTTTTCTTTTTTTTTTCTGGATCTGCTGATTTGGCTTGTGGCATTCAACATTCATTACTCAGTCACCACATGATCAGGATTTGTTGGCCACTGCTCGTCAACACGCACTTCAAACTAGGTCAATTAGCTGACAAATGTGGGTGGAGGAATTGATGAAAATGGTGAGCACATATGGAACCAGGTCAGCTCTCCATCAGGGCTGCTGATCAGATAAAACTATAAAGCTTTTAGTGCATTACCTGTTTGAGAAGGACGTTGTTCATTATAATCATGGGCGAGAGGCTGGAGTAGGACCCCCCCACCACGGCTAGCTGCGACTGCCGGCGTCCTGGACCAGCGGGCTTGGGGCCCTGCCGCGCAGCAGACTGAGGCGTGTCCTCATATTCTGTGGTGTCCATTGCACTCATGTGCTCTGAACTGGCATCTGTGGACAGACAGACAAGTTAACACTGGATTCAGCTGAGAGGGGCCTCAGAATGACAACATGTGGCACGTGTGCCAAGGGCTGGGCTGTACCTGAGAATCCAGAGTCTCTCTCCGAATCAGTCCGGGAGTCCCCACACTTCATCATGCGTGGTCGGTTTGCTGCCCTCATGTGACTCTCTGCCTTCCTTTTGGTGCTCATCTCCTTTCCTCCTGTTTTAACAATGACCTTGGTTCCACAAGCTCTCATAAAACTACGTCAGAATTTAAAAGCTGGAGTTGGGAATGAAAGAAACTGTTGAATTGAATGAAACAAACATTGATGATTCATAATCACTTGGTAAAATAGTGGCGGTAGCTAAACAACAGCTTATGTTTGGTCTATCTCCTTTGTTTATCCGAGCATACAACGGAATTTAGGAATGAAATGAATAAACAGATTTTTATCAGCTCCTTCGCTAGCCCTAATAAACAGAAATTCTTCTCTTCCCCTACACGACCACTTCAGTTGAGGCACACACGATTTTTTTTCACAATACACATGGCACAGTTTAAATTGAGAAAGTTAGTAACGTGAGATTTGCTAGTTTTTCTTTTGTCGCCGAAACAAATGTTAAAAACATTTCGTGCGTTAACGTTAAATGCCTCGGACTCTACGACTTTATACGAAGGCGCGTGCCAGTAACAGCAGAACGACCAAAGGACTGTGGTTAGCTACAGAGCTATCAACAAAGCTACTCCCACTAAGTATTGTGCACTCGTATCGATATAAAAAAAAGGCCACCGAAGGCGCCAGGAATAGAGAGACATACATACTTTCGCCAAGAGTGTCCGTGTTCCAACGACGCAGTCTTCAGAGCTGTGGACAGGAACCTGACTCCAGCTCGAGGTCACAGCCGCGTTTCGGTGACTCGCCCCGCTACGTTGCCTGGAACTCGGTGTTCCACGGTGCCGTCCACGAGACACGCCGCCCCTCCCTTTACGGCTCGGTCACATGCGGAGCACGGTGGCGACAGGAGTTAGCGGTTGCGGTCAAACTGCCTCACGGACCTCGAAAAAGAAAGTAGGTCATGGACGGCCCGTGGGTTTTCTGTTTCTCGACGCTGAAATTGAAAATAACTATTTCGTCCCGGCAGCAAATTTGACAATTTTAGTAGTTGTGGGCGTGGCGTCGTTTCGAGTATTAGACACGTCAGAGTGTTTAGACTGACATCCCCGCCCACCTGACAGTCCTCCCGGCTTCTGATTGGCCGGCGCGGCCAGCAGCTGAAAAACGTGACCACTGCCAAATGTGTGGCAGGTCGAATACAACGTGCTCGACGGTAAAGAGTGGGCTCTCAAATAACCGCCGGAGAATCCGATGACGCCAGTCTGGCGTTACAGCATAAACTTTTGGCCTGAAGTTAACCTGAGATCAAAGAGCTCTGTCTGCCGAATGTCTGAAGTTGTAAACAAAACACTGCCATTAAGAGCCAAGCCTTCTCACGTGCTGCCTTATTTCAACATGCATGCCCTTTTTTTCATTCCATGATGAGGACGAAACAAGGGGGGGGGGGTTCTGGTGTGTTTGTGCTTCCAAATTCCATGGGAGAAATTCACGAAGTAAAGTCACTTGAGATAAAACTTCATCTGAACTGTAAATTATAGTTACCAAGCGTGAGGTTAAGAAGTTCATGGTGATATTCTACAAGTAGAGGAAGCCTTGCTATTAAATCTAGCCGCACCCCTATCATCTCACATGTCTGTGCAGGGCTGGGAGCGCATTACAAGTCAACGGATAACAGCAGGCCTTTGTGCTGAGCCAACAGTGTGTTTACTGTGGAGCCTGATGAGCTGTAGAACTGCTGTGTCCTCACACGTTTCAGATCTCAGCAGGCCTCAAATGCAGATACAGAAACACAAAAGTCTGTAATGCTTGGTAAGCTTTTATTTTATGCACTTTCCATGTTTGACAGTTCAATTCAATGATTATTGAGAACTTTAAAACGTGCTGCATTGAATCTGCAGTGGGTTTTCTTTTCACTAGGTTTGGGGTTGCTTTCCTAACAATAGAAGTTAAAATAAACAAGAAGCAGCGTGTAGCTGTTCTGCTTTTTAAACACATTTTAAAACCCTCCCAGAGGAACAGCAACATACAAAGCCTGAACAAATGTTACAATAAGAGAAAATGAAACCTTATGTGTGCAGGTTTCAGCACAAATAAATGAAAGTTTTTGCTTTAATGTCACTTAATCATAGAAAAAGGATGGCATGTACAACGTCTAACTGGTGCAGGAGAGATGAGTTGGCTGGGGATGAACTGTCACATGGGTTCTCGCTCACTCCTCCAGATCAAATTTTTCGTTAATTAGCCAAGGTTTTTCCGCATTTTAGGGAATTGGGACCTGGAAAAAAACATATGCACATTCATTCAAACTGGTATGTTTTGTCAATTCAACCGCATGTCTAACAAACATAATTAGATTTTGGTAATCAGTAATTGGTGTTTATTTATGCCAGATTCTTTTTGCACCACTGATGCAACCATCTAAGTGGTTGTAAAAATGAATTTTAAAGTTGGCCCCTAATCCCTGTCCTCTGGGGTACTCACCAAAGCTGTGCCATCTGTATATTTGTCTCTTTGGTAAAGTTATTGTGCATACATTTGTGTATAACATAAAAAGTATGGGGCTCCTAAATGGATTCTACAGTTATGAATCCAATGAATAAAACTTGTGTTAAGGAAAAATCATTTGCTGGTATCTCTGCAAGCTTCTTTGATAGCAAAGAGAAAAAAGAAAAATAACAACAACAAAAAAAAACTCTACATAACACAGGCTTCAGAGATGTTTATGTCAGAGGTCCTTAAGACTCAATGGGAAGCTGAATTTTCCATTGATTTAATGGAGTGAAACATTGTGCTCCTGAACAAACACATTAACAGTCTACACATTAACTTCAGGTAGTTCATGCCAACATTAAAAAAACATCAAATGTTTATCCCCATCAGGCCTCACGTGCAGTTTGAACCCTCTCAGTCTGATGGAAGACATTAAATCTCTGCTCCAACTGTGTGGTCCTCTCGCCACTAAGTATGGGGTTATGGGATGGCACTGCTCCAGCTCTAAGTGCTGTTTACCGAGAAAGAAAACACAAAGAAGCCGAGGCAAGTCAAACACACCATTACTGTTCCGGGTCCGGAAAGCAGACGGACAACAAGACCATGTAGATTCCCAAAATGCTTTTGTGGGAAATCTCACTGGGAGTTAAACACAACCTTCACCTGCCGTGACCTCAAGTCAAAATGATATGGGCTCCACACAGGCCAACTTTCTGTTTTTCTAGCTTCAGTCTCCTCCTAACCAGAGGCTTTGGTGATATCCTGCAGGCAGACGACCCCGTTACTGAAAATGGTTTCTTTTTATTCTCCAAAAAAGGAAAGAAGGATAACAACTCTGATAGGGACAACCACTGAATGATATATTTAAAGGTCAAAGGACGGAGTGACACTGATTTCAGCCAATGTACTCTATAACATGATAACAGTCTAAGGCCTGGGAGAATACAGACACATCCAGCTAAATCTGGCAGGTTTCCATGTGAAAATCGAGTTCTCTCACTGAACTGAGGTGTGTAGATGCATTTCCTCCTTGTGCTAATGAGGCTTCGACTCTCAGAGACACCCAAGCTATTTGACTGACTCAGACAGCTCATGCTATATTTGAACAACTCAGCCCACACAAAGCCTCTGAAATGTCGTTTCAAAGTTTAGCTTGAAAAAGGTAAAACGGATGGGGAGGATAAAGCGCTCCCATTTTTTCTGAAACGAAAGATTTTGCACCTCGTGGCTAATGTGTTTCGGGACATGGACACCAGGGAGTAAAAATGCCCTCTCGTTTTCAGAACATGCGGTAACTGATAAGAAAGATATCTACTCATGCTCCTGATCTGCATCTTTAAAACACCTAACCAGTTCTCATGAAAAAGTGTAATAATGTCATCTTATCCTCACTTGAAGAATAGATGGAATACCCCAGGTGATGTATTCATTTCTGTGGCTTCATTCACAGAATTTATATCTCTTTAGATAAACTGTGTAGAGACTGACTCCAGCGGTTATTTCCCCTAATAACTCACCAGTGTTCCCCAACAGTGTACATTTCTAAGCTTTTCCATTGGATTTAAGTTTGCTTTAAATGAGCTGTGGTGTGATAATTATTCACCGCACAGGGATCTGTGAATATGTTAATATAGAAAATAATAATTATAATAAAAAAACAGTGTTCAATGTGCTGCTTAGACTGATGCTTCCAATAATTTGCAGGAGACATAAAAGCTTTCTAAATTCCTCTTTCTGAGGACACAGCTGCTTTGCAGATTCAGATTTCAGAGCAGACGTTGTAGGCCATGGCATTGCTGGCTGAACTAACCCATGTTTTCTGGCACTTAAAACCTTTGATATTTCACACATATGTTGAACATATTTAAAACATGTTTTTTAGTGAATGCGTAAAAGCAGGACAATCAGCTCTCTTCTGACTCATCAGAGTTGTTTGCTTTTCATTGTTTTTTGCTCTATTCCTGATGTAATCAGTGTGTTTAGTGTGGTAGGCCTTGGTGAAAACTATCAGTAGCCTCGATTTATTTTGCTATCAAATGCTATGTGACCTTATTAGGGTCTTGCTCATCACAAGTGTTCTGGATGATAGTTTGTGGAAGTGAGGAGCAGCCCAGCAGACAATATATTGTGCAATAAAGTTTAATCTTCTCTGGTCTTGGTAGTCTTACTGAGGATAAACGTCGCAAAGGTCATGAAACTGCAGGTGTGTGTGAACCCCACAAGGGAGAAATCAATCAATCCTTCTACGTGCAGAGCTGTGTTGAGCAATGGTTAGACCTGGCCCGCCATCCAAAACAGAGCTGAAATGTGAAAAATGTGAAACGCTGGGGGACTGTGTGGGAACGTTCTGTTTTTCATCTTCATGGACAGATTTTACCTGAATGGGGATTTTGTCAAACGATTCTGCTCTCATAAAATGAGGATGTCCATTAGGGCTCATCGACAATGAACTAAACTTTATGTTTTTAGTGATAAGTTTATAATGATGGGCTTAGTTTTAATATCTGAGAGGTTTATCTCTATGACAACGGAAACAGGAAAAATGTGAGAATGAGAGCGGTGTAGTTTCACTTTGTCCTCAATGACATACACACAAATAGGCTTTGTGTGACCATATTTGAGTGTAAATGGGCACAAAGATCAAAGAGCAATTAAGTCCACAATCTCATCCTCTGCATGTCTCTTTTTATAGAATTTTGATCAAGCAATCACTTTAACATTTATCTTCAGAAAGTCTAGTTTCAGCCAGGTTAAAATAATCTATGCTACATTCATGTAAGTGTGCCTTAGTGTCTTACTCTCCGCAGCCGGTGGCAGTCTTCTTGCACTTCCTCCTTCGAGGTCTGTACTTAATGGACTCACTGTTGCTGTGCAGGAAGAGAAACACAACTAAGATACAGAGGAATTGGACCTGGATAAACCAAATGTTTGCTTACTTACTTGTTATCAGTTTGAGGTTTCTGACTCAGTCTGTAAAACCAAACAAAAAAAAAAGGTAAGCGACCTGTTGGTGAGTGCTCTTTAAGAGTAGTCAGTGGAACTGATCGGTGGTCTACCTGCATTTACATTCCTGATGCTCCACAAATGTCAGTTCCACATGTTCCATCTGCGCCAAAGAATTAATCCGCATCACCTGGGGCAACGAGAGGAAAGGGCAGGCTAAACAAAGGGCTTTATGGTTAGCGTAGGCCCGTTGTGTGTTTGTGCGCACACCTCCAGAGTGATGTTGCGCTGAGCGGTAGGATGGCACTCCAGCTGCTCGTCTATGCAGCAGCCCGAGCACCGCCAGAGTGGGACACAGGCGGGTATGTACAGGTATTCCACGTCATCCGGAAACTCCTGCTCCACATCCACCAGTTGCTCCATGGGTTGACACATGCTCTTTCCCAGCACCTCCATGAACGTCACTGGTACACGAGAGGTTACTGGACTGGGTTTACCATAATTTATAAGTGGAGTTAAATGTATTCAGAGTAGCATGATTCAAAGTGGCACCCTTTGAAAAAAAAAAAAAAGTGGCGCGCTTACCTCTAGATGGTCTCTCCTCTGGAAGATGAAACATCTGGAAAAAAACACATTTATATTACATGAAAAAATTAAATATGCTTAAATATACCATTTGTTTTCTGTGTGTGTCAGCATCAAAGCCAAATATGGTCAGAAATACACCCTCGGTTTCAACAAGCAACTGCACAGCTTTCTCTAGTGGCAGAAAAAGAATCTGTTGTGGATAATTCAATCCTGTTCAAACTGTGATGCAGCACGGTTTCAGCAGTGCTCCTCTGAGGAGTGGAGAAAGAATCAAATAAACCCACCACTACCACAGAGAGCGTTTAAGATTTTTCAGCTGGTTTAATGCAAGAGGGTTAAATGTCACAAGAGGCAAAAATATTCTAATAATAACAACAAAGAATAGCTGCTGCTTTCACTCATAGGACGCCCTCACACTATTCAAGCAAAATCCAAAGTCCTGACAGGTGGATTTTTCTGAGTTCTGTCAGCCAAACTCCTTCTTGTGCCTTTCAGAAGGGCAAGTCACACTTCTACTATTTGCAAGTTATGTGGTTCTGTTGTCTACTTCAAGTCCAGATTTCCATGGAACACCAGAGACTGAGCTCGAAGCAGCCAGTGAGATCCAGCTCTTCTGATTTTAAGGCCATGGTTCACAACCTTTAAAAGGTGGAATACTGTTTCTGGGTCTGCGACAAGTCTAGGATGCCTCCTAGTGGCCATCCTTCAAAGGTTTTTGGGAATGGTACCAACTGACTGTTGAGAGGCCAGGGGCAGAGCCAGAACTCACTGGAGGGAATACAGAACCCTTCTGATCACTGGGGAGAGGAATGTCTGTGGTTGACTCCCAAACTCAGGGTACAATCTTAGCTTCTTTCTAGTTGTCCCCAGAGACAGTCAGATCTTTGTGCAAAAAGTAATGACATTTCCTCTAATTAACTGACAAACATTAGCCCACGCAGCTGAAGTGCGCAGCTGAAATTAAACCTATTATGGATGACCATAAAAATGTTTCAAGATTTCAAAATATTTTTCCATTTGCTTGCATTAAAATAAAATGAGAACAACTCCTATCTCAGCCAAAAGATACTTATGAGTTAGTTAAATTCATGAGGACTCTCCCTCATAAAGTAGAAAGAAAAGTAGAACTTATCTTCCACACCTCATTTTCTCATCCTAGAATGTAGTTTATTTTATGATAAATTCTACCTTTAAAGTTCAAATAGATACATGTGTACCCCTACATTCCAGCTTATGAGTTTATTTGTACATGTATCCATTCATTTCCCCCAGATTTATACCTTGGTGTATACAGGTTATTGTTGAATTCAGTTAAATCATTCTACTAGTAGTAATTTCAGAGCTTAGCGCTACCCTCATTATTCATCTCTGACATAGCTTTTGAAAAAATGCTCCATTAATGACTCCAGAACTGAACACTTGGCCTTCTTTTTATCTGCCTCTTGTGTTTCTAAATTCAAGAGATCTAAATATGACAGCATTCTGTTTGTGCCTTAGTTCTCCAGTGCCTGTTGGAGTTCTATTGGCTTTTTAAGCTGGAGCTCTGGCAGGGAGTTATTTAGGTCATACCCCTCTTATTAGGCTTCTGTTTATAAAAAATGATTTTGCTCTGTAATTCAGTGATTTGTTGCGATTTTGTTAATAGCCATGATTAGTTCCCTGGTTTTGTGAGGGGAGGCGGGATGGGTAGCTCCGCCCCTGGATTACGCTCAAACTACAGACGCACATCTGGCAGATCTCCTAAGTTTTTCCCACCTGCTCGCACGCACTAAATCTCAGTTTTAATACAAAACATAACCATAAAACAGCTGCTTCCTGCAGCTTGCTTAAGCTGATATCTGCGCACACGCACACGGGACGGGGATGGAAAGTCAGCGCGCGTCTGGGAGCGCAGCTTCACGCGTCAAAGACACTCCTAAAAGTCCAAACGCTTCAATTTAACAAAAAAAAAAAAATGGCTAAAGGCATGGGCTACCACTCTGTATTCTAAACATATATTTTCAAATTCTGATCGAATAAACCCCGGAAAGGAGTAGTAATGAAAAACATATTTTGAATAAGAAAAAGAAAACGCATAAAACGCATGGTTAGTCTTACCTGCGCAGGTGGCAGGTGCAAGAGAAGGAAATAAAGGAGAGAAGTCCCGACGAAACGTTGCATGCTGCCGAGGATGAGTTTCCTCCTGTCTTCTGTTGTCGGTCAGAAAGAAATGAAAATGTCAAGGAGAGGGTCGAAGAGCGACTGGAGTCTGGAGCCGTCCCACTGAGTCCAGCTATAAAGGCTGGCGATTACAGGCAAACAGTCATCAGAGTGAATCCAGGGCAAATCTTAGAGTTCGTTTACAGAACCACACAATTCATAACCACACGTTCATATCCAGGACATGGCTGGTTCGTTCCTTCCTCACCTTAAAAAAACCTACAGGCTTAGTTTATTCTGTTTTGTAGAACTACTAATACTAAATACACGGAGCAACAACTGTGAACAGAAAAATGGCAATATTGTATTAAAACGTGTATGTGCAATTCTGAGTGGCTGGAAAAACAATATTTTGAGAACCTTTTTTCTCCAAAACTGCCTGAGCCAGCTAAGAAAGCTTCCTTGCCCTTTCTTTTAATAGTCCTCAGGTATAATTCCCCAGGCTCCGGGAAGGACACCCCAGAGCTCTTGGATGTGACCTTTTTTTTCCCCCTTTGCCATTTCGATAATGTGAGGCCAGAGCTCTGGGAAAGATTCAGCCCTGTGGTTTTCGGTCCACTTCTTGTGGCATGTGGCATAGCTCGGCATTTTCTCCCAGTGTCCCTTCCTAAACAACAGCTTCCAGACATCCAGCCGTACTATTTCTGATGAGGCGTCAGCGGATGGCAGATGGATCAGCTCCAGTGTCAGTTCTGATGGGATCCTGTTTTCTGTAGGGCATCACATTCAGACGTGTTTAGAATACAGTAGGTCCACATCCTCCTTAAGGATCCTTAAGTTTCCTCATTTTTAGCTACTTTGAATTGAAAGATTCCTGTGCAATTTTTGTTGGTCAAGCTGTGTGGCATTTTTTAAAGGTGTAACCCAAACCAGGCTTCTTTATTCCAGGCCGGAAAAGTGTCACAAAGCCATTAAAGCTAGCATCTGAAATCGGTTCTGTGCTGTCGGCTGTACATAGATATAATCTTGGTACATAACTTAAATGAAAACGTTTTTATTCAGGATTGATGGATTGATCTGTATCAAGAGGCTTAATGAAAACAAACGCAAAAGAAGGAGTTCTGGAAATGAGGGACATGAACTGGAGTAGAAGTGTTTCTTTGGCGTTTCCTCTTTCTGGGGGCATGGACACCAAGCTCCGAGGTGCTATGACATTTATTAGTTGGGCTCCGATGTGTTGTCCCAGCCTGTGTTGTTTACTGAATAACTGAATTATGCAACCTTTTTGGACAGGATGACCTGGATGGATGAGGCCTCCCATCCAAGCCCAATTTGCCTTGTCCTCTGTTCTCAGATTCTGGGTTAGGGTTGGGCGTTTGGGGTCCGCCTCGTCGGTCGTAAATGCTTTAATCTACAACATATGTTTTTTTGTTGTTTTTTTTACCACAAATACTAAAAGGGGAGGGATCTATTAAAATGATTTCTTAGGCTTGTTGCAAACGCATAACATCGTTTTTACATTTTCACAAAACTTCACAGCCCACGGAGCGACCACGCCCGTCGGCTCTTCTCCGAGCTCTGTTTTCCTAAATGCATTTTACTGGTGCTCCCAGCAGGCAGGGTTCACCCACTTGGCGGGGAGTCCCCTTCCCGAGTTCCAAATCAGACAGCCAGGGGTCAGACGGCCAGCTGCTGCTTCCTGTCTCTGGGAACTTCGCTGAGGCTCAGGTCCCAGTTCCAGCTGAGGGAGGATGGGGTTTCCCTGGGCCGGAGCAGCAGGTGGGGCCGCGCCGCTCTACGTGTGAGCCAGGTCATGGCTGTGTCTCGTTAATGTCTGAAAAAGGATCATCTGAGAAAGGCAGCAGTTCACACACGATAACGCTGAAAGCTTGGCACGCATCCACAGGTAGGAGGCCGGCACGGTCTCTGCTTTTCCACATGGGCGTTCACACGACTGACAAAGCTCTTAATGTCGCCTCCAAAATCCCCATCGAGCTAGGAGAGGCTCTATAGTGTAGATAGGTTTTTACAACTTTTAAAAAATCTCACGTAAGAGTAAAAAAGATGAGGAAAACTGCCACATGCCCCACCTACAGATGACCTAAACTGTGTCCATGTGGGAAAATGTTGCATAAGCCTTCTGGCCATCGATCTTCATCGGGGTTGCTGGATTTATTGCCCTCACCGAGGAGGGCAGAGGAGAAAAGGCCCACACCTTCTATCATCTGTCACTGGAGACGTTGCTCCTCCCCCCCCGCTCAGTGTTTATGCTCGAGATTAAGACCCAAACTTTATCTGATTTCCCACACTTTTTGGCCTGTGCCGAGCTGCTGCAGGTGCATTGTGGGTACTGCTATTGGTTCCCAAGCTTAGGGTAGCCAGATGGAGCAGTCTGACTGATTAATGTGGCCCAAAAGGCCAAACAGATGCAACTCCACCGCAGGATGTGCAGACATTAACAGCATGTGGAGAGCTGTAAAGCTCCAGCCACTGTCTGCACACGTCTACACACACACACAAGCTTTAAATCCACTTCGACTTCTTTTCATGGTCATACCGTCTATACACATACACACACGCAACGCTAATGAACCAGGATTTAAGGGTTAACTCAATAATACAAAGAAGAAAGCGTTAAGCGAATCTGGAGGTGGACTAAGACACAGAGTTTGGAGTCTGTTTGGGACCACCAGGAGCTACTTTATTCATACTTGTTTTTTTGTTACTTAATTGCCCTGAAATGCAAGTGCCTTTACTTAATGTATTCCATGCTATCAACATCCAGAATGAAAACAAGTGTACCATTTTGCAAAACTGTAAAAATTCTGATGGCTACATTTCTTAGCAACTATAAAAGAAATGCGTTTGCTTCTTGGGGGATCAGTAAATCTTTTCTTGATCTAGGTTATTTAGAAATTCAGATAGCTGTAACAACTGTGACTATGCATTTTCCCCCCAAGTTATAACTCAGATGTTCAACTGGGAATAAAACAGCTTTCTTGGTAGCACTCAAGGGAAGGAGGCACTATTTCCCGTCCCTGCTGTCACGAATTCAGGACTCAAGATTCAATTTGATTTTAAATCACCAACCCGAGATCGTAAAGCCAAACTATAAATACGGTCTCTTTGTGCCACTCAAAGAAAAGACTGTTATGCAACGGTAAATATATCAAACAGCATCCTAGATTTATGGCCGCGTGGGGGACGATTTCAGTTCTGTCACAGAAGCAGAACCTCTGGGCAGTGGTGTGAACAGCCCGTGGCTGGGCTTAGCCTTTTAGCAGCCTCTCACCCTGAACAGACACCCCCCCCCCCCCCCTTACTCATCCTCGGTAGACGGGTGCTAACGGTGCTTTGAAGAGTGGTCGTACACATCTGGTGTCTAATTATAATCAAATAACAGTGATGCAATATCAGCTAATCTGAGCCGTTTCCTCTGTTTGTGGCTCCCTTCCTGCACGTGTAGGATATTAATTTAGAAATGTAATTGGATTAAAGCGGAACAAAAAAACATGACCGATTAAAGGCTGAGTATTTATTTGTTGTAATGAGTGTTCATGGGTTTACAGGGTTAGGCTGTAAGGATGTAGAAGAACAAAACACACATTCAGAACTAGGTCTCTTGTGTAAACACGTCTGAATCTCTTATATCGAACATAGTAAGAGTGAAGACTCTAACTGATACTTTTGTTTGTCTTCGAGTATGGGGGACTTTTTCAATGTGTGTAAAACAACACCACACAGCTAAGTACAAAACAATAAATAACTTGCAACATAATTCCTCTGTTGGAAAAGCTGGATGGGTAATGGCTGTTAAACATTTCCCTTCAGCTGGATGACAGCGTTGGCCATGGTGGCCACATACGTTTCTGCTGAGGGGTTTATAGGTTAACAGCCGTCAGCCTTGAGAGGACAATCAGACCAGGCTCTGCGTTTTCAGGCAGACGTGGACACGGAACCCTTAAGCCATTTGAAGCCGGCAGATATCAAATCAATGTGACCTGCTTTACAGTCCATAATCAGAACATAAAAAATATTGGACAACTGAATGCCTGAAACTGAGTGTTCAGTGAACGAATCAGACAGAGCGGGCATGTTAAATGAAAGTTTACTGGGCCAGTGGGCCGGGTGGGCGTGATACGAGGGGCCTCTCGACTTGATCTACTTCTCTGTGGAGAAAGCTCTCTTCATCAGGGGGGGAGGCGTTTTTCCTGCGTCGTACAAAGACTCGGGAGGAGGGGAGCTCAGGCAGCACCAGTCTGGGATGCGGCCCGTCTGATTGTAGTAGTCCCGCGACACCGACCTGCTGCCCAGGATGTCCTGAAGGGCCCCGAATATAGCACCTGAGAGGGGACAAACGTAACCAGAAGCAGAGACAAAAGCTTAGAAAAATAGACCTGCTGATGCTCAGGAAACATTAAACCTTGAGGCCGTTTTCACATTCTCCACACTCAGAAAGCCTTCCGTTCTGCAGCTGTTAGTTAACGGCATGCACATCAGGAACATCTCGTATCGCACCTCCGAGCCAGGCGGTGCAGTTGGGCTTGGCAGGTGGAGCGTGGATGCGGAAGCTCTTGCTGGCCAGCACTTCGCTGTACTTGGGTCTCTCCACCAGGAGGCGGATCTCTGCCAGCAGCCGGTGCAGGAAGCCTGGAAGCATGGCCGTGCCTCCGATCACCACCAGGTTCTCAGACAGCACTTTACGCGTGTCGATCGGGCACTGAGGGAGGGAAAGTAGAGAAAATACACTTTATCATTACAACAGAGAAAAATAAAAAGCTGGTTAACATGTAGAACTCCACAGAAAATGTTCATGTGCATCGTTTTTTTTTGTTTTTTTTTACCCTTTAACATCTAAACTTGGGAAAAAGGAAGGTAACATTTTTTTCTTCTTTGGAGGAATAATAACCAGAATCAATGCTTTTTTCACAGACAGTTAACAGTTTGTGATAATAGTGTGAAATTTAAAAAAGAAATATCATCATTCATGCTTAGCTTAGGCTTTACATACCTAAACTTAATTTTAGAGCTAGTTAAGTTATGTGGACGACTTCTACTAAACCTTATGATCGAGAATAATCAGTGAAATACGTGTTCTACCTAATGGTTGAGGAGGACCTGAAAGGGTTAATCAGGTGATGAATTTAAATGCCCTGGGCCGACTTCATTGATCAGAACGGTGAACGACAATTTCAATGCTTTCAACACATTCTACTGTAAAAAAACAAACAAAAACTAAAGTTTACATTAACACATAAATGGAATCAACTAGGTCCACCAAAAAAGCTAAAATCTTACAAAATATAGCTCACACGATATCATGTGATGGCAGAAAAACACCACAGACACATGAGTTAAATCATGCTGCTTGCAAGATTAAAAACTCTTCCTAAAGGAAACTTTATTGTCTGTTTGGATATCCGTGTCAAATGTCGCCCCCAACTCAAATAAAACCGAAAATTCTTCAGCTCATTTTCCAGCTGGGAATCGAACCAGCCGAACGCTTGCTCACTGAATCCGTGTCAGAGTGGAGCCAGGCAGTGTGGAGACTGAAGCCTCAGATCCACAGATCTGGTGGAGAAAACCAAAGTGGTTCCAAACAACACAGGAGGCTGTGCCTTTTTGGTAACAAACTGCAGTGTTGTTGTTTGTGTCCCAGCGGGAAGTGAATGCACAGGGGAGGGAAACGCCTGAGCCATGGAAGGGAGTGGTAGTTAAAGACAACACAGTCTCTTTAAAAAGAAAAATTTCAAACTACAAAGTTGAATTTATTAATAGTTTGTTAATCTCTTTTTCTTTTTAAAACAACCCATATTTTGAAGATTGTATGGCTATAACCACTCCAATCCCCTGGTGGTCCCCACCCTTATCATACAGGATGTATCCCACTATGATATGTCAGGGTATGTAGGACTTTCTCTACCTTGACCAGAGCATCGAGAATCAGAGAGGCCACGCTCTTCTCTTCGTTATCCTGTTCAAACAAGATCTCCATCACAGAGTCCCTGAAAAAAAAAAGACAAACGTAGCAAATGTAAGATCTGTGGATATCCCAATTTTTAAGAACAATACAGAAACCTGCAGTGAAGGAAAATGCAAATTTCCCCCAACCTGATGGAGCCTTTGATGTGTAGGATTTTCTCCCCGTCCAAAGGATAGTCCACGTCTGGGGGAGGCGTTGGACGCTATGATCAAAGCATTTACAATACAGTCACTGAATTTCACCACAACTTCTGCAGCATTTTTTGCTTGTTCAGAACAGAACTGAAGAAACCAGAACATAATGACATCCTTTACCTCTGCTGTGCCTTCCAGGTTGAACTTGGCTTCCTGGATCTTGAGGCCTCTCTGCAGGTCACTGACAAAACATGTTCTGACTGCAGGAAACAAACAAAAGCAGGAAGTGGCATACATCTAAACCAAAGCCAGGAACCATTTTATGTCACATTATCAATTAATATGCAGCACGTAAATGATTTATCATAAGAAACTAATTCTATTGCTACACCACAGAAAACTCTGTTTTGTCTGGCTGAACGATGGCACAGTGAAGATAAGATTTAAATTTGTTGCCACTTCCAATTCTGTGCACATCAATCTTCAACTGCACTGAAAACGAGACTGAAATAATCTTGTTCTTTTTCTGAGGTGAAGACAAAAAAAAACCCTCCATGATCATCAACGGAGAAGAACATTAGTGCAGATGTTAACACAGAAACAACTCCAGCCAAACTCACCCTTAATGTCCTCCACGGTTTCTTCTGGAAAAGTCCCTGGTGAAAAGATGGTGGAATTAAAAAGCTGAATCCGTGGATGGGAAAGTCTGAGCCATCAGCCTTCCATTAAGGTTGAGCCAATGCGTCTCTGTCCTTCTTAACCATGGATTTTGTGCTCACTACAGAGGTGTAGCTCAACAGTCAGATTAGGAGTCAGTCAGTGCTGCTTGTTTTTATTATTCATTTTTTGGGAGTCACAGTAGGGTTATCTCCTTCAATAAAAGTGCAGCGGGAAAACTTTAAAATAGACTGAATGCAAATGTATAATTCACTATTCACTCGGATGCCACACGGAAACAAGTTCCTCTTATGAATAGTAAATGATGCATAATGGGTCACAGTCACCCATCTCCACCCAGTCTCAGCTCTGAACTAACCAAACACAACATAACTGACTTCTGGCTCACAATTGTTTCTGCTTAAAAAATAAAACAACATAAGGTTGTGACGGGTGTCTACGCTTACCGATGGCAGCAGGTATGCTCTGCCCTGTTGTGGCATCTGTGTCCACTGTGCACTGTTCCACCAGAAATCCTTCCAATTCTCTAAAATAAACAAGTCAAATCAAAAAGAGACATCGAAAGATTGCCCATTACAGACAGCGAGGTGTCATTTCTACTTTAAAGTGAGCACCAACATGCCACTCCACTTTATCTGAAGTACTTACTTATGGATGGCTTTCCCTCCAAGAGGCAAAGCTTCCCAGGTGGGTAGAATCGGAGTGCACTCATAAACCTGATGTACAACAGTTAAGGTGGATATCATAAAGACACTAAATAAAAATAAATAGAAAAAAAAACAAAGTAAATCCTCTTTTGAACTAGTTTAAAATAGAGAAAGCTCTGTCTTTATACTAGCAGAGTGGTGGTGTTAAATCTCAACCCGAAAGCATGTTGGACATCATATAAACAAGGTAATGAATAAAAATAAAAAACGCACAGTTTTGTGTAATATCACTTATCCAAAAATTGAGGTATTATTAAGATAAAATTCCAGAGTTTGCCTAATATACAATCCCTGTGAAACTAACATGTATCAAATCAAGCAACAAAATGTTTAGCAGGTGAAATTCTACATTAATAAATCGGCAGAATCAGAAATCAGAACCAAGTTGAAAAATCTGACAACATCTGAAAAGAAAAAAAAGTCATTTATAATCATTCACTGTCTTTTAAAAGAATTCTGATGGAAAAAAAGGCTTTTAGATCAAACAAAAAGAAGAGGATACGGGCAGCACGAGTGTCTCTGTATATCCACAGTCCATCACCAGAGCAGAGTTGATGCCCAAAGTCATGATGGCCATAAGGTGACTTGGAGCAAAAAGCACAGATGGCACCTGGAACACATGCAAATGAGATTGAAAAGGATTAGGGAATTTTAAAAACACCTTTTGCCTCTCTCTCTCTCTCCCTCTTTGCTGCTTCGAATCAATCAGGTAAACAACGTGAGGAACAATCATTAAGTTTAGTATCAGAGTAGCTAATCAGGTTTCAGACCAAATTCCCTCATTCATGTGACCTTTTTCACTGGTTAGACACAGCTTTATTTCCACCCTAAGCTCCACTTTAATGCTTACTCCACATATGAATTGTGGTTCAGAAGGCAGTATTCAAGTACCTCAAACTGTTTGAAGAAAACCTTGGTGAGGGTCTCCCTGAAGTGGGACGGGCAGAGGATGGACTCGATGATGACCACTCTTCTGTCGCGAGGGTTCACCAGCAGATGCCTGATTGAGACAACAGATAAAATCATCTCTATTACATGTGAATCTGCGTGGCTCAGTTGCGGTTTACATTCCACCTAATGGCAGCCTTATACTACAGGACAGATTTAACTCTCACCTGAAGTACAGAATGTGGATAAACTCTTTGAGGATGGCATAAAGTTCTTCTGTGTTGATGTTGTACTGCACCACTTTGATGGCCTGAAATTGAGTCACCACACTCTAAGTTAGCATTGATTTTGCCATTTTATACACAATGTAATTTGTCCCCTAAGTGATGTTCAAAACATTCTCACCTGCTGCTGACCCGGTTTCCGGATCTCGCTCGGAATGATGAACCTGGGCCCCGTTTCCCCTGCAAAGCCACATCTGTGAGAAAATGAGAGCGTCAGTTGCACTGCTGGCTTTACACGAGTGTTTATTAACTTTTACTTTCCAAGAACCTTTTCATTTTGGCCACGGCTTCAGTCACTAGCAGGAACAATATTAGGAAAAATTGTCCTTATAGCTTTTCTACACTGTCTAACACTTATTGTAATGGTTTGGAAACAAAGTGTAAAACCAATTAAATTTCACTTCAATCACTCCCCACAAAAACTTTCAAATGTATATACCCATGAGAAGGCACCAATGTGATAAAGTACTGTTGTGTATTAGGAAAGGAAAACAACATCTTGCCTGGATCAATCAGAGAAGGATTTTTTTTGTACAAAGGAGTCTTTATTCAAAAAGTCCTCATGATCTTCTTGTGACTACATTAGGTCATTGCTTTAAAATGCTTCAGTTTTCTATTACATAAGTTATGACAGATAGCATGTAGTATTCTAATAATTACATTATGGTACTACGAATACATACACGTGAAATTACATTAAAGTTGAATATAATCAAGTAATTAAGTTAACATGGAATGATGCGCCATAAACAACAAATGCGTTTTTAACCAAGTAAACTATACTAAAAATCATCAAATTATGAGTGATATGTCTTGCAATCCTGATTGGACGCACCGACATCTTATTCGATTTACCTGGACTATTTATCCCTATGTTTATCTTTAAAACCTGGATATGTCAGAATATCCAATGTACACAATAGACACCCTCGATGTCTGAGATAAACCCAAATATAAAGATCTGAGAAATACTCTGTACCACTGTAGCAATTATCTAGGTCATCCTCATGACACCTGTGTCTGGATCTTAATGTGATTGGGTTTGTTTACAGCTTCAGCTGACCCCGCACTGACTGCGGAGCTTCCATGCTAACATGGATGCACAAAGCAGCACAGCACGTATCGCCTTGTTGGAGAATTGAAATCCCACTGCATACAATTAGTTAAGTTAATATGTTATCTCGATACACCCACCCAGACAAAACACGGGTAGTAACTTAAGAAAGCAAAGACGAAACATCAGCTAATCTATAGCATACTAAGATAACCTAGTAGCTGTATTAGCACGGTGTGCTAACGGCTGACACTCACTTTGTGTACGCTGCTCCTAAATCAATGACAATCGCAGTCTTTTCTCCTCCACTCCCCAGCCCATCAAATAATGGCATTTTACTGATCTATTAGACTTTGCGCAAAATGTACACGAGCCTTTAGCGCTAATAACCGTTAGTCTGCATAGTATCCAAAGTCGTGTGTTGTCTTCCTGTCGGCCAGGGCGGGGTCTTTATCACAGCCGTGACGTCACATGAAGAAGTGGTGCGTGCCTGATTAAAATCAGGTAAGGATCAGATTTAGAGTTCAGAATTTTGTTCCCAGGAATAAAATATGCACAATCGCCTCCAATCTCACTTTGAAGGCTATTGGTTTTAAACATTTGAATCTTCTCATCCAAATCTCATTTGTAGGCAATCTGGAGATCATCTACCTGTCTTTGCTCACTGCTTTTGCACCAAACCAGGATCTGCTGACATGTAATAGCTTTTAAATCTGAAAACTCAGTCCAGACTCCATGTTTTGATGCAAACATATATAAAGTCACTTACTTTGTACACAATAGAATGGCCATGTCATACTACTGACACTAGAAAAGGCCTATGAGAACCTCATACAGAAAAAACTTTATTGTTGAAGTTGTGGCTGTAACGTGGTGGTATCTATCATTCAGCTGTATGTATAAATAATGGCCTTCCTCGTGCATGAATCAGAACATTCTTGTTCCTTGGACCAGTACTGCACACCCAACAACCCATTACACAGTTTTTGGAGATATGCCAAGACTTTGGCTTTAAGTTTTTGGCTCAAAGTTTCCTCTAATCATAGTTAAGTATTCCATCATTGGTGTTTAATTTGGTTTCAGACACAAACATCATACAGCTAGCAACAAGGTTCCCTTCTGAACAAGGTTCATTTGTCTGTTAAGCATAGCTTTGGCTCATTCCTTCGGTGCTACCATTTTATGTTTATGCATTTAGCAAATCCTTTTATTGGAATAATTCACATGTTAAAAAATTAGATGTAGACCACTGTGAGAGATAACAAGAGTTTATCCTTATGCAGGAAAAAAAGGGAGGTGACTCAACTTTTAGAGCCAAGTCACTGCACAAGACCCTCTGTTCAACGCATAGAAAACACGGTTTCCTCTTCCTTTTGTTGAAATATAGGCTGAAACGATCCATTAAAAAGAAAGAAGGGACAAAAGGACACTTAAAAGTCTTCTTTTCTAAGGAAATGAGCTATTCCGGGGACCACAAATCTTTAAATGGGATGGAGGATCTGTCCATTCAGCACTACAATCTCCCCTAGCGTGACCCTGCAGTCAAAGGGTAAAAGTAACTCAGGTTAAAAGATTACCACAAAGGGGACAGAATATGTACTTGAAAAAAACCCAACACGTATAATAAAGTAGGGGCTGAGGGATCTTGCAGGTTTGAAGCATTTGGTGGCAGCACTTCTGAAGCAGGCGCACAAACGTGAGCAAGAGTGATTTTCAGTCCGTGACGCTCAGCTGCAAAACAACAAGCCTCTCCTTCATTTTCATTTCCACCCTATGCTACCTTAAATGTAGACGTTAGTCTTTTCCCCCTCATTTTTGTCTAATCCCCGCATTTCTGCACACCACAAGAGAAGCTCTGCAGCCCCCTGCAAAAAAAAAATCGTCATGAACTCTTAAAGGTAACTGGCTGTTTTTATTCTCAAATATGTGTATACGTGACTTTAATTGTTACTCTTTACGATTCTTCCTCACACATTCCGGAATGAGAGGGGTGATGCCGTTTATTAAGGGATGTGTTATAGGTATTATAAAGGGCTATTAATAGCCCCAGCTATTCTGTGCAGTCATGTTTGAGAAATGTGACTCAACACCGCAGTGTGAATTTGTTTACTGTCCAAAAGCCGGCGATGGTGCTGTCAGGTGGCGGTCCGCATGTGCACTCTGGTGGACTGATCGCGGGGGGAAAAGTAGGTGATTTTCTAACACCGTTCAGTGCATCGGCAGGCGTTGGAGGATTTTTCTCAGACGCTTGTCTGACTCAGTATGGATGGGTGTCAGCCTGTCACTATCAGGTTTTATTTCATCTGGAGATTAATTTGAGGGTGGGTTTGCTGTAAATTTAACATAATAAATAATGTGAGGTAGATAGCTTCTGATGTGGTGTTGCATTTGGGCATGTCTGAGCTTAAACAGGCAGAGTTCTATGGTATGCCCAGATTTACAATTCACAGAGCCATTTGAAGAGGATCCTGGAGGATAGAAAACCTATTGCTATTTATAGCTGAAGCAAAGGGGTGCTGAGGATTGCTGTGTCAGATTTCCTTCCTTGTTCTTCATCTCTGCGTGTGTATCTCTTTGTGAGTTGCGTGTGTGTCCTGCTTTTTCCTGTATGTACACAAATAGAACAGAAGAGTTTCAGATGAAAGGGAATTTCGTCTGAATTTCAACGCTGCACCTATTCTCAGACACAGATTCTCAGTTAATCCTGTTCTCTGAATTTATGGTGTGCTCAGAGCCTATCAAAAGAAATTCCTTTGGCATTTTGACCCTTCAGTGTCTTGTGGCTCCTCACAACTTACTGACATCTCTGGGTCCATGTATCTGCTGCATCACACAGTAGAAATTGGAAGCAGAGATTGCCGGCATGTCTTTGAAGCCTGTCAGCCTCTCCCATTTACGCCCACTGTCAGCAGGCGCTGAGAGACGACAGAGATGCTGATGCCCTGGCCGCTCCGCCACCTGCTCCTGGCTGGGACCTGCCTCTGTGTCTGTGGAGCCCCCGCTTATCTCTCCGACCACAATCAGACGCTGGAGCGCCTGGCAGTAACCCCTGGGTCAAAGCACACCGTAGATACAGGGTCCACACCCTCTGAGAGAGAAGGCGTTAGACTGCGTGGAGGTGCGGGAGGAGGGACTGGCCTACATGGAGGACCCGAGGGGACGGATCCAGTGACGCAGACAGCAAATGGGGACAGCGGTGGAGGAAGATTTGGACCAGGCAATGCTGGCGGAAAGGCATGGCGCCAAAGGAGTGAAGCAAAGAAAACCGAGAGCGTGTCTGCGATGGGAGATCTGGATAGAAAAAATGAGGAAACGCCTGTCGATGGCGAGCCTTTGAGTCCTACAGGCGGTGGAAGGCAGATAGTGTTAGCCTCCACCACAATGATGCCACACCTGGACTCATCACACAGCCAAAAGAGTAAAGACGGCGGAGCAGACGGGACTATCCAGGACGAAGACCCAGAAACAAGCTTTCCACCTTCCACTGAGCCTCGGTACCCTTACACCTCCCTCTGGACCCAGACACTGCCCTCCCACACATCCATCCCCCCCTTGATGGTGGTCACCTCTCGGACATCGGCACCTTTGACAATTTGGGGCCATGACGGAGCCAAGATATCTGCCCTCCCAGATCCTATTCTACCTGAGATTGGACCAAACCTGATGCCCAGAGAGGATGCCCTGGAAAGTCTGTGGACTGAGGCAGCAAGACAAGCTGAAGGTGAGCTTAAAAACTAAACTGGGCCAAAACAAACAAAAAGAAAAAAAAAGATTTGCATGAAATGTATTGGAGTGAAACATTCCCCATCTCCCTTTATGGTCTTTAATTGCTAGGCAGCAAAATCCAGAAAAACCGAACGCCTTTAAAATGAACCTCTGCAGTGACTTCCACCCGAGCGGCATTTTCCAGCTTGCTGGATTTTGCAGAGCTCTAGGAGGCTTCATTAAAAACGTGGCAGAAATGAAAACGACACATCCAGAGGCAGAGATTGCCTTTGATGGCTGGCACAGAAGGCCGCCTTGCTTTTCCGCGCTCCACTTTGAACCCCAGCTGGGACCGGTGGCAGCCTAATTACTTTCTATTCCTGACTCGAGATAGAAAAGACAGAACATCACAACAGCCAGGAGATGGTTTGTTATACAAGTCTTTGGAGGATTCAACACCCACCTCTCTCTAATTCTATACCCCCTAACCTCCTCTCCTTCTCCCCACCTTTGACAATCCCCCACCCTGGCTTTTGTAAAGAGTCAGCAGGTTATTATTCAGCTAGCCAGGAGAGGGAAATGGATTAAAGCAAACTGTCTGAGCCAATATGTGTCCATATGGGGGTTGTCTGTTTGATGAGGCTTTCTCTAAATAGGAAATTAAGCTGACAAAGTGCCTCAATTCCCAAAACAGTGTTACGCAAAAGCATTGGGGTCCATGTAAGCATGTCATTCAGTCGCCTTCGGAGATGTTTTGGAATAAAAGTAAAGCAGTAACAGTTTATCTTGTGAGGCCTCCCTCTGATCTGGTCTATTCTTCAGAGAGAAAGCATTTTTCAATGATTCTTAGTAGGTTCTTTGCTTCCGTGCCATTGTAACAAAGAGAGTGCCTGTTTTAACAGGCTGGATGGTATGACAAAATACTACCAGCAGGATACAGTTTCTGCTTTCAGGGAGAGATCATTTACTTTTTATCTCAGCTGACAGAGGAATTGTGATGGCAAGACCCCCACTTGTTTATTTGCCCTAGTTTTCTCACATTACTGAGTCCAGCAAGCAGTATTTAACTGAAAGCTCCAATCAGTTCTGCCCTCAGACAACTGAATTTGAATGATACACGTGGCGGCCTCTGATGCGTCCGTGTGCACACAAACTCCTGCAGACACCGCAGTCCCCCCGTCGCTGGACCAAGCCACGGAGGCAACAATGTCATCCGAGGCTCTTCCCCTCATCTTCGAGCCTTTTGAGGATGCCACGGCCGAGAGCGGTGCAGCAGCAGCAGCTGCGGGCACCCGGGTGCCGGCCAGCGGCCAGCCCGCAGCTGCTGCGCTGACCGGAGGGCCGTCAGAAGTGGATCTGGACCAGCTGGTCACAGTGGAGACTGACAGTAATGGTCCCTCACGCAACCCACCCGTCATCCTGCCTGACTGGACTTCACCTTGGCAGACGTCCGGTGCCGAGCTCCTGGAACCAATCACTGCAGCGGGTCCGTCTGTTTCACAGCGGCTGCTGGACACTCAGCCAAAGGATCGTCCAGAGAAAGGTGACAGCGGGGATCTGGTAGTATGTTGAACTCATCTCAAAATCAACATGATGTAAAATGGAATTATGACTGAATGTACAAGCACTTCATGCATTTACTGTTGTGAGGACAATATCTTACTATCACTATTCACCATGTTACGGGTAATGCAGTCATAATACACAGCCAAGCCCTAAGCAAAAATCTTGCACTATCTTCTATTTTTTTACATTTTGTTTCAGTCAGCTAAACTTGCAGTTAAAAAAACAAAATATTGTGTTTTATTTAATTTCCATTGAGCCATAATATCTCACTATCATACTAAATGATACAACAGGACTTTAAAGAATGAAAGTCTTCTTGAGCAACAGAACTACTCAAAGGTTTTATTTAACTTTTGTCACTCTATTCCTATTCATCATCTTTGTAGTAATTCTCAAGAAATCTCTACATGTTTTTTCCTTTTGGCAAAAATATTGCAGAAAGAAATGCAGGGTGGCCTGAGGCTTTTACGCAGCATGTAGATGCATTTTTAAAACAGTAGGTAGCTCATTAGATCAAACATCCAGTGATAGCCGACAAACAGTTGCTGTAAGTAGGTTTTTCACAAGGACAGGTCTGAAAACTGAACATAGGTGGAGAAAACACAGGTATCCCACTTAGAAATGTTACACTGAATGTATGAATAGCTTCTGCTTACTTCTTATCCGATGTGATCTTTCACATGCAGATGCCTGGAGGACGCCAAGCTTTGTAGAAAACATTCCCTCGACTGGCCCCTCTCTCTCATCCCTCCAGCATGCTATGACTGCAGTAACCATGGCAACCCATCAGTTCCCGCATAAATCCAGAGTGGGCTTGGAGGAAATGGAGTCTGAGGGTAAGATGTGCTTTTAAAATAATTGCATAAGAACACGTATTTTCTAAAAAAGCGATTGACGGTGGTAACATTTTGGATAGCTGTGAATATGAGCGAACGCTGTTTTTCTCCACAGAGGAACCGGATGAGGATGATGAGAACTCTGAGGAATCACTGGAAGAAGAAAGCGAAGAAAATCTAACAGAAAAGCCTGCGAGATGCTCAACCCAGCCATCGTACAGTTTGATCCCTCCACCTCCTGTCTGGGTTCAACGCAACCAGGGCCTGAGTACGAGCACAGAACAACAGCCCCTGAACGCAGCATTGTTGTCCTTCTGTATGTTTATCAGCTAAAGTACACATTTTCTTGCAGTGCGCAGCTGGGTACAGTTGATCAGAGAAAAGGTAAGACTGCCCCCTGCTGTAGAGACATTTCACGTGTTTTTATTGAGAAGAAATTGTCTCATTCTTTCCAAAGAAAGACTAGAAATCCTGCTGGTTTTCTAGATTAAAGGTTGCTTTAAGTTGTGCTTACTTCTGGGTCTCCCCTCTGGACAGGCCGGTTATGTGTCTGGCATGTTGGCTCCTGTGGGAATCGGCATCACAGGGGCCCTGCTGATTGTCGGCGCCCTCTACAGTATTCGGATGATTCATCGCAAAAGGAGGAACAGCTTCAAACATCAGAGGAGGAAGGTCAGACAGCCAGAGGTCAATATCCAAACCGTGTTTTTTTCAGATCACGCCGACAATCAATCACATGATTCACACTGTTTCTCACCATGGGGCTCAGAGGCCTCGAGTTCAACATTAAGTTCATGTCTCCTTTTGCAGCAACCCCGTGAACCCAGCACCAGCCTTCAGGACCAAGCAATGCTGCTGGCTGACAGCTCTGAGGATGAATTCTGAGGTCGGCTTTTTGGTTTTCTTTTATCTTTTTTTTTTTTGTGGATCTTCTGCAATGGAGGTCTGGAACAAATTCCCGTCACTATGACCACTGAACCATCAGTCACCCTAACTATGATTAATCTGATCCAGAAAAAGTGTCAGAGAGGACGGCAAAACTTTTAAAGTCTAAGCACTTGTTTGGTACCCCATCCCTTGTAAGAGGGAGCATTTCTATTAGTATAAACAGAGGTTTTTACAAAATATTGTCAATTGTCATACAGTATTTGGCTTAAAAATAAAAATATTCATACTCTTCCCCCTCTACTATGCCCGGTGCTGTCCCACATACAGTGTTTGGGGATTGGGACTTTGCATCCCACTATTTAGGAAAGGCACTCCACCTTGATCAGCAGCAAGTCATCAGACCTGTTCATAGGCTGAAGAGTAGTTCGGCATTTGGCAGAATATGGGCCATTCATCCGGACAATAACCTGAAATCTACTGCTCCAGTCGTCCAGAAAAAGCTGTTGGAAAGCGGTGTGAAGATTTTGAAGTTCAGACATTAATCTGTCCTGAAATATGAGGAGCCAGAGTGATGGATAGTTCAACAGCCAACCTCAGAGCCCGTAACAATGTAGCAGACAAAAGTGTGGTTCAAAAATTCGAGTGGAGTCATTCATATTCCATTATTAAGTTATTATAGTCAATCAGAGCAAAATAAAAATGATACGAATAATCATTAATGTTATTTTTATGGGAACAAATTGATAATTCAGAGTTCGAATTCATCAAAAACATTTTTGACCCTTGTGCCAGCTCCTGAGGCCACTCATACCCCAAATTAAATCAAAATAGGCTATGGATGACCCCAGGAGGGTACACATGGGTTAAATATAATTTGTCACTTATGCATGTAATTTTGAATTACAATTATATTTGTCAAATCTTAAATATTTTTTAATTATTATGGATAATAATAATTTTAGGCTTGCATGTATATGGCATTTAAATAAAACTGATGTGGATTTATATGTCGCAAACTAGTGTAAATAGTGTAATTTCTTGCTGGATGCTGAAGATATTTTAGAGACATTTTGGAAATATCCTTGATTGCTTTAATTATGTTTTGATATATATATATATGTGTCTGAGTAAAATACCAGTATCAGTATATTTATGCTAACTCACAGGGACACAAACAGGGATCCATGCTAGCTGCTAGCATTGGGTATCAAAACTACCTAAATGGACACGTTCAACTAAAAGTAATAATCTCCCTTCACACCCCATCCATCAAAAATATTACAAAATTTAAAAAAGTTGGTGTGCCTTTTGATATATATACATACATATGGGACATCGCAGAGGCTGGGGGTCGAATTGCACTTAAGTGAACTTTACATTTTGATGTGAACCAGCTATTTTCACCCCAGAGTGCAACTATCATTAAAAGTAAGATATGAACACCATTTACAAATAAATCCAGAGCATCCAGTTAAGCTAATGACTGGTTTAAATGTAAAATTAATGGAAATGCAAATGTTTTATTCAGTCTTTTGTTCATAGTTGTTGTGAGACACATACAAAACACCATCATCCTATAAAAGTATGTAACATAAAACATATTCTAATGTACAATATAACTCTGTTATGAACTCATTTCCACTTTCAATCTCACTTTTTTTTCCCCTAAGTGCATGACCTAGGTCTAAGTATGATTTTGTTCAATTAATGATGCGCTTCTGTTGGCAGAGTAGACACACAAACTGACGACAGTTTAGCAAAGGTTCTCCAGTTTCACATGACTCGTACAAAAGTGTGGTTTGTGTGCTAATCTGCCTCCAACAAACGCAGATAAAGGAGGAGTATGCTCAACAGTTTTGTCTGTGAATGCCACATAGTTCAGATACAATGTTCTCTAGTTAGATTAAGTTTTTCACTTTTGGAAAAATGATTAAAGTTTTTTTGTTGTTTTTATTTTTAAAGAAAAACACAACCTTCTGTCTGGACCAGCAGATGTGAAGATTTGTATCAAACTAGTTATTTTCCCGAAGCAAAACTCATTTCAAGTCATTTGAGGCCAATGTTGCATTAAGGTGTCTTCTGTTAAAAAATAACTGGTATGTCACTTCATCACCCATCTGACATGCTTCCTTTACAAATGCCTGTCTATATGCAATAATACTGTTAAGGTGAGTGTGATTTCAATTAGTGCACACTTCTTCTGGTTTCTCTGTGTAAAGTCCAACTGTGATCCAATAAACTGTTGATCTAGATGCCTAATCACGACCTCCTTCTGTAAAAGTGGGACTCTTTTTTCTCTCTCTTTAAAACCACTCCAAACAGCAGACACAACAACCCAGCTTTACGGCATAAAAAGAAAAAAATAATCAAATAATTTATTTCTGTGTTGTTTTTCCACATTAAATAAAAGCTATCGGACATTTCCAGCT